AGGCAACAAGATCAAGCGAGTAGTTTGTCCAGATCTCCCGAACCTGCTTCAGGAATTCTTCGAGTGCCATTTCTCCTTGTGCCTGGGCAATGATGTCCCGAATCACAACTTCGCTTGCAGCAAGGTTGAGATCCCAAACATCACCAAGAGTCATAGAAATAGGAGAATAGCGCTTCCCCGGTCTAAGAGACTTGTAGATCTTGTTCCAATGACGGTCACGGACAGCCTCAGATTTCATCTCAGCGAGAAGCGAGTTGGCTTTCAGCAACTTGCGTAAGATATTCTGAATATGTTCGAAGGCGGCATATTGGCGCATTCGGCTGGGCATATCCTTCGTCATCTTAATGAGGCCATCGATTGAAGTGCGCAGTTTTCTTGGCTGGACGCTGTTCCAAAGAGTATCACGAAGGTCGTTGAGGCTCTTCCAAATAGTCGATAAGGCGGCCCAGACGCCCTTGAAATCTTGTACTTCTTCCAAGATGGCAGCGAGGGCGGCATCGGGGCTCCCGGGAATATCCAAGGCTTCCTTTGCACGCGAAACCATTAGCGACTCATCGTGTAACTTGGTGATTCGTGTCTCGAAGGAAGTTAACGTGGAGGAGGCCACTTCGGGTGCAATGGTACCCGAAACGGGCTTCTCTTCGTTCCATTGGACGATGATTTCTGCGATCTTTTCTCCCACAAGTCTATCCTCAGCCACGATCTTAGCGCGGAGAGCATCTGTCTGGTCCTGCACGGTCTTGCTCTTGCGGTTGAGTAATTCGTTGAGTGCATCCCACTCAGAATCGACCTGCTCGTTGGATCGCCAGTCTGCTGGGAACTGATATCGTTCACGAACCAGGGTCGTGTGGCCTTGTCGGAATAAATCAATTTCAGGGCCCCAAGTCTTCACCTTCCTCTTGCAGGCTTGGACGATTGTGATAAATTGGACCGCCTGTGCTGTGGAGCTGGCTTCTAGAGATTGAACTTCCAGATCCTTCCGTGCCTTCTCGATCTCGGAATGCACTTCGCGAACTCTGGTGCCTAGACGTCCTGCAAACTTGGTCAAGATCTCGTGCTGCCATTGATCGTACTTGGCATTGACTTTGGTTTGCACTTGGTCATAGTCGATGGTTACATGGCCAAATGAGCGGCTAACCTCAGTGGTATCGAAGGTTGATCTAGTTTTGCGAATTTCTCGAAGAAGTTGTAACCACTTTGATAATTGATCTCCTAGAATCTCGTATACTTGCTCTGACTGGAGATCCCAAAGAGATTGGAACTGCAGCCATTTATCAACATAACGGCTGATTTCAAGCAGCTGGTCCTCGATGGTGGTGTACACCTCAAGCAAGGTATCAGCGCAATTCCTTGGTAGGTCTGTAAATCGTGCCTCTGCCTCACTAGAAGCGGCGATGCTCATTTGATAACGAGAGGCTTTGATTTTTCGTAGGTTACAGACGACACCGAGCCAGCCGTGCAACTCCGAAACCCAATTTGCTCGAGCATACTCAAGAGGAGGTTCAAGATAAATAACTTGGTTACGCATTGTGATCTCGTGAACAAGTTGGCGGATAACTGGCAGTGAGGAAACCGATGCATCATTTGGACCAGTTGTAAGCCTCCTTCTGCTATCGCTATCGACAGTTTCAGATTGAACATCCTGGAAAGCCTCGATCCAGGTCTTTATTGCTTGATGGAGTCGTCCGAGTAAAGTATTCTCAATACGCTGGTTCATACCATGAACCCAGTGGTCCAGATTAACGAAATTCTCCAAGTTGAGCTGATCGACAGCCATTTGAATAGTTTCCAGTCTCTCTTGGAAAGTTGTCTCATTGTATGGACAGGTTTCAATATCAGTCAAAGCCTTTTGCACCGTTGTGTTGATTGAAGCGAGAACTTCCGTCTTGTTTTGGAGCAAAGATACAGTGACTCCAAACTCACGAACAAATTGAACATGCTTGCTCTCGTTCCTGTTGCCAGAGTTGTGGTCCATGGTTCCGTTCGCTAGGTACGTTTGCTTGATATGAACATCATATGAGTGGATAAAAGACTCCCATTTCAGCGGCAGTCCTTTGGCAATGAGAGCTTGGACATCGTTCTGATATCCGCTGAGCAGAGTTGACACGTCTGACATTTCTGAAATCTGGCGATTGGTCTGCGCAAGCGTGCGAACGCTTTCCATGAGACTGACGGCGTACGGATAAACTCGTTTGGCCTCTTTCGAGATGTTATTGATTGCGTGGGGTACCTGGTAGCCTTGCCACACCAGGTTGCGAGTCTCCTTGAAGAGAGCGATGACTTGAGGATTAAAGTTGACAGCAAGCTCCAGAGCATTGCCAGCCGATCTATTTTTGTTAATGGCAAATAGCAAGCCAGTGATATTAATTTGTCTCCGCTGAACATCATGCAACCAGGCTTCAAAAATAGGTCGCGTGTCGAGCTTCTTTCTGAACATGTTGCTCTCTGTCTGGAGTTTCTGGCCCTCGGCGTGTAGTGCCCAATCGTGACCCAAGACATTTTCGACCTTCTCCATATAGCCATCAAGTTGTCTCTCAATTTGTCGTGCCCAGATAATAGCACCTGCCACAGGAGGAAGATCGCGCAGCTGTGCCATAGCATGGGCCTCGGAATGGCCGTATTGCTGCTTGAAACGCTCGTGGAGCGCAGTAATATCGGTTTTGACATTATTGATCAGAACGGTCTGATATTCTGCAATGGCGCTACGAATCTTCGGTCGTACGAAGAGAGCATTGAACTTGGAGAACACTCTGAACTTTTCATTGGCGCTGTTCGCAGTAGCCAGGCGATCCCTCAACCTTGCAATGATGGAGTTCTCGACTCTTGCGGTTCTTTCGTTGTAGGCTGTTTCCTGCTGCGCCCAGAACTGAGTACCTTCTGGAGACGTGTCCAACAAATCGACGTTCTTCAAGGCGGCATATGCTTGTTGCACCTCTTCAACAGCATCGACATCGCCCATTTCTTCAATGAGGACCACGCCGTTAGCTGAGCCAGCATCGACACCGCCTCCGTTGCTCTTGGGGCCTAGAACATTGACAATAGTTCGTTGCAATTGCTCGTGGTTGTCGCGGAATGTATTGACGTATTTAAGTCGCTGCTGAAGCGCCGCATGCCTGGAGTTAATCTTGATAGGAATGAACTTGTCGTTTCGCCTCCTAGTTACTTCTCTCGCAACATTCGTGAACTCTTTGATACTCTCGTCCCATGCAGCAAAAATGCTATCCGCTGTTGTCATTAAGACCTTGAAGTCTCTATAGTCGAGATGCATCAACGATCTGCCATGGAGTAAGGAGTGCAGCTTGGTGTCGAGGTCCGCTGAAATAGCTTCGACAAGGGACAGTGTTCGTGGTACGGGATAGGGGCAGATCCTCAACTTCTTGTTAAGATGGTTGAAAATCTGTCCAATAGCCTCTACAACCTTCGAAAGCGCAGTAGCTGAGTTCAATTCGTCCAAAGGAAAATCACGCATGAGCTGATTGTATTTTTGGACGATTTCCGTAGCTTCTTTCAGTCCAGTATCTGCGGTGAAACTAACGGTTGCTTGGAATCGCTTCGCATGGCGGAGAATCTCGAGGGTGAGTTGGACACCATCACTTCGCAATTGCGCTTCTATGCTCTCAAGCGCCGATTCTTTCGACAGCCAGAAGTCGATTTCTTGGTTTGCCGTTCCAGTTTTGGCATCCCTGGTCATCTTTGTGATGGTTTGTATGGACTTAATCCAATTGTTGACTGTGGTTTGCAAGCTATTCAAGAACGTGCTGTCTTGAAGTATCGACTCTGAAATATAATCCACGGTGGGCTTCGCTCCACGGGCTGCCGCCTCATCGGCTGCATTTTGTACAAGTGGGTGGAGTGGAAGGGACAGCTCGGGGATCTCCACGTTCTCTTGGAGATGACGAAGGCTCAGATCCAAGTCAGCAATCCTCTTTTTCGTGACTTGTATGCCTGTCTTGCTGTCGACTTCTGTTCGGCCGCTGTTGCCATTTGCCGCTGCTTGGTTCTTGATATATGCATCGAAAAACGGGCCGAGGCCATTATGGATGAGGTTGTAGAGGACTTCGATGGTTGGGCCAGAGCCACCTGTTGTTGTGGATTGGGCGGCCGCTCCAGGGAGCACAATAGAATGTATTTGTAGAGCAACCGGTATCGAGGGATCGATTGCTGGTGATCGTTTTGTGACAATCAAAGAGGTAATTGTCAGGGGGGATAATGTTGGGTCGCCGGTCAGGGTGTAAGCAAAGCCACCTGTTTCAATATCAGTTCTTGTCCCATCATTTACGAGAATAGTATAGAGCATACCCTGGCCATCTGACGACTGTTTGGCATCTTCTTCCGTTCCAACGATATCTTTTTGCACGTAGAGGGCAACTTGCGATTCTGTTGCGAAACGGGTGCAACGTTGGACGGTTTCTGGGTATCTCGACTTCGACAACAAGCTGCCGATACTCTCTAGTTCTCTCCTTGTAGCTCCCAGGTTGGCCTCAATGAGTCTTGCGAGATGCTCAACAACCACAGTAGGATCTATGGTTGAAAAATGGCTGCCTGCGACGCCATTCGCCGAGGGGCTTGCGGGAGATGAGACCAAAGTCTCCATAGTGAGTTGGTATGAATTATAGGTGGGATATCATTTCGAAAATTGCGGAGCTTCAATAGCAGATTAATGTAGAGGTAGTGATTTATTTGGTGTATTTTCAGGGTCCAGATATAGTGTAGACCGAGATGGTTGAAAGGAGGTTATCTGGGGGTCTCCAAACGGTATTAACAATTCGCGTAAACGATGGATGGACCGCGATTTGAACTATTTCGACAGGGGGTCCTTACGGGCACCCCCTGGTGTCTCTCGCCAAAGCGCCCTATGATGCTATAAAGCGGGAACCAACGAATCTTTACCAAAGTCTGGTAGTACAGCTCTTGTGATTATTTGTTTGAAGTCATAAACGAACCATAACATAACTTTTGGGGTTATATTTAGATTTAACTCCATAAATCATTCATATCAACTCCCGTAAACCAGTAAATGGTAATGAATTTAGATGAACAATTGACTTCGCATTGGTAGCTACTCTACGCTATCCACACCGAAGTCCCAACTCTATTTATACAAGACCCCCCCTTGGTTTTGACAGAAGGCTAAACAGGATATATCTTCATACCTCGTTGTTCGTAAAATGGGAGTAGGAGACTAATTAAGACACAAAGATGAAGGGCGCCAGGTACAGCTGATATACAAAGATCCATGCCCAGTCGTTTGATTCTAGGCTGCAAAGCGCTCCCACCTCAGGTTGAAACGCGCATGGAGCCTAGGTGACTTGCTGGGAGTTTGAGGAATCTTCAGAGGTCGTAGGTGTTGTGATGAATTCGAGGCATTTAATCCAATCCAACCCCTGGAATGCCGTTGTCGGAGCCTTCGCTTCCTCCGCCGGATTGAAAGGGGCCAACGTGAAGGCTGGGGTCAACTGCGATCATTTCTGCGAGAAGGTCCAGTACAGGCTATTATAGGTGTCAGTATGGAAGATTTGTGAGAGATCCGAATGGAAGGATGGAAGTACGGACCTTGGGGACGGTCTTGTCATAGATGGTGATCAGGTCAGACGGCTGCGGGTAGACCTTGAGCGCCTTGTAGAAGCACAGAGCTGCTTCCAGGTTATCGGATCCTATAAATTATAACGAATTAGCAGAGGGCTTTGTATATTTGACGATAATGAAGATCCGGCTTCATGGGTGGTGCCTGGGTCCTTCCCGGTCGAAACGCGGGTGGTGCAGTTTTATGAGTAGAGATCATACCATCTTGTGCCAATTGCTCTCCACGCGCGACCTCATTCATGAAATATGCCTCTTTCTCCTCCACATCGACTGGGAAGCCCTCTTCCTTCGCCTCCTCTACCACGGCCTTCAGAGCCTCTCGTTGTCTGTTGGTGTGTGCCTCTGCCTCCTCCTTTGCTGCGCGTGCTTGTCTCTTAGACTCTTTCTTCAATTGCTTTCTGAAACCTGGGTCGGTTCTGCGGCGGTGGTCGAAGTAAATGGCATAAGCTATGGGGCATAAACGTTAGCAGATTCCGAGGTTGAGGGATGGTTCACATGGATCACATACCGACGAGGCCCGTGGCAATTGTGCCAACGGTAGCAGTGACAATTGTTGAAGTTTGGACCATTTTGAACAACAGCGTAAACAAACTGTAGTCTCTGTAGGGGCGGGTTTCCGGATAAACAAAGGTTATGGTTGATGTCGTAGCGGACCTTGTTAATGGCCAAAAAAAGGTTCCCTTTGGCAATAATTTCGACGCGGGTATGTCAGCCTTGAAAGTTAGGCAACATTAACGTGGAACTCGCAATGCGGCCCACCCGTATCGTCCAAGCGTACCAGCCAACGACGTTGTTCTTGGAGCTGCCACTCTACAATCCGGGGAGAGCTCACGAATTCGAATTGCAACTCTTTGGGCTTTCACCACAACACGACCGACCATGTCTGACGATCGTGGAAGGGGAATATCCCTACGAACAAAGCGGAAAGCACGCCCAGTTATAAGTGCGCCCAAACAAATATCAGGTCCAATTCAACAAACCCCGGACGTGCCACGAAACGCTGGAGGCAAGACAGGTATCGAGGTTCCCAAGCAGCGCCAACAAGCCGGTGGAAAGGTAAGGCAGCTACCAATTGAAGCTTCTAGTCTCAATTCTGGTTTATCTAACTAACTTTACTGCAGACATCCGACCTTGTTAAACGTCGGTATTCGACCCGATTCAACAACCTACCTGCGGGGTTCGATGCCACTGCACCCCCGGTGCCATCGACATCGCCAGCAGGGAGAGTTGTTAGACCTGCTGATAGAGATGGAGGCAAGCCGCCATCAAGGGGTGCTGGTATCACCGTTGACTTGAATGCTCTCCGAGACCCTTCCTTGCAACCGCAGCAATGTGAGTATTTGGAATAATTTAAATCCAATTCTCCTTCTCTTTATGTATATAATTCTAACAATGTTTAGATGTTGCCAGCATTTTGGGTGACGCTTCCGAGCAGGACATCGAGGATTATCAACAAGCTCTGAAGAAGATGAGAAATCGAACTTCAACGGATCTACAACAGAACGTGTATCAAAACCGAACACAGTTTATTAAGATTAGTAAAGAAGCCGAAAAGCTGAAGGGCGAAATGAGAGCTCTACGTAACCTTATGTCTGAGCTTAAGAGCAACACAACAGCTCTGAGATCTGCGTCATCTTCAGCTACCGCCGACACATCTGGCTTCAATGGGTCCATGAATACGGTTCTCAGCAAGCGGGATAAGCGGAGCTCTGTTGCGGACCGCACGGCTTTGTGGAATTCTCAGCTACAGGCTTTGTGGAAGGCCGTTAGTGGTTCACAGAAGTTTCTCCCTGCGGCACTTGGACGCCATGTCGTCCAAAATGCTGGTCTTTGGGTGGAGCTTGATAACGCAACGTGGAAGCCGAGAAGATCTATGCAAATCATCCTTTTAAACGACCATCTTCTCGTTGCTTCACGCAAGAAACGTCGAATTGAGGGCAATAACGGGTCTGATCCCCGCCAAGCCCCTTCAAAACTTGTGGCAGATAGATGTTGGCCATTGCTCGACATTGAAATGGTTGACCTTGCAGGTACCAATGACGCTACTGGTTCTCGAAATAAGGTCGCGGATGCCATTATGATTCGAGGCATTGCACAAGAATCGTTCACTTATCGTACGGAGAACGCAGACAGCAGTGAGAAGACGCAACTGCTCCTTAACTTCCGCAAGGCCGTAGAGGAGTTACGAAGAGGGTTGCGATCGGAGATTGAGAGTAACAACAAAACTAAGGAAACCATTAACTACTTTGCGTCACGAGATCCAGGTTTACTGGAGAAGGCAGACCTACTGGAGACACTATCTGACATGAAAGAGCGCCCAAATGTGTTCATTGAGGTCGATGGCAAGCAGCAGAATCTACGCTGGGTTGAAGGTCAAGTTGATGAGCTTGACATTGACATTGCGCTTCAACAATTCGACGAAGCAGTCAATCGCCTTGAAAAACTGAAGGTTCTGGCGAAGGGCTTGAAGAATAATGCCGTGGCGCAGGACTTCATCAACTTCAAAGTCAATGAGCGGGCTGTTAAGCTTGCGGGCCTGATCACTCGTGAGCTTGTTGATAGCCACAACGAGTTAAAAAAAACGAAACGCAATGTCGGCTGGCTTACAAGGCTTGGCTTTGAGGATGGCGCTCGGGAGACGTACCTGAAAGCACGCAGCCTAACCATTCATAAACGCTCAAGGTATGCCGTATGTTCTGTGCCTGTCTATTCGTACTAATTGTTTTTGACAGACAATGCACCTTTGAGGGCAATCTACACCAGTACATCTGGGAGATCTCATTTGTATACTTTGCGATTATTAAAAACACCGTCTTGACATTCCAGGAATGCTTTCCGCCATTGACGATGAGCGCATGTGTCAAATGGGCGAAGGAACAGGTGGATGCTTTCAATGTGATCTTAAACAGGCAACTAAGTAGTGCCGACCGCGAAGGTAACGTCTGGAAAGAATGTATGGAACAGTCCCAGGAGCACGCGAAGATGCTCTCTGAAGTGGGCTTAGATTTCAAAAACTTGGTAGGCCGTCAAACTGAGGCAGCCAGTGGGGGGAATACGCCCGTTGGGCTTGGCCTTGCATAGAACGTATAAAATGCATATTTATATTTACTGTACAAATAAATATCTTACCACGCCGTTCCTATTTGAATTGTTGAATGACAGCTAGCTGTGTTCATTTATGTAAGCTACGACTGTAGATAGCTTGGTGGTGTACGTACATTTAGACGTGGGTTGATCTAAGCGAGATATGGCAAGCCCACCCATACTACTATCCAACTTCAAGTACCCCATACAGAATCGGGGTAAACGCTCTGCAATCCAAATTCAATACCCTTCACGAATAGCTGCATACCGACTGTGGCCCAGCTGCATTGTATTTAGACTGTTACAGCACCCAGAAACCTTTTGCGACAAACTACCTACGCGCGCGGAGTCATTCGATCTGAGCTGGACATCCCGCTTCCAAACATCACCAGCCTGGGTCGCAACGTCACAATCGTCAACGACAACGGGGCACAATGGACGCTACCATGGAGGATGTTGGTAGAGTGGTAGAGCCCACGCGATTATCGCCGGTGTCTGAGCCTACTTCTATATCTACTCTTGACGGCTGGATTGAGAGCCTGATGACGTGCAAGCAGCTTGCGGAGGTGGATGTCCAGCGGCTCTGCGAGAAGGTAAGTCCGAGCTTGCTGGCTACCAATGCTCGTGAACAACGAGCTTATCTCAGGAATCGAACCTAACATTGTCTAAACAGGCGAGAGAGGTTCTGCAAGAAGAGTCGAACGTTCAACCAGTCGTAAGTTGACATCCATGCGGTCAGGCATATGCAAACTCTAATGGACTTTTAGAAATGCCCAGTTACAGTTTGCGGAGATATCCATGGCCAGTTCCATGATCTGATGGAGCTGTTCAGGATCGGAGGACCGAACCCCGATACAAACTATTTATTCATGGGCAAGTCAGATTGATACCCTTGGGGTTCTCGTGAGCTAACCGATTTGTAGGGGACTACGTTGATCGTGGATACTATTCAGTCGAAACCGTCACCCTCCTTGTTGCCCTCAAAATCCGCTACCCTCAACGCATTACCATCCTCAGAGGAAACCACGAATCCCGCCAAATCACTCAGGTGTACGGATTCTACGACGAATGCCTCCGCAAATACGGCAACGCGAACGTCTGGAAGCACTTCACAGACCTCTTCGACTACCTACCACTCACAGCCCTTATCGATAATCAAATATTCTGCCTTCACGGTGGCTTGTCTCCAAGCATTGACACCCTGGACAACATCAGAGCGCTTGACCGCATACAAGAGGTTCCCCATGAAGGGCCAATGTGCGACCTTCTCTGGTCCGATCCAGATGATAGATGCGGATGGGGGATATCCCCTAGAGGTGCGGGGTACACGTTCGGACAGGATATCTCAGAGGCTTTCAATCACAACAACGGCTTGACATTGGTTGCCAGAGCTCATCAACTTGTCATGGAGGGTTACAATTGGTCTCAAGATCGGAACGTTGTCACCATATTCTCTGGTATGCAGCGAGACTCTGGCATTATGTTGTTCTTCACTAACTTACAACACAGCACCAAATTACTGTTACAGGTGCGGTAACCAAGCGGCAATCATGGAGATAGATGAACATCTCAAGTACACCTTGTAAGTTGGCGAGCCACACCTTGAAATATTGCATACTAACAAACCTACAGCTTGCAGTTTGATCCATGCCCAAGAGCCGGAGAACCAATGGTTTCACGACGTAGGTTTCGAATGGAAATATGTCATTTGATACGGCTGCTGACATTATTACAGGCACCCCAGACTACTTCCTGTAGATTTCGAGTCCAGAAAATAGGCAATGGAGAATAGATCCCCTTAATCTTGACTCTAAATGGGCGCGAGGATTGGTGTACGGGACAGAGTCACAGAGACACCCTCACAGTGCTGTACAAATCACCGATTATAGGAGGGTTTGTAACGTAGAAATACGTCCCGCCACCACTGCGTTTTGTGCTTAGTAGAGATACCTAGACACAGTTTTTATGAATACGAGAATAATACAAAGACGCGGGATCCCAAATTGATGTCCAATCGTAATAATATAAGTGTAGTTAATTAAGAACTGTCGAAAGTGGTGCTCATATGTTCACCCACCACCAAATATGTCGCATCACGTGCTCCCACCAAAATAGCTGGCCCGAGTTCTGACACCACCCCACATTATTGGCGATCGATCCAAAGCACGATTGATATACTCACACCCTAACTATCGATCTTCACAAGACCACCTCCCGAGTTCAAGGCATTGACGATATCTCGTCTCGATGTCCTTCGCTCTACCACAGGAGAATGCACGCCGTGCATATGCCCAATCCAGCGTACCAAGCGCCATACACCCAATCTATAACCCAGCGCCTCAAGCCTCACCAACGCCAGGGCAACAACCTCATGTCCCCTCCTCAGCGCCCTACTTCACACGACAGGTGTCACTACCAGAAGACAATGTGAACCGCTCAGGAAGCAATGGAATGAATCCTAATACGCTCGCGACGGCGCCACCAAATGCGCAACTGCAGCAAGACCACAACAGCTACCTCTACCAATTGCAGCACGCAGCTAGTGCCCCCACGGCCACACGACCAGCCCTGCCTACTCTACAAACCTCCCACCACCCTCAGCTGAACGGCAAACAGCACCAGCAACATCAGCAGCAGCTTCACCAGCAAGCTCGCCAACAAACCCCACAGCAGCAGCAACCTCCGGCGCCCCAGCAACAGCCTCAACCACCACCCAGTAACGGCCATGACCCCGGCACTTCCTCCTCGTCCGCCTCCGCCTCGGCCTCCCCACAATCGAGCACATTCCCCACGCACTTCGCCCTAACCCCCGACCCAAGTCTGGGCATGGAAGCCCCGCCAGAAACGTCCTTCCCGACCTTCGAAGCCCTCCTCCAGTCCGTCAATGCCTGGGGCCTCGCGCGCGGCTACGCCTGCGTTATCGGACGCTCGAAAAAAAAGAACAGGATTGGACTCAAGAAGGTTCTCTTGACGTGTGACAAAGGCGGAACCTCAAAACACAACATGCTGCCTGTCGATTCCCCAGTGCGTAGACGAGCTACGACTTCGCGCAAGACAGGGTGCCAGTTCAGCCTCTATGCTATTGAGTCGACTATGGAGTGGCAGCTGAAGTATCGCCCGGACGGCTTATTCTGCGTGCACAACCACGGACCTAGTAAGGGTGCCATTGATCACCCCGCGGCCAGGCGGCTGGACAGGACGGCCGTCGCGGCGGTCAAGGCGCTGAGAGATGCAGGTGTCAGCGCGCAGGAGACGCTGAAGCAGATCCAAGCCGCGCACCCTAACGCGGGGTATCTCCCACGGGACATCTATAATGCGCGTGCCGCCATAGCACGAGAACTAGACAAGCGCTCGCAGGACACGGAGATCGACCCTGACGCGCCGATGCAGTCGATCTACAAGCGCCGCTCGGCGCCCAACCCAGAGGACAAGTTTAGGGAAGAGTGCAGGGCGGAGGTGATACGCGTGAAGGAGGAGCTGGAGCAGCTGAAGGAGAAGACGAGTCGGGAGATTGAGCAGCTCAGGGCGGCGCTGGAGCAGAAGGATAAGGTAATTGAGAAGTTTGAGATGTTTATTGATATCTGCAACGGCCGCGTCATGGCGCAGCGGGAGAGGCTTGCGGATGGCGATAATGGCACCGCCTCGGCGTCATGAGCGCGGCTAATGGCTTTGCTGTGTTTTTTTGCGAGCGGGTTTGGGAAGCGGCGTATTTTATTGGCCGGGGTGGGGAGACGGAGTAACGAAAATGGGCGCGCTCTCTGGGAATACGTTTGGGGGAGTTGTAAAGACGGGAACGTGGGGGGGTGGGATGAGCCCCTGATAGTGCGTTTTGATAGTGCTATGGTGCTGTCCAACTCTCGGTAGATGAGAGGGAATGAGGATGATATAGCGGTATATCCAAGAATACAAAAGTAATACCTCCTGCGCTTACATCCCGCGGCGTTTAGCCCTCCGCCCCATTTATTTATCTCTCATGCCGCAACCCAACGGGTTCCCGGCTCGGCCGCGCTGACGCTAAATATCCGCCATGGCAGATAATCTTTCCTAAAAACATTGACTCCTTACGGTGACATTTATTTCTTCGCGAGCTGCATCTCGAGATCAGTGAGCAAGAACCCAACCTCACCAAGTAGGCTCTGTGGCTTTAGCGGTTGAGCAACATAGAACTGCCAAACTAAGTTAGCACATCCCGGATATAAATAATAAAGAAGAAAAAAAGGTAAACTGTTTACTAACATCAAAGGCTGTCGTCGAGTTAATAGAGCACACATCCACAGTAAGATTATACCCCAATGTCCCATCTCCCAGCTCGAGCAGTGCCTTATTCACCAGCCAGTCATACGCCCTATCCGCACTCCGTCTGTACTGCCTCGCACTGAACTTATCACCATCCTCTGTGCCCAAGTAACCCAGCCGTAGGCCGCGAAGCAAGGCATACGCAAAAAGCCCCGTCGCGCTCGACTCAAGGAAATTCCCTTGGCGGCCTGGGAAATTCATCACCTGCCACCAAGCCCCAGAGGCCCCATCTTGCGCACGAGCGACCGCACTCATAAGCTGCACAAAGATTCCGCGCAGTTCCTTCCGTATAGCCGCCGTAGCTGGTACGTCGGGGATCACGTCAAGCGTGGTGAGAAGACCCATGCATGTCCATCCGACAGCACGGGCCCAGATGCTCTGAGAATGGCCGCGGGAAGTAAGGTTTCCCCAGTTAGGGAATGAACGAGTTGGGTCGTAGCCATGGTAAAGAAGACCACCGGTAGAGTGAGAGAGGCACCGATCAATTATATTGGAAAATTGCAACGCGGAAGTCTGGTAGGCGGTAAGGGCGTTGTTGGGATCAAACTCGTGGGCATAGGCGGAATGGAAGGAGGGGATGGAGAAGAGACCGTCTTGCGTTGTGACGTTGGGGTAGACGTAGTACCAGTAAGAGCCGTCACTTTGACGATTACGCAGGAGGTCGGTTTGGTGGAGTGTCTGGATAGTTGATAGCAGAGTCAGGTTCCCCGTTTTCTGATATCTCAAGACAATCAGCTTCATACCAGTAGCAAGTAAGTACAGCCAACCTACTGTTTGATAAACTGCGTGCCAACACTAAACTCGTCCAGCGGACTTCTCACATCGACCGTCACATTCTGCAGAACTGGAACCAGACCAGACATAACTAGATCCAAATACGACTCGTACTTCTCGTCCAGCTCTTGGGTCAAAGGCATGTTCTCTAGCACCTCACTTATACCTAAGAGGAGCAGCCCGCCCTCGATCACACTCGTTTTTACCGAGGGGTCTACTACAACGCCTTGCTCGCGAGCGATGATGCTGTCGAGCATTTTAAGTGCTAGCGGCGTGGTGTCTGGCCGCACCGCCGCAGCTGCAGGTCTAAGGGGTATTAGGAAGAGAAGTGTTGAGATACGCATTGTGGGAGAAGTTCTGTCCTAGCTGGAGATTGGTTCTGTAATACCCTAATAGGGGGTAATTGGGGAGAAGAATGAGGCTTTTCGCGCAGGGTCATGAAGGCAAAGGCTTCATGATCTAGATGACTATCTGCCGTCTATCTGCCGGCATCACCGTTGCCAAGTGCCATGGGGGTCACAGAGCGGGCCGACCCCCCACTGGTCCGAGCGCCTAATAGGTTCAAGTGCCGTGAGAGGCGAAAGATCAATAAATGTGGGCGGTTTTTAAAGCACAGTTATAATCTCCAAATCGCGGTTTGAATACTCTTTATTCGTCCTGTGATTTTAATACATGCTGGCAAAATTAGTACGCTATTTCTACTTGGGATTTTTGCTTCTATATATGTATGGGTAGTAATCGTTAGCTGTTTTAACAGGGATCTTAATAATATATTTAAGCATAAAACATATTACTATTCGGAGAAATATTATCAACCACCAAGAATATAACAGAAGTACACATCACACTATGACAACTAGAAATATATTTCCAAGAATAAATTAATATCTCAAAAGTCCTACGGTATCCCTAATATCCCCTCCCAATCAAGGTTTCTTAATCCCCCTAAAAAAATCCAAAATCATCGGCGAAGCATTAATGCTCACCGGCTTATCCCCATGACTATCTTGATCACTATTCCTCGTCGTCGACGGCCAACTATGATCCATTCCATCAATAAGGTACCCAGTCACCACGTTGGTGCCGTTACACGTATAAAGCGTCTTCTGTACCGTCTTATCGCCATTCAACTGCGATACGGTCGGCTTGTAGTTCGCTGCACACCCATTGCGCTGGCCCCATGTGGAGAGCCAGTCCGGGATCTTGGGGAGGGGACCACCACTACCATTTTTGGTAGGGAGGTAGGGGATCTGTGCCTTTGTTAGTACCTCTGTGGCCGTTACGGACTCTGAATCCCTGAAATGGGAAGGAGTGGAAGTCAGAGGGGAGTTAGATAAACATACAGTCCCATCAACCGACCCATGGAACTCCAAAATCGGAAACGGCGACCTCGAAGGATGACAGCTATTGTTAGGATCCTGCACAACATCCGTATAAAAGGCTCCCGCGCACGCCGCCACCGCCGCGAAATTCGCCCCATGATCCGGGGAGCAAGCCAGCGTCCCCGTGAAACCCCCACCGTTGGACTTACCCGCAGCGTAGATGCGGGCATCGTCGATGCAGAAGGCGGTCCGGAGGTGGGCGATTAGGTCGCTGGTGAATTTCTTGTCCGAGACGCCGGGGGGGGCGTAGGTGGGGCCTTCCCAGAAGCCCTGGGGGGGGTGTTAGGGGTGGGCTGGGTTGGGGTGGGGAGGGACGTACATTATAGCCATTGGGCCAGACGACGATGTGGTCGGGGTTCCAGGTGTGGTCGTCGAAGCGGTCGAGGGCGCGTTGCTTGGCTGAATTGCCGTTGGCGCCGTGGTAGGAGATGATTAGGGGAGTTGGCATGTTCTACAACAACAGTCAGAACCCTCTCCCATAACTCCCCTTGGATCTGCAAGGCGCATACCTCGTCATAATTCGGCGGCAGATAAACATCATAAACTCGCTGGAGTCCACCACTCTCAATCGTCTTCCCCGTATGCGTATCTCCCTTAAAGTCGCGGACAATCCCACATCCAGCACCCGCACGCTCCTGCAGCGGCACGGCAGCAGCGCCCGTTTCGGCAGCGAGGAGGAACACCAACGTCGCGCCCGCTAACGGATTGGAGAAGATCATCGTTATCGGCGGTCAATAAGTGTGCTGGCTGAAACCCAAAAACCAAAATTAGAAAGTGCGGCTGGGCAAAAGAAACTTATGCGTAAATACGTATAAACCGGTACAGGTACAACAGGAAAACCGGAATAGTTTATATGCATTCCCGCGAGACACGGCGTCGTCCCATGACGCTCGGGAATGCGGTTCACCGTCTTTACCGGCGCTGTGGAGGGGATGTCTTAGACGATCTGCGGGGTTATTGGGGGCGAAGCGCCGCCGATCATCCTGGGATAACCACTAAGGTTCGGTGTGGGGTTGGGTGGGATTTGCTGGGGAAATGGGGCCGAGCGAGAGATCACTACTGTTTCTGCTAAGGTGTTGCTGACGGCGGGCAGCTTTTGCGTCTGTGAGTAGAGCTGGAATAGCGCCGAAGGTCTTGGTGATGATGTGCACGTCCTTCGCTTACGTATATGTTCGGCGGCTTGGTGTGGGTTTTTGGGATGATGTGCATGGCTATTGACGGAAAATTGGTTTAGGTTGGAATATTAGAGTAAGCTCTCAGTACCTTATGTGGCTGGATATCCACGTAAATGCCAAAATCGCTGTTGTGGGGTAACGGGTACGGTGCCGATGGAATGGAAAAACCGTTTCATAACGCACAGATATCTTAATAACGCCTAGCAACCCATGAATGCGCCGACCTGTTCTAAACCCCCCTGTGCCCCCCCCCCCCGAGTCGTAGTATCATCCCTCATCACCTGGCCCAGCACGGCCCATTCGCAGAAATATCCGCAGTAATCTCCCTCCTCACTTCTGAGCCGCAGTCCAGTCACTCCAGCGCTTATACTCCTCATACTCCACACTCTCCTTCCTCCCCTGATACCTCACGACCTTCAGCTCCCCTACCTCCCTCCAACCACCCCCCTTCCTCCACCCCGCCTTCCTCACCAAACTCTCCAACGTCTCCTCCTTATTCCACCCCTGCTCCACCGCCACATCCGGCAAATAAGTAGCGCTGTACCTCTTACTCTTCTGATAAAAACTGATCTTAATCCCATGCACTCCCAACTCCCAATCCAGCGGCCCAGCACACGTCTCAAAGTTCGTCAACAGCGTGACTGCCACCTCCAGCGCGGACAGCTCGCGCGCCACGATGGGGTTGAAGCGGTTATCGCTGTGCGCGGCCGCGAGCGCGTATGTCGCCAGTCCCGTGTCAAGGGGCTGCGCCTCGAAGGTCCCGATGCAGCCGCGCAGTTGCCGCGATTGGAGGGGCGGCGTGAGGATGTTCCAGGTTACGAAGAGGGGTGTTGAGGTTAGGGCACTGGATTGCGCGGAGCGGGAGGAGAGGGATTGTCCGATGGGGTGGTAGGGGGAGGGTGCGCATGTGGATGGGCGAGAGGGCGGTGCGGAGGTGCCGGCGCTGGAGGGGGTGAGGGGGGTGGGGGAGCGGAGGGAGGTCGAGGAGCTTGAGCCTAAGGAGGGGGTTGTGGCTGAGAGGCTGCTGGGGGTTGGGATCTTGAGCGTGTCGGTGGTGGTGAAGTCGGCTTCGGCTTCGACGTCGTCGTTGGCTTCAGCGTCGGAGTCTCCGTCGTCACTGCCTTTGGGGTAGTCGGGCCAGGATTCTTCGATGGCGGAGAGGGCCATGGGGGAGCGGTCCTCGAGGTTGGCCGCGAGGGCGTCGAAGCAGTAGAGGCAGTGGGCGACGGTAGCCATGGCTGCGTTTAGATGGAGGTGCGGTGCTGCTGTTTGTCGAAGTTTGGAGTCGTCACTGGCCGAGGCTCTGAAGTGAGGGGACGCCGGAAAGCGGGGTTGAGGAGGAGTGGGCTTGAGGGGTGATGGATGAGGGATAAAGGGCTGAAACTCAAAACGAAGGCTTGTATTGTTTTAAGAACAAGGGTTGAGGGGGAAATGAACGAATTATGCAGAGGAGATTGGGTTGTAGCCGGGTGAGTGTTTGTCCTGTTGTAGAAGGTATGGCGCCGAATAAGACCGTCGGAGTGGACTCGGATCCACGGTGGTCGGTAGATCTGCAAACCTTGCTGAAGCCGGCGTGGCGTTATTCCTTAAATTCTCCATGGCAGGCCAACCACAAGCCGCACCGCCTCCAACCCCCCCACAAATCCCAACCCACTTCACTTACATAGCACAAAATCCCCCCAGAAAATTCAGGGCAAAGTTAGTTTTACCATGTATAATTCGCCGTTCACCATACATAGGACTATACAAGTCAAGTAATTCAAGGATTCAAGGAATAAGAAAATCCGGTAAATCAATATATTAGTCTCACTACTCGCACTACTCGCGGAACTCTAATAGAAAGCCGATGCTGGTTGTGGGGAACTGTCCCTGACTCTTAACCTCTCTCATGCTGGCATTATAGCACGCTTGGTCTCCACAACTTATTTCGCGGGGTTTCAGTCGGTGTTTATTAACTGTTGACCGTTTGGATGCAGCCTCATTGTAGATTCTTCCTCTCATTAGGAAGGTGTCTCTCGCGGTTCTCGGCGATGCAGGGCACCATGCAGCCCGTGCTGTAAAGTAAGTGCCAGAGGTTGTCTGCTGTAGGTAGAGAGATTATTGCTTGGAATGTTAAGGGATTGCCGGCGGGTTTCATATGTCGGCAAAATCTGGGCCGTTATGGCACTGAGTAAGTGCCATACCTATGTGTGGCCATAGGATAGGGGAACGGTGGGACTGGCCGATCACTGTGTAGTGTACCAATAGATGATATTCTATGTCTCAATCGGCCGTTGAAGAGGCTATAAAGCCATACCGTAACCCTGGTGTTTTGTTGAAATAACCATCTACTCTGTGCTCATCAGTCTTCAATTGCTTCCCAGTATTCTTATCTTTATATCCCGTTCTCAAAATGAAGTACTCTCTCGCAGCACTTACCGTGGCGGCATCAGTTGTCTCTGCCTACAACCTCCCAGACAACCTTTCTCAGATCTACAACAAGCACAAGGTATGTCCAACAAAATAAAGCTAGTCTATCCATTGTCCACTTCTCACACCCCGCACAGACCGGAGCATGCAGCAACAAGCTCGCCAGCGGCTTCACCGACGGCAGCGGCCCTAAAACATTCGAGTACTGCGGCGACGTTAAGGGAGCCATCTTCATCCACAGCAGTGGAAATGGCGGACAGTACGCCAACATGGACATCGACTGCGACGGAGCCAACAGGACCGGTGGCAAGTGCGCCAACGATCCTACCGGACAAGGCACGACGGCGTTCCAAAGCGAGGTTCAGGCGTTGAAGGCTGGCATCAAAGACCTGGACTCTAACCTCCACCCATATGTCGTTTTTGGCAACGAGGGAAAAAGCCCCTCGTTCGACCCGCGAAAGCATGGCATGGAGCCTCTTAGTGTCATGGCTGTTGTGTGCAACAACCAAGTCGTAAGTGCAGCCATTCCATCGTCGTGTTCGGCGACAGTGCTTTGGGAATAAAACTAACTCTGGATGGTAGTTCTATGGCGTCTGGGGCGATACCAACGGCGAGACCTCCGTTGGAGAGGCCTCCATTTCTCTGGCTGATATGTGCTTCCCGAATGAGCACCTCGATGGAAACAATGGCCATGATCCGAAAGACGTTCTTTACATCGGGTTCCCTGGAAAGGCTGCCGTGCCGAGCTCCTCGACCAAGTGGAACGCTGGCAGCGCGAAGGCCTTCGAGGACAGCATTAAGGCTGTTGGAGACAAGCTTGTCGCAGGTCTCAAGGCTTAGAGAGGAGTGCCTGCATGATGTCAGTTTGGAAATAGTGAATGGATTGTTTGGGGAGTAGTATAGTTTTGGTTATTATCATGTTGTATATTGTTAAGCCATATACATGTAGATAAACGCAACCATATAGTAATCAGCATAGCATGACTGCGGATAGTCGTAACTATATAATCAGCATTACTATAAATTTGACGCTGCAACTCGTGTTGTCTCCGCCTTGAACTCTGTCATAAGCTGACGATATCGATACGATTTCGCATCGAGATATATATGATGGCGATCTATGGATCTGGTTGTGGCTTGCTTAGTGTAATTGCTCATAGCAAGGTACCTGACATGAAGATTTTTGGCTTTATTAAGATCAGATGAGGCCGCGATTAGTCGCAATACAGTATGTAGCACAATATGTAGTGCATATGAGCACAGTAAGAAAGTTCCCAAGCGCGGAATCCCGGACAATCCAATGATGGTGTGCCGGGGTAAGAGCAAACAACACTGGGACCGCAATGGTTGCAATGTTCCTAGGGTCGTTTCGGGGACCCCAGGGTCAGGCACCACGGCGCTATTAGCACCCTATTAGCACTCCACTAACACCACGACTAACACCACCACCCCACCAACGCTAATTTAGAGTCCACCCGCGCCACACTTTCCTCTGGTTGCTTGTTGAATTATCCACGTAATCATCATCCACCATCATCCGCCATCAAACATCCTCCTTCTCCAATTATCCTAACAACTGCCGATCGCTATGGTTCCGACAGCGGTGATCTGTACCTTACTGTGCTACAACGTGCGCAAGGTGATACAATGCCAGGCCAATGCCTATTACTGTATCTCCGAATCTGCATGCCCACTCCACAGGTTCTCGGGATGGTTGGCATATGGCACCTCCACGTCTTAAAGCTCGTACAATTCGTACACTTCTACAAGGGAGTTGATGATAGTGCTGACCGGGAATCTAAAACCAGCCTTCCCATGCGCCACTAACCATGCTGTCCTCTTGCGCTGAGTCTAGTATCAACGTGCCTTGCTTAGCCATGGATAGGTTCCGAGCTTCCTCTCTGGTTCCGAGATTTGACGCCAATGGCCTAAGTCAGGTACTGTGATCCGTATGGCCACCAAGGATGTGGTAGGTTCTGGGTGCACTACTCGCAGGGGCTGAAAGCTAGCTCTGTTTGTAGCAATACCGTACAACGGCGTTGAAACGGCGAGGACGCCGAAGCGCGTCGGGGGAATGTCGATGTTGGCCGTCGAAGGAGGCAATCATATATAAAAAGTAAGTTCCCTCTTTTGGTCTCTGGTTACGGGCCTCAAGAGAGCTATTTTTATTCGTCCTTGACACTATTGTTTCTCATCTGTGTTGATCTATGTCAAACTGAAAGCGTCCTATATTTCTAAATTTCCTATACAATGCGGGGTCTTCTGACTGTGGCATCTGTGCTCCCGTTATCTTTGGCTGCTGCGGTCATCCGTGATGTTTTGTAAGTATCACTGTAATATATATATCAAGGCTGGCCTCTAATCTTTCGATATAGCGATGATGCACGCCTCCAAAAGCCCCGTGCGGATTCCCTGCTAGAGAGAGCAGCGTGCACCGGCCCCATCGCAAGCAAGCCTTCCAAGTACTGGCTTGATGAGCAGGACCACACAGGCGCAGCAAGAGGAATTGCACCATTCACTGACAACAGTGATCAATATCCTGTATTCAGGAACGTTCTTGACTTCAAAGTTGCCAATGATGGCACAGGCGACCAGTCCGGAAACCTGCAAGATGCCATCAACTCCGATGGCAACGGCGGTTCCCGTTATCAGAACGGCTTGACCACCAAGCCAGCAGAGATTTACCTCCCGGGTGGAACTTATCAAATATCCAAGGTTTGGGATCTCCGCGTGGGCACGATTATTGTGGGCGACCCAAATGATCCGCCAGTTATCAAGGCTTCGGCCGATTTTGATGGAGACGCCGTTGTCAATGGCTACGATTTTGGAGTCGGTGCGCCGGAGACGAGCTTCATGACTCTTATCAAAAATATTGTCATTGACACAACTGCCATTGATAAGGACAAGGCTGTTATGGCCCTTAACTGGGGTGTTGCCCAAGGCGCAGGCATGGCAAACATCAAGATTGTGATGCCCGAGGACTCCAAAGGACACACAGGAATCGTTCTTAAGGGCGGTTCCACTATTGCCGTGACTGATGTGGTAAGTAAAAAAACAAAGTTGGCCTTAAATGTTACAATACTAACATATACTAGAATATCCACGGCGGCGCGGTTGGTATCCAGAACTCGAACCAGCAGGTTAACTTCAAGAACATCTATTTTAACCGTAGCTCTACTGCCTACGCTGCTACCGGTGGCTGGACGTCGCTTCTCCAAGGCGTCACTTTCGACACATGCGGACGGGGCGTCGACCTTACCAAGGGAGGTAATGCCGGGTCGTTGGTTCTCCTGGACTCCAAGTCGGTCAATTCCGGCCCAGTTATTAAATTTGCCGATTCATCCAACGCCAATGGCGACCGCAACAACCAGATCGTAATCGAGAACCTCGAGCATGACACTACGAACCCCATCGCCGTCAAGGCCGATGACACTGTTGCGCTTGATGCCGCCGATACCATCGACACTTGGGTGTGGGGAAATGCCGATCCCGGCGGATACGTGACTGGAACCCAGTATAAGACGGTTCGTCCTGACGCCCTTCTCAAAGATGGGAAGTACTTCACCAAGGAGGCACCCACCTACGGCGAGTTCGCGAGCGATCAGATTGTCAATGTCAAGAGTGTCACGAATTACTCAGTTAAGGGTGATGGGAAGACTGATGATGCTGCATCTCTGAATGCGATCCTCCTCGACAATGCTGCCAATTGCAAGATCACGTATTTCCCATACGGCGTGTATATTGTGAAGGATACCCTATACATTCCTCCCGGATCCCGCATCATTGGCGAGGCATGGGCTGTTGTATCCGGTAAGTTTTAAAACCGAATTTGACTGAATTACATAAACTAACAACCTTTCCAGGAGCTGGTGATAAGTTCAAGGACGACTCAAACCCCGCACCCGTCATCAAAGTCGGCAACGACGGCGAGACCGGCGTCGCAGAAATCCAAGACATGCGCTTCACCGTCTCCGAAGTCCTCCCCGGCGCCATCATCCTCGAGGTAAACATGGCCGGCACCTCCCCCGGCGACGTCGGCCTCTGGAACACCATCGTCACCATCGGCGGCACAGCCGACACCGCCATCCACGAATCCTGCACCGACCAAGACACACACAGCTGCAAGGCCGCCTTCCTCGCCGTACACCTGACCAAGAATTCATCCTCCTACTTCCAGAACCTCTGGGCCTGGACTGCAGACCATAATGTTGACGGTGGACCGAACCAGATCATCGCTACTGGTCGCGGCGTCCTCGTCGAAGCTACAAAGGGGACTTGGCTGGTTGGTAGCGGCTCGGAGCATCATTGGCTGTATAACTACAATTTCGGTGCAGCTGAAAACGTCTTCGCAGGTCTCCTACAAACTGAGACGCCGTATAACCAAGGCGACCAAGCTACGCTCACCCTACCCGACCCCTGGACCGCTGAGGCAGCATACCACGACCCCGACTACACCTGGTGCGCCCCAGACGACCAGAAGTGCCGCACCGCGCTCGCAGTCAACGTCGACGGCGGGAAGGACATCTTCCTGTACAACTCCGCGTCCTGGGCGTTCTTCCACGGGCCATGGGACGGGTCGTATAGTAAGACGGCGTGCGATGGGACGTGTCAGACGAATATGAATCGTGTGGCGAATGATCCGGATAATTTGGCGTGGTATGCGATTAATATTAAGTCGGCGGATACGCTGGTGTTGGATGGGAAGGGGAATCCGTCGAAGGATAATAATCCGGGGAGTTGGGGGGGGAATTTGGTGGCTTATAGGGAGTTTGCTAATGAGGGTTAGGGGAGGGGATTTGATGGTATTTGTCGAGATATCCGTTGGTTAGCGAGCGGGGTGGTAGGTAGATAAGTAATGTTATTCTCATATTGAAAAACTGTCAGCTCCCTTGCTACGACAATTATATCACATTAACAGGCGTTATTAGGCCATTGTGCTCAAACTGTGCCTTGTATTGCGTTGCCATCTCATCCAAGACATGGTCTTCAATGGGGCTGTAGATCACTGCATCCCAACATTTAACTAAGTGTATATAGCTTGGCGGTTTGTACATGCACTGCCAAATATAACTCTACGACATGGAACAGACCCCGCCTCAGTCTGCAACGCGCAAGACTCTAGAAGGGACGATGTATTTATCCTAGCATAGTAGGATGAAGTTATACTCCCTCCGCCGCCTTCGCGGGCTATCCACCCCCCTTGAAATCCGCCACTCAATCCGTCGCCTACGCGCCAGCCCCAACACCAGCTCCCTCCTCTACCAGCTCCTCTATGCCCACCCCTGGCACTTCGCCATCCCCCCTCTACTCTCCTACGAAGACCTCCATGCATCGCCTGAGGTCATCAACGCGCGGCAAGCAGGAACCCGGAATCCCCTCTTCCGCGCGTGAGATACGTCACTCCGGTCTCTATATCGCCTCTACGATGACTTCTGCGCCGACCGCCGCACCCTCATGACCTACGAATGCGAGTACCTCTTCCGCCGCGGCTCGGAGGGCTGGTCGCTCTCGCGGATAGAGGATCCGTCCGATGAGGATCCGGTGCGCTATGTGGTGCTTGCGAGTCTTGCGGAGGCGCTGGTGGACGCGTTCAATTGGAAGTTAGATCTGGGGTTTAGACGGGGCGGCAGGCCGTGTGACCAGTCTGAGGAGAGGGCGACGAATTTTGTGAGGGAGGTGGCGCCGGAGTGGACGGGGAAGGTTGGGGCGGTGGAAAAGAGGGTGAGCCTGATCGATCGGGAGAGTGAGCCGTTTGCGAAGGCGGATGATAATTTCTCGAGGAGAAATATTGAGAGTAGCATGGGATATCTGTATACTGTATAAGGCGACGGCAAGGAAGCGCGGTGGACGCGCCGTTTTATGTTGGCTTTCTCGCCAGTTCGGGAATGGTATTTTAATATAAATTCGCATCTATCTCGAGGTTCGGTCATGGAAATGCATCAATTGCCAAGGCCATATCAACCGCCCAGCGTTCAATCACTCGCCTTATACCTCGCCCTATACGCCTCCATCCTCTTCACATCCTCCTCACTCCCCTTCCCCCTCAACAACTCAATCAAATCCCCCAAAGTCGCAATACTCGCCGTCCTCACCCCAAACTCCCCCCTAATCTGTCCCATAGCGCTACCCCTCGCTTCTCCATCATCAATCCCCTCCTTCTCCTTCGGCCCCGGCATCTTCTCCTCCCTATCAAGCGCAACCGCGAATCCGACAACGGTTCCGCCTTCCCTGGCGACCTTGACGAGGGTATCGCGCATCGCAGTGCCAGCGGTGATCACATCATCGATCACCAAGACATTCTTCCCCTTCAGCGGGGCACCGACGATCGAGCCTCCCTCGCCGTGGTCTTTGACTTCCTTGCGGTCGAAGCTGTAGGATACGTTGGCCCAGGTCTCGGGGTCGAGACGGTGCAGCTCGAGGAGCGTGGCGCAGGCGAGGGGGATGCCTTTGTATGCGGGGCCGAAGATGACGTCGGGTTTGGGGACGGAGGGGTTGGCGGTTAGGAAGGAGACGATGGTGTGGGCGTAGGCTTGGGCGATGGCTGAGAGGAGGGGGGCGGAGTGGAAGGAGCCGGCGTTGAAGAAGTAGGGGGATTCTGTGGAAGGAGGGGTGTTAGATATTGTCGCGCAGAGGGGGTGCGGGGGAGGGGAGGGACGTACGACGGCCGGACTTGAGGGTGTAGGTGCCGAAGGTTAGGACGTTGGCGGAGAGGCAGGACTCGAGGAATGCGGTCTTGTAGGCCGGGATTGTGAGGGATGAGGTGGCCATTGTGGAGGCGTAGAGGTTGATTATTGGGTGGGAGTAGGAGTTGTACGGAAGAAGGCCGTGCTTGAACTGTCAGTGGTCTTGTGCTTTTAAAGTTTTCGAAATATCATCAAAGTTATCTTCACCCCACCAAGTGCGGCCGCTAGTGTAAAGGCGGGGTTAGATAAGCATTTGTGGGCGCCAAAAAGACATGTGCGGGTAGTTACTGATAAGCGGTGATGGCACCAATACATTTATGAGAATGTGATCTTTATTACAGTAAATATGGTGTAACTTCGTGACAGGGCTCTCACCCATACAAAATATGGTGTATTACTTGAATATTTTATTTTGATATTGGTAGGCAAATAAGGTCTCAATTAAAGCTACTCGGACCTGACATCTGACTTCGGCCATATGCCGCCGACTTGGCCGGATTCCACCAATGGGTGGGCACCCACACAAGGAGGGGAACCGGCATTTGGATTCTAAGTAAATCTATTTAAGTTGACTGGTGGCGTTGCCCGGTGGGGTGTAAATTGTGTGGGGTAGTACCTTTCAAAATAACGCTCAATCCGACATAACGCACCAATTGGCTTTGGATTCTTTCTTTTGGCTAAAGTGCCTGCTTGATATTTAAGCAGTTCGAGAAAGGAGACAACCATCTCATACATAACTTTCCAGTATGAAAAGTTCAGAATAGAGGGGTAAAACTAGATTGGAATACATATAAAGGCCATGCCAGAACCACTGATTGTGATCTCATCTTCACCGTAGAGCCTTTCCAATTACCCCATTTCAACATGATTTATAACTCATTTCTGAAGATTTTTATCACAGTCGGGCTGAGCGTCTTGCCTGCTGCTGGCCAGGCAGTCCCGCCTGTAACAACCGAGAAAGGAGTGTCTGCCTATGCCTTCGACCTCAGCCAAGTTACACTAAGCAGTGGCCGGTGGTTGGATAACCAGAAAAGAACGGAGTCCTATCTGAAAGATATTGACATTGAGCGGTTGCTTTACAACTATCGAATCACTCACAAGCTCTCTACCAATGGCGCTGCTACCAATGGAGGATGGGATGCACCCGACTTTCCCTTCCGAACTCATATGCAAGGGCATTTTCTCACAGCGTGGTCGCAATGCTATGCCGTCAATAATGACATCTCATGCAGAGAGAGGGCTATAGACTTCGTAGCGGAGCTCGCTAAATGCCAGGCAAACAACAATGCAGCAGGCTTTAGCACTGGGTACTTGTCTGGGTTCCCGGAATCTGAATTTGTGGCCCTCGAAGCAGGCACTCTCAGCAATGGCAATGTTCCATACTATGTCGTCCACAAACTAATGGCTGGTTTATTGGACGTGTGGCGGATTATTGGCGACACCAAGGCTCGAGACGTTCTACTATCGCTGGCTGGCTGGGTCGACACACGCACGAGCAAACTGAGCACCACCCAGATGCAAAACATGCTCGCAACTGAGTTTGGCGGTATGAACGAAGTTCTGGCGGATATTTACCACCAGACGGGCACCACTCGTTGGCTTACAGCTGCTCAGCGCTTTGATCATGCTGCTGTCTTTAACCCCCTGGCCTTAAACCAAGATAGTCTCAATGGCTTGCATGCAAATACGCAGGTGCCTAAGTGGATTGGGGCTGCGCGAGAGTTCAAGGCCACTGGCACGACACGGTACCGAGATATTGCACAGAATGCATGGGACATCACTGTCAACACACATTCGTACGCCATCGGCGGAAACAGCCAAGCAGAGCACTTCCATGCCCCCAACGCCATTGCTTCATACCTGAATCAAGACACATGCGAGGCGTGCAACACCTACAATATGCTCAAGTTAACTCGCGAGCTATGGGTGATGAACCCTTCAAGCGTCTCCTACTTCGATTATTATGAGCTGGCTTTGATGAACCATTTAATTGGCCAACAGAACCCGGCTGACAGCCACGGTCATATCACCTACTTCACTCCGCTCAACCCCGGAGGCCGTCGCGGTGTTGGTCCAGCATGGGGTGGCGGGACTTGGAGCACAGATTACGACTCGTTCTGGTGCTGTCAGGGCACAGGAGTCGAAACAAACACTAAGTTGATGGACTCGATCTACTTCTACGACAGCTCATCGCTCTATGTCAACTTATTTGCACCCTCTGTGCTAAAATGGACACAGCGGGGACTTACCGTCACCCAGGCCACGACATACCCAGTGACCGATACAACAACTTTAGTGGTTACCGGAACCAGTAGCAGTAACTGGGCCATGCGAATTCGAATTCCTCAATGGGCTTCAGGCGCTGAGGTTAGCGTTAACGGCCAGAAACAGTCCATCAGCACAGCGTCGGGGACCTACGCTGTGCTCTCCCGCTCATGGAAGTCTGGGGACACCGTCACAATCCGTCTGCCAATGAAACTGAGAACCGTGCCTGCAAAGGACAACGCAAACATTGCAGCTATAGCGTATGGGCCGGTTATTCTCTCTGGAAACTATGGCAGCACTTCCCTCAGCTCGGTGCCAACTCTCACGCTGGGCTCGATAAAGCGAAGCTCACAGCTGGCGTTCACCGCCACTGCAAATGGTCAAACAGTGAACCTCAGCCCATTTTACGATGCCCATGGGTACAATTATAATGTGTATTGGGCAATTAGCGGCCAGCTGCCAACTGTGTGATGGTAGCCAGAAATAGGCGGGATCGAAGTTGAGATCGACGTCAACCGGATGAGTGCTATTTTGGATTTTGGGCCTGGGCTGGGTGAATGAGAAAGTAGTTCAGACTCAAATCTTGATTTGGATTTCATCCGACATCTTTCAACGCCACCCTTCCGCATTAAGAGATTAGGGACTGTGATGCATAATGTAGTGTCTGTTTCATATCCATCGTTGGATCTCATTGCTGATTACCATCATTGATTACATAGCCAGTATGTCCCGTGTCGGACCGCCTCGCTTACCCCCCACTATGCTTAATTGACATCGCTCCCGCCCTCGTGGAATATTGGTTTAGTAATCATTGGTGCCGCCTCCTCCTGCAACAGTGTTAGCAATCATGGTTTATAATTTTTGCCTCACTGTAATATTGATGACTTCTTATATGTCAAGCTGGACTTCTTCTTGAAAAAGTACAGAATGATCCGAATGTAATGCTATATTCGTCGATTTCTCTCTCACCGTTGAAGCCACGCATAATGGCAAGGGTAGGCGGGCATGTTCCAGGTTCGAGCGCAAGGTGCGATGAATGCAGAAGGCGCCGAAAAAAGGTAGGGGCATCATTGAACCGTCAAATGTAAGCATGAAACTGATATATGGATAGTGTGATCTCTTAGAACCGCAATGCGGGCGCTGTAAAAAAAGTGGGATCAGATGTAGTGGTCCTAAGCAAGCGGCGATCTTCGTTCATCGTCATGCCGACTCTTTCAACGCTCACACCCAACGGGGAGCACTGATCCAAGCATATCAGCAACGCGGAGCCACTATGGAGCATTCGGGGCAGTTTTTTGATACTACTATGCTTTGGATTCGATATTTGCGATGTCTTCTCGCAGAGCGCCAATGGTCTTCCTCACTCACCCTCGACGAAAATGTTGGGCTATCTTACAAAACCTCCTACGAACTTGTATATCAGACACTTCTGAACGACTTTAGGCCTAAAAATCAAGGAATCTTTAGTGGCGACCGTATAGAAGGCATAGGAACGAAGCACTATTCGAACATTGCGACTTGCGTTCGGGCTCTGCTTCCACTCTCAAGCCTGCGTATTCCGACACTGGACCATTCGCTGCTCAGCCTCTTGAGCTTGTATTATGGGAGCTTGCATGGTGACGCTGGTTTGGAGGAGTTTGCCTACTCAAGCTACACTATAGCATTGGGGCAATATTCCCTCCTCCTAAACCGCTTCTTGTCCAAAGACACGGAAGTATCTACGCCTGCCTACCAAGCGTTTGTATACATATCGATCTCGATGCTCATGTTTGAACACTTAAGAGCGGCGGCGACTCAGAGCGCTGAATATCTGCCGCACATGCAAGGCGCCCTGGCAGCTTTACAGGCCTGTGGACCACAGCCTCTGCTAACATCATGTGGCATGCAAAAGGCATTCTGTGGTCTTCGTGGCGTTGCAGTTTTCACTGCCATAGAACAACGAGAGCAGACATTTTTAGCTGAGCCGGACTGGTTAAACATCCCTTTCGAGAACGTTATCAAATCGACACGCGACCGCTTGACAGACATAGGAGTACACATCCCAAACCTGCTGCAGTGTTTCGATCTGTTTTCCGCCAATACTACCACTGGGTATACCGATCGAGACTTTGAGACCGGAATGTCTCTGCTTACACAAATTACCGACTTGGAGCAAAAATTTGAAGGGTGGCTATCCGCGCTCGAAACCACAACTTCGGAACCGCTATACTGGTCCCGCAGTTTGCCTACGACACTTGATCGCAAACACCATGACCCTGAATGTGTGCCAAAATACTCCAACAAGTTCCATCAACTTGTCTTCCATTCGGGGCCAGTTGCTGGTCTACTTGTTCACTACTGGAGTTTCCGCCTACAGCTTGGTATGACTTCAATTAAGTTGCAGCAGAGTTTGCTCAGCCATGTCGGCCAGGTGCCAGAGCTGATGCTGGTCCAAGAAAAATTATCTCAGGACCTGCGGAGTCAACAAGAATCAGCTGATAGTACTGCACAGCTTATCCTTGGAGCAGAGCCGTCACTTAGCAGCTGTTTCGAAGGGTTTGTATGCCTACAACCGCCTCTTAGAATTGTGACCAGCTATTTCGAGAGCTTGAATCCACCACTGGCGGTCGTCTGAAATCCTACAAACATAGACTATTTTGTGTATTGGAGTTGAGCACATATGAATAATATACAAAGGACTGGGGTTTAGAACGGAAGCAAACAGCTGGTCTCACGAAGAAAACGGACAAGAGGGAGAAACTCTGCTCTAACCCAAGCACTGTGTGTTATCAAACAGACTGATTGTTAACTAAATTCCCATTCGGATATCTTCCATATCTAGGCCACTTTTGGTAGCAAGAGCGGAGACCAATCCTCGTTTCTGATGTACTGCTCAATTCTAGTTACCGGGACATCGAAGTCGAGCTTTGCAAGCGAGAAAAGTTAGTTCAGCATACAGCAACATGTGTTTATTTGTTTTCGCCTGACACTTACTTGTTGGACGGTAATGATGGACGGATCACCACCATCATAGCCGAAGTCTTGGGAATATGCGTACATCTCGGCGATCTCTTCCCCGTACCCCCCTGGTGCGAGTTTAGAGTGCTCCAACACCGTCGTCTTTTCAAAGGTGGCTGGGACGCCTGTGACCTTGCTCCAAAGCTTGACATAGTCGGACCAGGTAAGTCGATCACCGAAGGCCATGAGATTTGTACCGGCTGGTAGCTTTGTGAGAGCCTTGACGAAATGACCTGCGTCGGAGGGAACAACGAGAGGGATTGGAACGTCACCATTACCAGGGACTCGCAGTATCATCGACCCATCCGTGCGCTATTTACACGTTAGAGAGGGATTCTTGGAACGAAAGATGGATCAATATAAAAACCTTTTCCCAAGGAACAGAGGACTGACCCCATTTCCAATTGGTGACATATAGGCCCATCTGGAGAATCGACATCTTCTTGGCCAGTTGTGGGTGTACACTATTGATATAGTCGACTACATGCGCCTTTGAGTCGAAGTGGAAGACGCCCTTATACTTTCCTCCACTCCATTTTGTCGCGGCTGATAAGGAAGACCAAACGAACAAGTCGAGATTATCTACTGTGGCGACAGCATCAGCGATATTTTTCCCCTGCTGCAGCTCCTTCTCATAACACCACTCTCGAAGAGTCTGGCCTGCTGAAAGCTTGGCCACATGTGCTTCAGCTGGGTTTGAGAATGCCTCTGAGAACGCGGTGTTTCCATACACAATGGAAGCCCCTTGGACAGCAGCCTTGATGGAGTCGACATCGTCTACATCTCCCTTGACTATTTCAATGCCCTTGGCAGCGAGAGCTTTGCTTGCAGGCTTAGAAGGATCTCGAGTAACACCCCTTATCTTCCATCCACCATCGTTGAGGAAGACATTTGCAACAGAAGAGCCCTGTGGGGATCTAGTTAGAAATTGGCTTCCCCGAGGAAACAAAGGCAGGAATTAAGATGTCGACGTTCAATGACAACAATAAGAAAAGCCAAGCATACCTCATTGCCAGTGATGGCGATAATCACAATGAGTTTTGTCATATTGCTAGAAGTTGATACACAATATATAGGGATGCAAATATTTTGAGCTATGTGTGTAATCTTGCTTCCAAAGACAGCCCAATTTATAGAAAATGCTACCCCGCTAGTTCAGATGGTCGTACAGTCCATGTTGAAAATATGATTCAGCATATTCTGGATAAGCGGTCAAATAGGGTAGGCCGCTAATTTCAGCTGATAAATCACTGCAATTCAGAGGACTGCAGAATATCCAAGTTACATCATAATTTTTATTACAAATTATGATTAGTATGAAGATATATGCAGGATCCCAGTAAGGAAAGAAGGGCGCGGTGGCTTGCATACTACTTCGACTAGGGTAATACAGAGTCCCTTGACCATGTAGGCGCAGTCATCGTTCTAAATCCCCTCGACTACCTCGGACAATTATACCGCAGCTGTGGTGTCATTCTAGCGTCTTTCAGAAGACTGGCCAGCGCCTTTGTTCCGCGATCCGGAATAAGTCGAGATATATATATATCCCAATAAATTCCAATGTAAATATTCTAATTATTTCTCAAACGTCTCCAGGAAATTCAAACAATTCTGACCATGTCAAAGACGCCGATTTATCTTATTTCTGTCAATAAGACCCCAGAACGAGCAGCTTTGCTTGTAGGTCAGCTCCTCGACAGTCTTGACAACAACAATCATGGCATTGTCCATATTGCAAATGCCTCAAGTGAGTTGGTCTCGTTCGAGCGTGAATGCAGTTACTGATGGGAATTTTCATAAAGCGCTCCAAGAGCTTGAAGTGGTAGTAGATACCCTCGTGTATCCTCCTGGGATTTTGGTATTTTCCCCTGGAATGATTGTTATTTGAAACTACAACAAGCTGACTACAAGGCAGATTTGCTCTAGTCAATGGACAGCCGAAGAACAAGATCAGGCAGTTACGATTGCAAAGGCTTCATTGTCAAACATCGGCGTCATCACCATTCCTCCAGGACTTGATGTACGTGAAGGCAGTGAAGGAATCTTAAGTTTTCTCAAGGGCGCAATTCAGAATTTAGAAGTAGCGGACGATAGCAAATAGTCGAAGTAAATTATATGTTTTTTTAGGTGGGATGGTCGGTAATGATTTTTGATATCAATATGAAGTGTGTAGAGTAGTACGTATGTAATCACACACTATCTATTATGCGGTTTAATTTGATAATTTTATTGATTAGCTATCTCACGTTTATCACCGATCTCCTCAAACTTTCCCAGCGCCTAGAATATTTTATTCTCAACTGGTACATATGGCTTCTCCCATGCCTCCGCTCGACGCCACCACTGCTCTTTGAAGGGCCGCTGCAATCCTTGCTCAGAGTTACCAAATAACCCTCCTTTTACGAAGGTAATGCTTGGATTCTCTGTAACTGTGGTACAGATTGGCCTAGAATTATGCCACGAATTAGTTAATGTCAAGTACGGAGTATCAGCAACGTCGCATTGGTCATGGCTTACGATCCGCACCGCGGGCAAAAATGCCTATTTGAATGGTTACCAGAGGCAGCTTCAGTGCTGTAAACACTGGGAATAAGCTCGCCACTGAGTCCGACATTGGAGGAAGGCACAATTAAATTGACTTGAAATCTAGAATTCCGTTACTTTCTTGGGGCCAAATGGGAATGCGGCTTCGAAATCGGCAGTTTCTTACAGAGTTCCCCCTGATGCGCGGCAGTCAAGACAATGACAGAGGGAGACATTGACTGGAAGTTTGGGCTGACGAACCGTGACGACGATACCGCCACAATTGCAGTGGCCTTGTAAAGGAGGAAGTGAGGCCATATTGTAATAAAACTTGCAGCAGCCAAAAATTTATTTGACGAAAGACAAAGGCATATCTATATCTCTCGATATTCAGCAGATATTATTAACGTACGAGATGCAGAATACGGGTCAACACGTTGAACAGAAAGCAGCATGCTTGTCGCGGCGGAGTTGTAAGCTTGGCTAGTGCGGCTTCTATTGGTAGAGGGGTCTGTACGTATATTTTTAGCGCCATACTTTAAATCAGATCGACGGCACTAGTATCGACATGGAAGTAAGAGCGCTACCCTTAGAAATACCGCTGGCTGACATGAACTATCGTACATAGCCTATTAGATCCCAGCGCCTCTATGAACCACTCTATATCTTCGATCCAAAATTACCCCTCCTGACATGACCATTTTGGACAAAGGAGCGCTCCTGCGGTGTCTTGCCTTACATCGTACCCTGTATATACCTACCATTTACTAATCATACTTTTGGCGCTACTGTAGATTAGATCAACGCACCAGTATCGATACGGAAGTAAGAGCGCTACACTTGAGAATAGCCATTGCCAACGACCTGCATTGTCATGCCTCCCTAGCTCGCATTCCATCTTCGATCTAAATTACTCCCTCTGACATCACTATTTTGGAAATGGGAGCGCCATAATGGCTTATGTTACATTGCATCCTGTCCCGACCTGCCGTCAAGTAATTATGGCATAGTGTATGTAGTGACTATATAAGTGAACATTAATTCTATGCCATAGAAATTAACCCAACATTACAAACAGCCCTACCAACTATTTTTTATCACCATAACACCCAGCAACCAGACATGGCTCAGAAGACAGCTCTCGTACTCATTGACGTGTACAATGACTTTCTCCATCCCGATGGCAAAGCAACTGCTGCACTCAACGATTCTCTAACCAATTCTGACACAGTTGCCCACATTCAACAGGCTCTACAAGCTGCCCGCGCTGCTAAAATCCCTGTTTACTACAGCCTGCATCAGCAATATCACGACGGCAAGTACGCGGGGTTTGAACGCTGGAATCCGATGTTGCGCAGTGTTGAGAGCTCCCACTCCTTCGAAGAGGGAACATTCGGCGCCGAAATCTACAAGGGTCTCGAACCGGACCCAAAAAGTGGAGATGTTGTGATATCTAAACATTGGAACCAAAGGTGAGTATTTTAGATAGTCATGGCTCGCCGGATGCCTAGCTAACCGTGATCCCAGCTCGTTCAAAAACACCGACCTTGATTGGCAGCTTCGGCAGCGGAACATCACCGATCTCGTATTTGCTGGGCTCGTTGCAAACACATGCATTGAAACCACTGCTCGAATGGCAAATGAAGAGTGAGTAGTAAAGCAAATCGACGAACGTTTGAAAATATAGTACTAACATTTCGTTCATAGGGGATATAAGGTCACGATGCTGTAAGTCTCATGGTCTGGTAATTTCGAGACATAAACATATTACTAACGCTAGGGATTATAGAAATGATGCCACCGCTGGCTGGACTATAGAGTCAATGAAGGCAGCTGTAGAGCATAGTTGGCCATCGTTTGCGCATGAAGTTATTTCCACTGGGGAATGGCAGAAACGACTAGCTTAGCTACTGCATGCTTTCGTCGATAGTAGCAATAGACATATGAGAAAGGTGATGTATGGAGTCAATATACAGCATTTCTAAATTTCTTGACTTTCATATGATGAAATTCCCATAGTATGTTGGCTACGTACCTACCAACCTGAAACTGGGACCTAAGTTCCCTCCCTGACTTGCCTGGGTTTCCATCCTCACAATTTCACTTCGAAGCTCATCAATTTCTGTCTCCATATCTGCCCTATTCTTATCCTCTGCTGTATTTCTCATTTCCTTTGGCATGTTCTTCTGAAGGTCGGTAGTGCTCGTATTCAAGACAGATGGTTCACCGTTGGAATCCTGTTGCAAACCATTGGCTTTGCTTCCGTCGTCGCTGGGTCCTAAATGATCATTCGGTTCGCGCTCGAGCTTCAATGCCACCTCAATACGTAGACGCATCGCCTCCTGGGCAGCTTCTTCAGCTACGACGGCAAAGTGACAGCGCCTGTAGACACCGATAGCGGTGGCGACGAGACCAATTACCTCGTAGGCGAATAGAATTGGCAGGGCATAATGAAGGTGTGGGTTGCAACCGCTGGACCAGTTATTCGTGAGTGCTTCGTATGCCTCATGCGCTGGCAAAGCATATGCCCAACGGTAGAATGAGGGCGAGAGACTGAACGGTAACAAAATGGACGTGACATTGGTTATAATCCAGCTAATGAGCGCCATGGGGATGTACTGGGGTGGAAGCCAGATAGTGAAGACGTCGATGGCGAGGAAATTGACGTGAGCGAAAAGCCATATTATTAGCCAGTTGATGGCGAATTGTTTTCCTGAAAGGATCCAACCGTCCTTGAACGCCCAGATGGCGGCGGATACAAGCAACGAGCCAACCATGGTGAATGTACCAGAGATGATATCCCGGGTCAGAATAATTCGCGTAGGCGATATTTTGTTGTAGATTTTGAACTGCGCGTAGAGTCCGTTAATACTGGCAAGATAGAAAAAATCTTGGATCAGGATTAGCACTATGCATATCGTATTGTACACGGCCCGAGATCCTTGAGTCGTCAGCTGAATGTTTATGGATGATAGAGTCCAAGGGTTCGCGTAGGTGAATAAGGCAGTTGTATCATTTGGCTGGATCGTAGCCAGTGCAAAAGTGCTATTGCGAGCTGTGTAGGCGACACGAGCAGCATTGGAGAGCATCTGAAGGTTGCTGGAAATGGCGCCGTCAAGAACAGTCGGGTATCTGGCCTCATTCCAGATGTAAAATAGTACATTGGATTCATTGTGCTGCGATGCGGCTCCTGAGAGTGCATCTCCCAGCCCCTTGGAGGAACCAGGAGCGGTATACAGCACTGCCCAGTATGAAGTATCACACACAGCCTGTCTCAATTCTTTCTCAGATGGGAATTCGTCTCTCGAGTGCTCGATAAGAGTGGGAAAGCCATCCGACTGTAGAGTCCTGTAGGCATCACGTACAGCATCGCCAATCACTCCGCCATCATAATCCACCCACAGCACGTTCAGAGAGTGTGAGCGCGACGTTTGCTGAAACAAGGAGCCGAAAAGATAGCAAAGAAGGCCAAAGAAGAGAAGCTGAAGAAGGACAAAGTTTAGCGCAGCTGCTTGGAAGAAGCTGGCACGACTTGTTTTCAGCGATGGATGGGTAGCAGCCATCCTTTTTTTGCTGGCGAGAGGGTAGGTGTTTTGGAGGAGTAAAGGTAGCATCGTGAAGGTAGTATGGACCTTAAGTGTGCTTGTTACTGGCTGGGTAGGGCCAACCGGGCAAAATGAAGCCGAGGAAAGCTTTGTATGCATTGGGTTTGCAAGTGTGGACCAAGATGATTATATACAGGCAGCTAAGAGCCACCTCCTGCTCACGAAGGCTAGAACCTAGCCGTTAGCGTAATTATATTCATACGGCGCCTTGTAAGTAAAATACCTTCCCATTCTTAAAGTAGTATGGCTGGATTAGTCAAGTGTCAGCCTGCATTACGGTGGGTTTATATGGGATACGAATATTGACGCTAAATTTCCGAAACAGGCAATATGTGCGCCTGCCCCATTAACAGCGAAGGCGATTGCTAGCAAACGACTATATATACTGCCATAGAAATTACATTTAAATCGCCGAACTGTTCAGAATAAGATACAAAGCGCACTTTATACTCTAATAAACATGGCCATCCTCAAACTCGCAACCAAATGCCTCTTCCTTCTTTCTCTCACTCAGCCCTGGCATGGCTTCGCCGGTGCTGAGGTCTTGAAGCAAACGTGCATCAATCACTCATGCAGCGCCAAACGCGTTACCCTCTCAAACCCCCCCGTCAATCTTTGGGATGCTAACGTCATCACCGGTTTTAACGCTCTCATGCTCAGCTTAAACAACCAGAATGAGACCAAAGTTGTGGTTTTCGACAGCGACACAGCTGATTTCTGGGCCGCCCCTATCGACCTGAATATCTTCCTGCCAGATGCAATCCCAGGACGCAATTCTTCGGCTCTTTTGGAGATGTACTACGCAAACTTGGATCTTCTCTTGACAACCCCAGTCATTTTTATCGGCGAGGTCAATGGCCGAGCTTGGGGCGCTGGAGATGAACACCTGCTTCGAATGGACATGAGATTCGCCGGGCCAGGTGCACAATTTGGCGCCCCTGAGGCTGCTGTCGGACTTATTCATGTTGGTGGGATGCAGCAGCTAGTGAGGTTGATTGGTCCAGGCCGTGCGTCTGAGTACATGCTCGCCGCAGCGCAGGTCTCTGCTACCGAAGCAGCTCGTGTGGGATGGGTAAATTCCGTGCATCCTACCGCCAAGGCTCTTCGAGCACATGTTGATGGTTTGGCTGCGAGGATTTCGCTCTTTTCTACCGAGACAATTCGGGCCACCAAGGCTAGTATTGCCGAGCAGGCCCCTTTGAAGGCAGCCTTGGAAAATGATCGTGCTCGGTTTGATCAGTTGGCAGCGCTGCCACTGGTGCAGCAGAATGTGGAAGCCATTATCCGGCTGTCTCATAACCAGTCTAAATCTTGGGAAGAGAATAACAACGATAACATTGTTCAAAAGCTCTACTGAGCACTGTGGCCTAGGTGTATTTGGCGCTTCAGCACGTGGAGGAAACGGCTTTATCCTAGACTGATAGATAGACACCAACTTGCTTTCTAAACCTAGACATCTGGGGTTTGGAGATTCAATTTAACATCCTTCAAGAAAAGGCGACGTTACACACATTGAGCAGCAGGCGTGAGATTGTGCTGTACCGCTTAACCTTCGCCGTACTTTGACTTATCTCGTTTTATTCAAGCCTTATTAATGCTCTTATGGTCTTGTAGTTGCTGGACTATCCCCATATGCCCCTTGCGAGCAGCGAGGCTTAAAGCCGACTCGCCACGGCCGTACACGTCCGGGTTAACACCCTTATGGGCAAGTAATAGCCTCACGACCCCTTCGTGTCCGTTCTCAGCAGCCCTTTGTAACGCAGTGGCTTTAAATGGCGAATCCTGAAAGTCTGGGACAATATTCTCGTGCGCAAGCAACAGCTCCACTACCACCTCGTGCCCTCCCTCAGCTGCATCTACAATCGGCGTCGTGTAAGTCTGCATGCTAAGGTTATTTACGTTAACGCCCTTTTGGGCAAGCAGTAGCCTTACTACTTCTTCGTCCCCTCTTTGAGCGGCGCTGTGCAGAGGTGTGTAACCACCAAGCCCATCCTGGGTGTCTGTATTAATGCCGTCCTTGGCACATCTGGCAAGCAACAGCTTGATTACCGGTACATGCCCGTTGCTAATTGCAAACGATAGTGGTGTTTCCTCCCTTCTACCGCCCTTACGGTTTGGGTCAACCCCATCTATGTCAAGCAGCAGCTTCACTATTGGCAGATGTCCGTTCTCAGCTGCCAACGACAGAACAGACTGGCCGTAAGAGTCCATAGATTCTGGGCCGACACCCTCCTGGGCAAGCAACAGCCTCACAATCGCCTCATGGCCTTTTCCAGCAGCGAAATATAGAGATGTCACCCTTAGGCCAGTAAGCTTTGACGATGGGTCGACACCATCTGTTGCAAGTAGCAACTTTACAACCGCTTCGTGCCCATTCTCAGCTGCGTAAGAAAGCGGTGTTCGCTCGTTGCTATCCTTTGCATCTGGACTCTGCCTGCCAACTAAAAACTGCACAGCTTTCTCGAGCCCAAAGTATGCCGCTAAATGTAGCCCCGTCATTTTTCGTGGTTGGTGAAGCCTAACTATGGCTATTTGGGTTATTACTCCATATAGTTGTGATTGACTCGCGGCCTCAACCTGATCTTGTTTGTCGAGGAAAGTGGCAACTTCTGGGATAAGTGTCGAATCCTCGCGAGCATGGAGCCCCCAATTATGTGCCGCGTAGCTGTAGAGCACATTATCCTCCTCCCGTTGTTGTAGTTGCTTGTCTTCTAGCCAAATTCCACTCCCAAACTGTTCAAATGAGAGATATGTGCAGCATATTGCTGCCATATTGGTCTCTATTTGAGGAAACCATTTCCCTTGCGTCCGCTTGAAGTATTGCTGTGCTGTGTAGTGGACTAACCGGATGATACCGCTCTCTTCATCGATTGTAACCAACCCGGCGCATACAGAGACCATGTCTTCGACTGGACATATATTATCTTCGTCAAATTCAAACGATTCTCGCTCGATAGCAAGTGCGACCTCAAGTTGAGATGTGGTAAGAGGTGTCTTTGCGCAAGTGATCCAATAGATAACCTGCACGGCAAGCTCCCTTTCGTCACTAATCTGACCTTCAATTCTCTCCATGGCATCCTCGTACGCCTTGTCATATGTCTCATCGTACGCTTGAAACCCGCTCGGCAAGTCTTCTAAAGCTTTCCGAATAGCCTTTGGTGACTTTTTGCCTTTTATCGCATCAAGGTAGAGCTTTGCAAGTAGGAACCTAGATGTAGATTAGAGTTATTTCTCCAGTATATGAGCATAACATACATTCCATCAACAGCATTCGCAATCCTCTTCTTTATCTCATCCTGTAGGTCTGGGCTCTGACGTACACACCTAGGGAGACCTTGGATATGACCGTCGATGTATCTGCGTACATCGTCCGGGTGTGCAACGATCTCTCTCTGAATAGCATCCGTAAACCTTTCCCTGATTTCAGGGATAAATCTCGACGTCGCAAATATGTTTATGCGTGTTTTACACTCAGCCTGGAGATTAAGGATGGCTTCCAAGAATTTTGTTCGGCCACTGTCGGATACTTGACACTCATCTAGGGCGTCGACGATAATGAAGACCCTCGAATATATGGTTGTAGCCACCAACCTAAGACTGCTTAAAATTTCGGCAAAAGACATCTGCTTCTTTTCCCACTTATAGCGATTATAGAGGGTCTGCACATTATTCGGGATAGAACGCTGGCGTTGAATTAGCTGCTTCAGCAGGCTCGCTAGGAGCTCTTCGGCCCTCTGCTCGTGTTGCCGCCGGAAGTTACAATAAAGGTACGCAACGCCAATGCTCTTGTCATCCTGGAAGCGATTATTCAGCTCGTCAATTGCGACAGAGGTGAGTATCGTTTTCCCAGCTCCAGGCATACCAGGGCAAAACAATGTCTTGCTAGTCTCTACCCACTCTTTGAACTCGGGGGATTCCAAAAGCCACTTTCCAGTTCCTACATGCCGCCGATTAATAAAGTCGTTATGCTGAGGTCCATAGTTGAGTGGGGTAATCCAGTCAAGAACAACATCATGTTCTTTATGCCGTTCTTGACTGTCTTGCCGCACATGCAACTGATCCAAGCTGGCTAGTATCCCTACAGATATTTGACTAAGATTTTTTAGTCAACTGCTCATCTTCAGAGGATATACTTAATTACCTGTCAAATTTCCCTTGAAATGCGTTCCAGAGGGTAACATTCACGATAATACGACTTCGAAGCTCCTTTATATCGTCCGGTTCCCATTTAAGTCTATTCCAGATTCTTTTCGCTCTGCTCCCGGCACCTGCATAGCCCGACTTTAGCTCACTGTACTTGTCCAGCGTTCTTTTCAGCTCACTAAGAACGTCACAGCAGCTATTGGTGATTTCCCTCAGTTCCTTCGCCTGTTTCTCATCGAGATCCGGTCCAGACAGTCGATCTTCAACATCTTGAAGCACGATAGAAAGACTTCTCGCCCTACATAACCCGAATAGTTAGCCATGGCTAAAGAATTGTTGGGATGTTACACACTCGTCAGAGATGGCCTTAAATTGACTTGGCGCATTGACGAATTCCTTTCGGATTCTGTTGGCAAGCTCGACCGCTGCAATAATGTCGCCTACGCTGAAACCAAAGCTCATTGTGATTTTGACCTACTCGTTCTTCGTGGAGGGGAATGGTGGTGGAGGGGTTGTTACACTCATGCAAATGAGCTTATCGCTTGCGCTTAACCCGATGAGGGTTGCTGCGCACTGAACGAGCACCCCCAAGTAATAAAGATGTAGTCAAATCCCGTCACACAAGGTAAATGGTTCGTGCCTGGCTGTAGAAGGCTCCACAGCGGCAACGGCACCGGGTGGTGTTCCAAACTTTTTAGCGGGGATCCCAGAATATGGCAGCGCAATCGGAAGATCTTTACTTCGTACCCCGCCTATTTCAATTCTAGGGCTTGTCGAACATGGACTCCAGATTCCACTTGCGGAACAGAACAGTTAAAAAACAATTCTCTCTGATGGTAGTATATTCAAAGTGAAATGTACAATTAGATAAAATCTACAGGCCTTGTAGGTGGCTGTGGTGAGTCCGTTAGGGTATGTAAGTAGTACAGTACCAAGATTATTTGAGATGCCAAGATCTCAGCCGATGGAGAGAAATAACCCCAACCTGGAAGCAGAAACATTACTTTCCACTCAACGAAGGACTGGAAACCCGCCCAAGACAAAAAAATACTAGACACATAACTGCAAAATGGCACAGCAGTACGGCCACATATCCGCCCAGTTTGAGAGCACCATATCAAGCTTCACTAACGAATCGGGATTCGTGGTGGTGCGCACCGCCTATGCCGACGACGATGCCACCGACGCTGCACAGTGGTCCACGGCACTTGCCAAGCTACAAGAACTCACACTGCCCTCCGACAAGTTCGCTCTTCCAGTCATCGCCGATCCAGCTCTCAAGGGAGCCTCGTATGATGCAGTCCGCACGGCCTTCAACACCTGGGTGAACAACTACGAGGAGGGGCACATGTGGCAATCAGACGTGCGTCGGGATTGCTGCCTTGTCCTAGACGGCCCGGCACTAGCATCACTCCTCCAAGCACCCGAGCAAGGGGGGAGTCCTAAACAAGCAACCGGGCAAACACGGAGGTCCAAACAACCCGCCCCAGTGCCGTGGGTCGTTGTTGTCGATGGAAATCATCCTTCTACAATACCTTATAACGGAGGCGGACCGTATCTGGGCTGGATGCGGGTGCCTGCCCATACAGTGGAAGATCTATTTGTGGACATTGAGGTGACTTCGTTAGTAGAAGCGTGTCCGACACGGGTATACGATGGACAGCTACCGCTATACGGCAGGGAGTTGATTGATCCTGAGGGAGGCGTCGAGGGCCGATACAAGTTCCCTCAGGGCACCCCCCGAGGCGTAGACGCAGGCAACGCTATGCTAGACGACATTGAACGGGCTCTTGGTAAGGAGGCGGTCACACAGTCACGCGGCGTTAGCGGAAAAGTAAGACAGAGGGGTTCTGTTGCGTAAAACTCTTTATAATGTAAGTATGTCATGATTAAGGGCAAGGCCCACGTTGGAGATGCGATGGCAAGTGGCTGGGGCGGCGGGGCGGCCGGGCTATACCATACGTATGATGGCGTGCAAGTGGACGTAAGTGGTAGGGCTCTGATTGGAAATAAGCTTGGTGGGATGGACTTCTAGGAATGCTGTAGTTTATGTTATGCACTCTTTAGAAGCCGAATTTATTCAGCCATCATTATTATCTATTCAAAGCCGGAACTTATAACTAATCGGCGTGAATCTAATTTAAGGCATAACCTATTGTCTAATTTGACACCTTTACTAAAGAAACCTTGCCTTAATCCATCAAGGTACATCTCGTAGGCGGGCATATAGCCATCCACTAGGAATGTTAGTAACAGCACTGATAAGCCAAAATACTACAAGACCTACCAAATTTCCGAACCTCGAGCTCCGTCATACCCAACCCACCCGTTCTTTGCCGGAGTTTCTGTTCCTGCTCTTCTCGCCACATGTAAATAGTTTCTAAGCTCTGAACATCAAGATGAACCATGAAGTCAAGCATCGAGCTACTCATAAAACTATCACAGTAGTTTTTGAGTTCATCATCGAGCAGCAACACATCCTGCAACCGCGTAGAAGCAAGTTTTTTATCTGTTCCTTGAGCGTCTCTCCATATGTTCTTGACCTCGGTGTGGCCTAAGGGTTGGAATCCTATACACCAACCTTCGAATATTATCACGTCTAGCGCAGGGTGACTATCCGTCTTCTTCCAGTTCGCCTGGGTAACCCGGTCTCCCTTTCCGTTGAACAGGCTCTTGTCGAACGCTGGCCAGAATCATGCCCCGGATTTGCCATCGCCCACCATATCATCTGTCTCTGGACGGAATTGGCGAAAGAATGCCTTAGCTAGCTGGACATCATGTGTACCAAGTTGACCTCGTGTCCGCAGCAAAGAGTTTTCCGGGTTCGCTAGTATTATTCGTTTTTGCTCAGCATGAGTGTGGTATAAGTCGTCCAAGGAGATTTCTGCAACATCGAGATTATAACTTGTGGATAACTTGGTTACAAGTCGTGACGCTACTGTAGACTTTCCGGATCCCTGACATCCGGAGATTCCGACAATAATTGTATGGTTGCGTTGGTCTCTAGACGAACAAATATTTAGTGTGTGTTGTGCTTTTTGTTGTCTTTGCTCCGCTTTGAGCTGGAGAAGTCGAGGTACGAGGAACTCTAAAATGATATCCTCCGTATGATTCATAATGAACAGCATACATAAAGAATAATCTCTAATCCTCTGCGTTACTATACCTTTATATGAGCTTAACGTACTGCGTGAGAAAGTTGCAATTAAAAGCTTGAAGCCCCTTAAGCCCTTTCACGGCTAATAGATCAACCGACGGCTAAATTAGTGGTTATACTCTCGGCCACGGCCAACAATAAATTTGCATGGAGGTAGTATTTAATGCTAGATGATCTAAAGTGAGAATGCAGTGACAGAAGCAGGCCTCAATGAGAGAAATCATTATTTAACATGGGCGTATGTATATTCCATCTCTGCTGCTTCGTTTATCGATACATAGCATCCACCAGCCCCCTTCGTCTTGATGGACGTCTCCATTAAGAATACATAGGTGTTATCCATGCGCATACCACAAACTAAATATGTTGGTTTACTATTATATTGTCTGTTCTACACTCAACCGATATGAGTGCCTAGATATGAACGCCGGGAAAGCCTTGAAGTTGAGACATTCTAGCAACTTAAACTAGTTCGGCAACAATGTCATAATTCGAAATAGCTAAAAGGGCATCATGGTACATTGACCTTTAATTGTAAAAAATAAAGAATAGAAGTATTCCATTAAATTAAAAGGGGTTTCTTTGCATGATGGTTCTTGGTATCGTCGTAAACTCAATTCGCATTATTCTAGAATGGCAGTGCTATTACCAAAACAAGTCTTCTTCCTGTTGTCTTGACAAGTCCGAATTGCTCCATGGATCGATTGTACTTGGCCCAACAGATGAATTCAAAGGACTAGATTTGTGAGATGGCAGAACTGGTAACACTTCTTTTCTGGTAAGAACATCTGCACTGTTAGGGATAGCTTCCGCAGGGCCTCCAATCGATGTATTAGAAGGATCAGCCGTTGCAGTCGTCGTGTTGTTATGTGGATCGGCCATTGTAGCCGTTTTATCGTCGTGAGTCGGTCGTATCGCGTCACGATTTTGAGGCTGATAGTCGAACGTATCCGGCATGGATTGGAGCATTTGAGGGTTTCCAACTTCCCATGATCCTTGCTCAAACGGGGTGCCTAGATCCATCTCATCTGGAACTGGAGAATCCTGTCGAACTTTGCGAGGTGTGGAGGACGTCACGCCCGCAGTATCGTAGTCTACCTGCCACCTACGAACTTCAGCAACAGTGCTTAGAGGGGCGTCGTCCCAGACTGATTTCCTTGGCCCGAACGATGCTAGTTGAGCAGTCAAAAGATCATTATCTTTTGATGAAGATGCTGCTTCTCTTTGTCTTTGCGCGGATGGGCGTAACTCCATTCCGTCGGCAAGTAGTTCATCGGGGATTACACGGAGAAGGCCCACAAGAAGGTCTTCTGTCTCCTCTAGTCGTCTCTGAATCATCTTCTTCTCCTCTTTCACTGGACCCCTACGTGATATGAGCATCATTGCATAAATGTTGCAAAGGGTTGAAATATTGGCCGTACCTTCTCTTTTGGTCCGTCCATGTGCAATTTCTCCCTGAGGTGCGACATTGGCGGCAAATGGGCCTTTCCCACCACAACTCAATAATCAGCGCCAATTCTTATTTTCTACGGAAGAGTATATAATGGTAACAGGAGGAACAAAACTAGTTACACACTTTTCTCCGCTACACTGTACAGGTATAAGCATGAAGTAGAATCAGACTAATTTTGCTAGTGAGATCTTACCTTTTGTCGTCTGTTGTGGCAGTCGATGCAGGCGACAGAGATGCGGTGTTGCCGAGGCTTCTGAGTGGATTCGGATGCCATCGATTAATCCCTTAGCAGTCTTTGGAAGTGAGTCTGTGGGAAAGGTAGATCGATCGCTAGAAAACGCAGGAGATAAAGAGGGTAAAAGTTTAAGGGTATATTAGTGCCTCTGCCTACTTATCTCGGCTAATCTTTTAACCTCAACCATGTCTGGATGTGTCCCACGCTGGCCCATCCCAGCCAACCTCATCAGAACGTCCGCCTAATCACCAATTGCTGGCATGTCCGCAAGTTCGATTTTCAGCGCGCCCGAGATAGGATGTCTTACTGCAACCAAGCCGCAGGAGACCAGGTTCACCGGCAGCAGCAGTGGCGTTTTCTTTGTCAACACTGTGAAGCAAGCATTCGCTTCTCTCGCCCACGGTTCGCCACAGGCTCAGAATCTCCCTCCTAGCGAGGAGACGCTCGTCAGCATCGATGACAATAATGGTCGAACCACTTATCGAGCAGATGGCCATGGCCAGTATCATTCCTCGGGCGTGTCAGGGCTCGGCATCTTGCCGCCACGAGACGTCGCGCAAAACCTAACTACGGAGTACTTCAGAGATTGGCATCCATTATTCCCCTTCCTCTCTGGACCAGACTTTCTTTCAGACCTCGGGGCAGTCTATGACGACCAAGAACGAGATCCAGCCAAAATGTCAGGTCCACAGCTATCCCGCTTCGTCATTGTACAAGGCGTTATCAACATCGCTGGGTCACAGTCACCCGGCGTCCTACCAGTTGCTTGCCAATTCTCCGACCCTACGTCGTTGCTACAAGCATTGGCTCCCCTCGCGTTTCGCTACCAGACGAGTTCCATCCAAGCGTACTTAGTGGTGCAACTTTATCTCACTTTGAACATGTCATTGAGGCATGCTGCATCCATAGGCGGATTTTTGTGGCGGTCTTTAGCCCAATGCGGTCTCCACAGATGTCCGTTTCGATATGGACAACTCGAGCCTCAAGACCAGATTATGCGCCAGCGTATCTTCTGGAGCGCTTACGTACTAGATCGCTACCTTAGTCAAGCAATTGGAATTCCTCTTGGTATTTCTGATTCGGATGTTGATGTGTGTATCCCTACAAGGATAGAGTTGCATGGTTCGGCTGGAACATCTCAACATCACTTAAATGGCGGTTCTAGCCATGACCCTAATGTCTCATCTACCGACGCAAATACAGCAGAGGATGGAATATTTGTCGCTAAGGAGCAGACTAAAGACCAGTTACCGTTCCAGAAGGAAGAGATCCTTGCGAACTTTGTTGAATATGGCCGACTGCTTGGCCGCATCGTTGAAACATTTCACAAGTCAATACACGTCCGAGGCTGGGACAACCAATCCGTCCTCGTCCTTCGTTCTGATGTGGATCGTTGGTTTAATAACCTGCCAGATGCTTTGCAAACTTCCAGAATGCATAGCAACCCAATGGCACCCGGTCTCGTAGCTATTAAGGCTCGTTTCGGCCCATTCTTTTTGATTCTTTATCAACAACTAATTATCTTACTCAATCGACCAAGTCTTTCTGTTAGAGACCACAGCGGCGAATTCCAGACCGCTTTACAATCTTCTATATCAGCTGCCTGCCTCACAATATCTGCAGTCCAGACTGAAGATCGACTTCTATGGTCTGGATATCTATCTTCGGTGTGGATGTCTGCTCTAATCATTACCTTCGCTTGCCAGCTAGGATTATACAACCGTAACAAGAGCATTCGGTAAGCTATGCGTGTTTGATCGTCTGTTCGCTTTTTCACTTTCTCGTTCAGGGGTCGTGTACTTTCTCTGTTTCTCTGCCCATTATGTGCATTTCAATCTCCGTAAACGGTCTGGCTAAGGCATTTTTTTAGTGGAATTCAGACATGCTTGACCATCCTGCAAGGGATGGCTCCACGTTGGCCTACAGCTCAACACTGCTCTGAAACCTTAACAGCCCTGCTCAAGGGTTTAATTACCTCGAAATCCGGAAATTCCATGCATCCGCCAGGAATGAGCAATTATATGCCCTCTCGAATTATTTCAACGCAAGACACGCCAGCATTTAAAAGAACAAGGCTTGCTATGCAAGATGAGGGTTCTGACAGACTCACAAACTCTCTGGTAGGGTGACTCGTCGACAAGATTGCTTTCACATAACATTAGCAATGACTATTACTAACTGATACAGGAGACACAAAACAACGTGGCCGACAATAATATATCGTACCTAAGCAGACAAGCCACGGGTTCGGAGAGCGTGCGGCACGTCAACCGCTTTGCTGGACCGAACGGAAGACACCAGAATGAACTTATGTATGATTCGCAGCTTATGAATGCATTTAATGGAGTTTCTCGAGGCACACTTCCACATGATCACGGAATTGTTCAAAATGGCCAGGAATATGATATTTTTAGCAGTATTAGCTGGGAAGCACTGTACGAACAAGATATCGATCAGATTTAGTACTATTAAATAAACAATCTAATTTATCAAAGGTTTAATTCATCTTATTTCCATGGCACTAGACCTGGTCGCTCCCGCCAAACCAGTGAGCACATTCATGTGTCTAATTGCAGTGTTCGGGCACCGGTGTCAAGAGCTGTTCACCACTTATGGCTCTTCTTGCATTCTCCATCGCCATCCGTTCCATCTTCGCTAACGTCTCAGTCGTATGCGTGCCAAGATGGGGAACAAGAAGTGCCCGTTCGTTGGATATGAGCTTCTCATTCACGATAGGCTCCTTTTCATACACGTCCAAACCGACACTAGTGATATGGCCGCTCTCTAACGCATCCGCCATGGCAGATTCGTCGATGATGGCACCGCGAGCCGTATTAACGATAACTATTCCTTTCTTCATCTTGTCGATCTCGGGCTTGCTAATCAGGTGCTTCGTCGCAGCGAATAGAGGAACATGTACTGAGATGACATCGCTCGTGCTCAGAAGCTCATCGAAGCCTACATAAGTACCTTCTTCGGCCTCGGTCGTCGTAGGCTTTGTGCGAGTGTAATAGATGATATTCATCCCAAATGCCCTAGCTCTTTGAGCGACAGCTTTACCGATCCTGCCCATGCCTAAGATGCCTAAGGTCTTTCCTGATGGATCATTACCGAAACCGACGTCCTTCTTGAAATTCCCTTGGCGGAGTCTCAGCAAACCAGGGTTTAGCTGTCGTAGGGCTCCTAAAAGAAGGAAGATGGTGAGATCTGCAGTGGCTTCTGTAACAGGATCAGGTGCATAGGTCAGGGTGATACCTCGAGCCTTGCATGCTGCGGTGTCGATTTGATCATAGCCCGCACCATTGTGACATATGGTTAGAAGAGAGTCTGGAAGGCGGTCAATGAAGGCCTTATCGAAGTTGCCAGCGACCTGTGCATCAGTCAGTTTAAGCTGATATCATGCAATATTAATAAGCAAAATGAATAAGAGCGAACAATAGACGTGAATTTTTGCATACTGCTCCACTAGCCGATGTGCGATAAATGACCTGTGCACTTTGATATTTCGTACTAAGGTCCTGGAAAAACTCTTCTCGGGATTTACTTGTAACCGTCTGTGTGTCCGCTACCTTTCCCAGTGCCTGATAGTCGGCAAGAGCGTGGCGAACAGGGTTAAAAAAGAGGATTAAAGGACGTGGTTGCACCATTTTGGGATTTAGTGGAATATGTGTGTGGTTGGTAAAACTACTCGGCACATATATTTTCTTAGAAAGAGATATAGCAATTGTGGTTTAACATTTCCGTTCTTATATTCCCCTAGGCAGTTCTCCGGTTGTTCACGAGGATGGGACAGGTCTGGGTAGGATGTGTGAGGCGTGCACTCGAATCATAGTTGAGGCTAAAAGTATAGCCACCCCAAAAACACTAACCAAGAAAATTACATGAGGTATATTAGATGTACAATTCGTCATGTACGGATCCAGAGCGATATCTGTAGAAATAGAACGTGTCTTTATGTATTAGGGCAGAGATAGTACATCGTTAGCATCATTAAAATATATCTGTGTTCTAAGTATCTGAATGCATTTCAAAACTGGAAGGTGGTTGGTTCTATGGTCTTTTCGCAAAGACGAATAAATGAGGATTAGTAGCATGAAACCTGTACGTATGATCGCTTGTACTGTGCCATGTAATAGTTTAGCTTCCTTGATTAGAAAAGATACCCATAAGATACGTAATAATTCATAATTCACTTCAAGATATGTACGATTATCGATTTTAACGGACAAGTTTTTGATAACTCTACACCCAAAACCAGTCCTAGAGCCGTCGCAAAGTGGCCGAGATAACACCCACGTAGGTTGTCATGCCAAGAAATACTCATGAACAGATATATTAATTTCTATATATAGTATCTAGAACCTACGAGCTGCAAAATGCAATGCCCTTCTGGATATTACCCTTTAACTCCGCTATTGCGGTAGCTAGCAAGGTCTCTTCATGTTTAGAGATTTCGCTAACAGACAGTGCCTTCTCTGCTCCAGAAACGCCAAACTCAACTGGCACCGCAAAGTAGTCTACACCAAGTGACTTGGCTATTTTGTCTCCGCCTGGAATGCCAGGTAGGTACAGATAGCATTCCTCCTTAATGCCCTTCTCCCCCGAAGCAGCCTTTAGGATAGACTGAACGAACCTAGGTGAAATCTGGTTAACTTTACATCTGACGAAGGAATCACTTAGGAGAGACATACCTAAATCCTGCATATGCCATGCAAGTGGTGGCTGACCCTGCACCGGCCTTGGCCTTGACGATCTCATCGCCGCCAAATTGGACGCCTTTGCTATATGTTAGATTGTAGATTCATGTGTCATGTGTATTGGTACTTACGGTAGGTGATTGCATCTCTTTGATCATCAGTCAGTTTGACTAGAGGGTTGGCCTGGCTTAGCAGAGGCAAAATGGTTGCACCGCTGTGACCTCCCACCACGGGGATTCTCAGGGACTTAGGGTCTGAGATCTGGAGTGCCTGAGCTGTGAAAGTAGACGCCCTCACAACGTCGAGGGTAGTAACACCGAATACCTTCTTGGGGTCATAGACGTTGTGTTTCTTTAGCGTCTCAACGGCAATTGGTAAAGTGCTGTTGACAGGGTTTGTGATTATGAGAACAAATGCCTTGGGGCACACCTTAGCAATCTCAGTTACAAGATCACGAATGACAGAAGCGTTCGTCTCGAAGAGTTCTAGGGCACAATTGTTAGGTAAGAGGCCTCTATCATAAGACTTATGGCGAGATTCTCACGGTCACGCGTCATGCCTGGCTTGCGAGCAATGCCGGCAGGTATCACGACAAGATCTGCGCCAGTCAATGCCTTACGAAGACCATCGTCTGCTGCGAGAAAACCATTGACGGGCGCGGGGGTGTCGATGTGGTTAAGATCTATGGCGACACCAGGGGCGTGCACAATGTCGTAGAGAGACAATGCGGACACTAATGGGCTCTATTGATACCATCATATGTGAGAAGAGTTCCACTTTGTAGTGTATAATTTGGTTAGGTGTTTAGGCTTACAGTCTTTAGAAGCAGACTTAGTGGTTGGCCAATCTGGCCGGCGGCCCCTAGAACAGAAACTTTATGCATTTTAAGGTTTGATATTCTTAATGCCGAGATAATCAGTGTAGTGCGTGCTGCAAGTCAATGCTTAATTACTCGGCGAGGAAAACAGCCGGAAGGTGTGTTTTATAGATTCGCCAGCCGTCCAATTCGGTTGATATTTGTGCCTAAACCATTATCCTCCCTGTGTTAGCCACGATTCTTAGTCTAACTAATCTGTCCGGGCGAGACTCAGCCAGCTGCTGACTGTGTCGTCTTGCCCAGCCTCCTGTCACACAGATTGGGAAAGATCAAAGTTCTAAGGGAATCCGGGGAATATGCGGGGAAGTAGTGGGTTGCGAATCTATTCCCCGGATTTCAGTATTACCCCCTGTACTTGAAACCCTTATAAGTCCACTAAGTCCATTCGTAATCCATTGTAATTTCCGACTATTGCCCTTCAGAAGCCTCGTTGTTCATTTCCATCTTCATCTTCATCATGACCTCCAAAGTCGATATTGAGCCAAACGCTCACCACCTTGAGTCCGTGGACATGGCTGAAAAGGATACCAACACCCCTCGAGATTACGCCGGTGCTGTTCTTACACGAACCCCAGCAGAGACCAAACTTGTGAAGAAGTTGGACTATCGAATCATGGCATGTTTGCATAATGAAATGGCAACGACACGCCAGCTAATATTACCAGCCAATCTTGTGGCTCATGTTCTGGTTGAACTACCTCGACCGTAATGCCATCGCCATTGCAAGACTCAACTCACTTGAAAGTGACCTGAATCTCAAAGACTCCGGTACGTCTACTCCTTAAATTATGTCGTTGTCGTAGAAACTGCTAATATGTTCTTGTTCGTAGAGTACCAAACTTGCGTGTCGATCCTTTTCGTCGGATACATCTTCGGAGGCATTCCCTCTAACATGTTGATTACTCGTGTCAGACCCTCTATTTATATGGTAAGGCAATTCGTACACATCCCTTCAAAAAGTATTGACTCGTGATTAGGGCAGCGTCATGGCGGTCTGGGCAATCGTGTCTGCCTTAACGGCAGTCGCGAATAACTACATTGGCCTTCTTCTTGTTCGATTCTTCTTGGGCATTACCGAGGCACCTTACTATCCGTAAGAATCCATCTGGGGACCATGAAAAGCTGAGGCTAATGTAAAGTACAGTGGCGCACTCTACCTTCTGTCCATTTTCTACAGTAAGTGCTCCATGTCCCATCCATTCTTTCTTGTACATGAAGTAACGTTAGTGTGATTAGCCCGTAAGGAAGTTGCAACCAGAATGGCCGTACTCTACACCGGAAATATTATAGCGACGGCGTTTGCTGGCCTTATCGGCGCTGGTGTGTTCCATGGCATGGATGGTCTAGCCGGTCTCGCTGGATGGCGGTATGTTTCACCATTTAAGGGATATCATTATTATACTGACTTTAGATAAAGATGGCTCTTCATTCTTCAGGGTGCGGTTACATTTGTTGTCGCCGTTGGGGGAATCTTCCTCTTGCCCGATGACCCTTCAGTTACTAAGTGGCTAACTCCAGAGGAAAGGGTCATTGCAGTGCACCGGATTCATCAGGACACTGTTGGCGAAACTGGGGAAGCTACTAGTTTTGGCGGTTTTAAAGGACGCCTTAAAGGATCGCAGAGTTTGGCTGTTCGTTTTCATCCAGCACATGCATCTCGCAGCCAACGGTTTCAAGAACTTCGTAAGCTATTCCCATTGACACCATTTTTCGCACTAGTGAACTAACACATTACTTTCAGTTCCCAACTGTTGTTGAAACCCTCGGCTTCGATACCACCATCACCTTGGTTTTGACATGCCCTCCATACCTTATCGCAGGAGCAATTAGCGTATACTGGTCATGGTCTTCCGGAAAGTACAACGAGCGGACATGGCACATTACAATCGCCAAAGGTGTTGCAATCCTCGGCTTCGTTCTGGGCTGCGCTACTCTCAATATGGGCGCCCGATACTTCGCTATGATAGTTTTCTCTGTGGGCACATATGCCGTTAACAGCATCGTGCTTGGATGGGTTAGTTCCACATTCGGTCAGACAAAGGAGAAAAGGGCCGTTGCCATTTCTATAGTGGTTAGCACTAGCAACATCAGCTTCATTTGGACTCCGGTATGTACTCTATTCTCTGTTATTCGAATGCGCCTCGTCCAAATGCTAACATTACTTTTAGTATCTTTGGCCAAAGAGCGACGGCCCACAATACGTCACGGCACTTGCTTCCTCGGCAGCGTTTTCGTTTGCGACCCTTGCGGGTGCCTGGGCGATGAAGTTTATTCTCATGAGACAGAATAAGAAGATTAGACAGCGAGAGGGTGATGCGACTCTCTTCTTTGCCTATTAGCTAATTAAACCCCATTAGTCTCTATCTATTGCCTCAAGCCTTTGCGCCCATCATTACTAGGTGCGAAGATTACATAGTTATAGTACCACAAACAATCACTTAGTTTAGCGGTCTTCTGTCTTGGGTTGTTTGTAATTAGAAGGGTGTATTTGCAAAAGATACGCATCGCTGTATATACCAAGCATCAACACGACGGGCTGTAATTTATCTTCGACGTACGCCTCGTCGCTCATGTGAAGCGCATCATAGTCTTTAGTCAAATCGCCTAACACAGCTCTCACAGCGTGTATGGATGCAACCCTGCCTTCGTTACGGCATTCAGCTTCGTAGAATCTCTAGATGATTAATACAAACGGGCCTTCATTGCCTCAGTGGTTCAAACCAGCAAGCCGACCTCGATACCATTATATCTAGAGAATAACTCAGGTTAGCTCTATAAGAGACAGGTATCACAATGCTAAGTCGGTCGGTCGGAACTTTCTAGCTCGTAATTGCTAGCCACAAGGAGAATTTTAGTTGAAGATAAAAAAATTATAAATTGTTCAAGGCTGATACTTAAAAATAAAAATAATCTAAATCTACGCTATGCAGCCCCTCTTCATGGGTTTCTTATCTACTACTTATTTGTTCTCCTTGATGTCCTCGCAAATAGCCGCCGTCACCTCTTTGGTGTTATACTGTCCTCCTAGATCAGCTGTCACAACGCCTTTCGAGCATACTCTCTCTACTGAAGCCATAAGAATGTCAGCTGCCTCGGCCTCTCCTATCCACTTCAGCAACTCCGCTGCCGACCAGATAGCCGCGACAGGGTTCGCAACACCCTTGCCAGTAATGTCAAAGGCAGATCCATGCACAGGTTCGAAGATGCTAGGGTTCTTCCTTGTAGGATCTAGGTTGCTTGAAGGAGCAATACCGATAGAACCAGCCAAGGCAGCTGCGAGATCTGAAATAATATCCATGTGTAGGTTCGTGCCTAGGACGGTATCGAGAGAATGAGGGTTCGTAACCATGCGTACAGTCATTGCGTCAACCAACATTTTATCCCATATAACGTCAGGGAAATCTTTGGAGACCTCGGCGGCAATCTCATCCCAAAGAACCATACCATTGCGCATGGAGTTCGACTTGGTAACAACCGTGAGTAACTTGGCCGGACGCGAACGAGCCATCTCAAATGCAAATTTCATGATGCGCTCAATGCCCACGCGCGTGAAGATGGCGACTTCGGTGGCTGTCTCCCATGGCTGACGAAGATGCGAGCGTCCACCTTGTCCAGCGTACTCACCCTCTGAGTTCTCGCGAACGATCATCCAATCGATTGGCTTTGTCATGGATGTTAAGTAGGCTCTTGTGCCAGGAAAGGACCTGACAGGCCGTACGTTGGCATATAACTGCATAGGACCTCGCATAGCAAGCAGTAATCCCCATAGTGATATGTGGTCGGGTACATCTGTAATAGCCTGTTAGAAACAAGTGGACGGAAGTAATGGACAACGGATGTGTACCTGGTGCTCCAACGGAACCGAAAAGGATAGCATCATACTGTTTCAGTGACTCTACACCACCTTCAGGGATATATCTGCCATGTTTCTTGTAGTGATCGCTACCCCAAGTAAGATCCGTAAACTCGAGACTAAATGTCTTGAGAGTGTCTGTCAAGACTTTCAGCACGTCAACTGCTGCACTGATGACCTCCGGTCCGATACCATCGGCTGGTATGCAGGCGATTTGATAGTTCTTGCTTTTATTAGTCATGTTAAGTCGATACCAAGTAATATGTGCTGAGCTGGGGCTAGAAGGCATAGGATAATGGATTCAACGACAACTATTGTGGCGCGGATTTAGCATAACTTGTCAAACAGGGTGAAGGCTATATAATTTAAAGTTGAACTCTAGAAGTAGCCTCTGTTTCGTAAATCAGTGCGGCCGAAAGATTAGCAGCGTTACTACATAATCCTGTGTGGTCTTCAAGGTTATTTGTTTAACCGCCTCACGTGGGAGTGTCATTTTCCAAGTCGGACTTTGTGGATGGTACCATTAGCTTGTGTTAAAAGTTTAACCGACTTCGGAGCCTAATCTTATCGAATGTAGAACTTCTACGAGACTAGTTAAAATATAAAAACGATGGTTAATTGCATACATAAGAAACGGTAGAGCTAGTAAGAATAGAATCCTTGTATAGCTCAAAGTTGGGAAACGTCGATTAAAAAATCCAATCCTGAAGCTCTGGTAATAATAATAAAAACTAACGAAAAACGGCACTGGTTTTTAGTTCCATGGTACCCTCGCCGCCCTGATCCCATGTCTACGCCCATTAGTCTTGATGTTCTAATGCGGGGGTGCGACTTAGGAGTCTGGGCTTTTCAACCTGAGTATCGGCGGAACCCCGCGAGCAGCGGCGATCATCCCGCCTGCTGCTTCGGGCGTTGCGGGTAGGGGTGACTGAAATAGCATATAGCACCGTTGGCGGTTGACTAGGCGCCTTAGTGTTTGACCGTGAACTTTGTTATGATCTAATCTGGGTATAAGACTCACCTTGCGTACATAAATGGGCTTCGGGTAATCATAAGCCCATTCCCACATCATTACGTATAGTTTTTGTAATGGAGCATGGCCCCTCCCACTATGCCATTCTGAAGTACATTTCTATGATGTCTTCTTCGTGGCCCTGGTTCGGATTTTCATCATCAGAAACACGAGCGCATAAGATCTCACACAAAACAGGGCAGCAATGGCAACTTAGTAGACGAATCAGTAAGGGATCATAACCTTATGAGGTAACTTTTGACATATGCGGACAGCTTACTCCTCTCCAACCGTAACTAGGGCCGTTGATGTTGATAGTCTTCAGGTAATCTCCCCCCACCTTATAGGGACAGTAATCACAAGAAGTAGTGTTACCAGGGTCTACCACGTAACCGCTATTCTCTGATAGAAAATCCGCCATATACTCGCCACAGGATGTAGAGGGTAGAAGTAGAACATTAGTCAGTTCGCTCAGCTTACAGTGTATCTCAAGGTCCCAAACCACAGGCTGCAACAAGCCTTGGATCAGGTAGGTAAATGGGTTGAGGTAGTAAAGCCAATACCTCCAGAACGCCTTGATCTGGGAGTAAGGAACCACTACCCCTAAAAAATTGATGAGTACAGCACCAATCACTATTGGATTAGCTAAGGCGCTGAAATACGCATCAGGACTACACACAGCAATTGCCTACGGCGAGGGAGAATCGCCGCCGGGACCAGGCCGCCTGTTCTGCAGACCCAGCACAGGTCGACGCTGCAACGATGGCCAACTTGATGGATCTTACAGATAAGGAAATTCCCCAGTTTAGATATATCTACTAAATATAATTTTGGGATTGCACCATTGGCAATATAGAGCGGGATATTGCCAATGGTGCTAGTTTGCCACTAGGTGTATTAAGATTGAAGTATTATGGGGTGTCAGACTAGTCTATGCGATAAATCATATGTCTTATTGCTTAACTCATATGTAAATGGTGATAATAGGGAGAGGGAGGGGCTGGTTACTATGTTCGACGGGTGAGTGAATACTATATTTGTTCTTGGTGACTTACCTACGGATTTAAACTAATGATTTTCATAGAGTTTGGAATAACGATAAAATCAAGACCGAAAATCCAGTGAGGGTCATGTAGGAGAGCCATACAGGAAGAGGGGCGGTTTGGGAGCTTAGGATGATTATTCGAGCTGAGAAGCGGTGTTGGATTAATAACCTGGCGAGCGATGTGTATAGTGGGGTCGCCTGGATTGTTTCGAGAATCAAAAAATACGATAGCAATATGATACGTTACATCTTGTTTCTATGAGCATTCATTCCTAAGCTGTCTTCACCTGTATGTACCTGTACAAGTTTTTTGATCCGTCCGCAAGCGTCAATGGCCCACCCCTCATATTGTGTTTCTCAAGTACAATTGTGTAGATCCGTAAGCGATCCGTATCATGGAGGATGATCAATATGAGGGACTTCGCACGGTGCGGAGACACAACCGAGGCTGACGCTAAAGCTGCAGATAAAAGCGTCAGGAGGAAACATGCCGCCACTAACGGACGGCCTAGTGTTTGCGGGGGTTGAGAGCGGAGCCGGAGCTTCATTCCCCGCGGGTTGCGGGGTGTGAATAGGGGCCAGTAGTTTCCCAAGTGGAGAAATCTAACATGGAGACAAAAGTATTCAAGCTGATACCCGCCCATTCGGCCCATTCGGCCCCTGACAGAGAAGTTGTTTCGCGTTGCAATCATATAGAATCCGTAATTTATTACTACATCGTCTAGATTTGAGGGGTGTGGGGTTGGGGTGGGAGCAGGGGCCTGGAGCTTCCCCGCGTGGAGAAGCCCTAAGTTGAGGCAAGATCATCGACGATCCAAGCCGATTCGATGAGAGCTGCTCGGACCGGTACGGAACGAATTGTTAATTTACGCTAGAGTTAGGGTTTATGACAGTGCATCCCGCTCTGAGATCCGCTCTAGGGTACAACATTAGCACTTCACACGCATAGTAAGGTATTTTATTAGTGCCCGCCTCGCTGAACCCCAACCTTGAGAGCATATATCGCGGGGATAGGCTTCCCGGAGACAGGCTTCCCCGCTATGTTTATTTTCAATGCGGGGGTGCTAAGCCCATTGAAGTCTAAGGCTGTTGGTAAAACACAAGAATATTACACTCGCACGAATAAAACTTCACCAACAAATAATTTTCGGGTCCACATGCGGCGTCGAATTGTCGTTGAATTGTCTAGCGTAGGTAAAGTCCAAAGATATGCAAAAATTAGCGAATGTTCCATTTCCTTCAAACATATATATATATGTGGAAGAATCTACGTAAGTGATGGCATCTTCCAACATCATCTTCCAACATCATCGCAGTTATTCATTGAAATTCCCCAAGATGTTGTCTTTCATTCCACTAGGAGTTGCTTTGTTTATAAGCTCAGCATTGGCATCGAAGCAAATTGCAAGTTAGATATTCCATTACATAAAAAATAGCTAACGGTTGAGGCAGGTTCCTGGAGCGACTTGGACTGCAAAGGGGACAAACCAGCATGTTCAAGCCCATGGAGGAGGTGAGATCGCCCTTTAATAAGAAATGTCAATGAGAGAAGTGAAAGGCTAAGATTCTCCAGAAATCACCAAAGTTGGCTCAACGTACTATTGGATTGGGGAGAACAAGCTTTCTGGGAGCGCATTCCAATCGATCAACTGCTATTCCAGTACCGTATGTATTCAATTCAGCTTTACAGAACCATACTAACTTTCTCAAGGATCTTGTTCAGTGGACCTTTGTGAACGAACTCCTCACATTGCAACCGGATGGGGATCTTGGGCCAAACCGTGTTGTCGAAAGACCACACATTATCTACAACTCTCAAACATCAACATATGTCATGTGGATGCATATTGATTCTAGCGATTACCAAGAAGCCAAAGCTGGAGTTGCTACTTCAGCAACAATTTGTGGCGATTATTCGTATCTGTAAGACTCGGATTCCATTATTCGTTTCACAGGGGTAATATCTAATATGACGTGATTTTAGAGGCTCTTCTCGGCCGCTTGGTTTTGAATCAAGAGATATCGGCCTTTTCAAAGGTTTGCAGTCTATGTTTCCTTTCCAATGTTAAAGGAGTTGCGGAAGCCAATACTTATCAATGCTTATAGATACCGATGGCAGTGGCTATCTCCTTTCTGAAGACGCATGTCCTCCCGCACTATATACAGAAGTCACACATCTAACTCTTTTCTCTAGCGATCTAATGGCCTTCGAATTGATAAGCTATCTCCAGATTACCTAACCGTGGAATCCACAGTCCATATCCTTGATGATTATGAATCGCCCGCCATGTACAAGTCTAATGGCATTTATTTCATGTTTGGTTCAAGCATGACTGGTAAGATTCTCCTTTCTACACTCCTCCTATGGACAACAGCTGATATCAAAACTATAGGATGGAGTAAGAACACATCTATGATATCCTCAAATGGCACCTAACATACGTCGTTAACAGACGCGAATGACAACGTCTACAGCACCGCCACCAGTCTCAGTGGCCCGTGGTCAGGATGGAATAAGTTCGCAGCCCCTGGTTCTAATACGTATTACTCTCAAACTACCGCTGTGGTTTCTATTAATGGGGTTCTTATGTACATGGGCGATCGCTGGGAACCTAACAACCTTATGTCATCAACTTACATCTGGCTACCATTGACAATCTCAGGCACTACTGCCACAATGGTATTACCTGTACCTGTCTTATCATAAAATGGTGCTAACGCATCCACAGGACAACAGGAATAGTTGGATAATCAACCCCTCTGCTGGAACCTGGTCACCAGCTCCCGCGGAAACAGTTACAGAAGCCGAAGCCAAAACGAACACCCTCACAGGGTCCGCTATAATCGTATCATGCTCAGGATGCTCCGGTTACCAAGCCGTTGGGTGGCTTGGCGGCTCCGGAAACGGTGCCCTAAAATTCCCTAGTATTGCCAGTTCGGCTTCTACCACTACGACGATTCGGATCCAGCAAGAGAATGGGGACACGGAGCAGAGATACGGGAATGTGACGGTCAATGGTGTCTCGAACATCGTCGCTTTTTTGCCATCTCGGAATGGGAATACTCCGGGGACTTCGGTCTTGACTGTTCCGCTCAAGAAAGGCTCGGCAAATGTAATCAAGTTTGAGGCGTATAACGGTGGATATGGTTAGTATCATCTTCTATTGTGATTGCCGATTAATAGTTTGCTGACCTTTCGAAGTTGCCGATATCGATCAATTGATACTGCCCAGTTCTTAAGGTAGGGCGCCCGCCGATATGTGTACGGATTGGCCTTCAGCGATTTATCTTACACTGGATATCAAAGCCTCAATAAAGCAATCTGGCAATGGCAGTGTCACAGTTAAAACAGCGTTGTAGCATTGTTTCCATGTTTTACATTCTATATAAAGTGGCAGCATTTTGAAGTTTTATATCTACAAAGAGCAAATACAATACATTCATTTATATTTTTCAACCATTTATGAACGGTTCAGTTGTGGTTATCTTGCATCTGTAACTTGTAAATTAAAAGAAGGAGTAGTGTTTAGTAATTGGGACAGGCCTCTACATATTCCACTACTGGACCACGGCTATATCCTTGGGATTTTAGACCTGGCACTGTGCCATATAGCAAGCGATCGTTTTCGAAGAGGTTGGAGGACCAGCCAGGAAGGCCCATCAATAGATCAAACTCGTCATCTATAATTTTTTTGCTAATATCTATGATCCTCAGACAGTTTGGCCCACCACGAGTGGCGGAAGCACAGCACAAAGATTATCTGATTCTATCACCAGAACCTGGAGAAGCGAGCTGTGATAACAATCAATGTATTTAACGTTTGCGATTGCGCTTTGATCCCCTAGTCGGCATACCACTACCTGATGACCACATATCCTGAGCTGAAAAGACAGAAATCAGCTAGTCATTTGTGTTTCAGAAGCACAGGAAACACACTCATGGAGCTCGAAAGAGGGATTTCAGAATCGTCTAATTATCTCTCATTTGTAAGCGCTTATAGACCCGCCATTTCCGTTCTAGGCCCTCTATGATCCATCCAACAATCGCACCTTTAGTACGGAAAACAAGAAACCGAGCTGTACATAATTTCAAGGGCAGTTCTTTTATGCAAGCCAGAACCTAAGTTGAAAGCGGAGATGACGAAAATCCGACCCTGAAGCCATGGGAAACTAGCTCCGGAAAAGCTACGAAAAAACAGCACGAGGTCTTGATTCCTGTTATCCCCTTTCCATTCAAAGACTTTGATGGCGACGACGCAGCTACTTTTCCACCACATCAAGAAAACATGAGGTGCGCATGGTGCATTCTTGGTACATTGGCGTAACCTCAACCTTCGGAGATATCTCAATATCGACTGTGAGTCTCCATTTTGATTTGCGACGTGCGGTAAATATGAGAATTGATATATGCCTAGTTATGCTTAGCAGCACGTAATTTACTCAGTATCTTTTTTCTGCACTCTGATGTTACATCTGGTAAAAATTCCAGGCTTTTCCATTTCGGCGTCCCCAAGGAAAATCTTCCAGACACTGCCTTAGTTGGCAAGCATGATGCACCTTCCGCGATCAAGAGGTCTAAAATCTCCTCATGGCCACCCCTAGCTGCGAAGTAAATGGCATTTTCACTTAATGTCTTGCTAGACTGAATATCCAACTGGGGGCTTTTCTCTAGCAAACTTTTGCAGGCGTCAAGATGTCCCATTTCTGCCACCGCCATTAGGGGAGTATATCCATCATTGTTCGCCAAGTCAACTTCTGCATCATAGCGAAGTAAGAGATCGACTATGGTGCTTGCAGTTTCGTGGTCCTCGATTCTGCAAGCAAGGATAAGAGGTGTTTCCAGATTTCCACGGCTTTTGCAGTTCACATTAGCTCCAGCAACCAAGAGGGCTTCGACACATTTGTGGCTTTTCGGCTCCCCAATTGCCCTGCAAAGAGGAGTTCCATTATCACTCGGCGCGTCAATTTCGGCCCCTCTTCGAACCAGAAGAGTGACTATGTGGTACATAACGCAAGAAGCAGCAAGGTGTAGTGCTTTCGTGCCAAGTTTGCCATATGTTATTTCAATGTTTGCACCACCGTCCAAGAGGATCTGGGCGATTTGAATCTGATTAGCGTCAACGGCGGTGTGAAGTGGCGTATGGTCCAGGTGATTCCTAGTTTCAAAAAGCGCACCGCATTCAATTAGCAATGCAGTGCCTTCTGCAAGGCCTAGTTGTGCTGCGACATGGAGAGGGGTAAACCCTAGCCGATCTTGCGAATCCAGGAGAGTTCTGATCTGTGCATATTGTCTTAACCTTACTAGGTTATTTTGCTTAAGAGCTCGAATTAGCTCGTTATCTTCGGTAGTGACGTTAGGATCAACATAGAATATGCCAAACACGGTATCCCAGGGCTTAAAGTCTCGTTTCAGCAACTTTTTGTGATGAATCCGGCAGTTCTCAATTAGGTCGTAGCATTCCTGGCAAATGAACGGCGTGAATTCGCATTCCGGACAAGAGTAATGGTAGCCCAAGGCAGCCATCACATCCCCGCATCGTTTACATTCTACATCTTGTGCATTCTTTAGATTATCTCTAAAGCCTTCCTTAAACTCTCGTGACATTGCTTTTAAATCGTCATCCAATTCAGCAAGGTATGTGGACTCTTTAGCCTCGAATAAAGATGTCACATTAGCCCCCTTGACCATTGCGGCATGTGAAGTTTCATTTTGTTCTTGTAACTGAGTAGGGGATGTGATTAAAACATCGGAATTCTTGGACTTCGGTGTGCAAGGTGGAGAGCTGTCTTTAGGATTCGTCGTCGTTGTTGATGTAGGTTCAGCCTCGAGTGTGATTGAAGGCTCTTGGACTGGATCAGGAGCAGTTCCAAAAGCAAGGGGAAATTCTCCACCAGGTTCGATAGCTGACTCTCTTGATCCAGAGTCATTGAGATTACCAGGCGGGTAGGGAGGCGGGGATGATTGATTAGGTCCAATGTGTAAGTCTCGGAACTGATTATATTTGTAAGCATACCACGTTTCAACAACATCGTTGGTTTAAATATCTCGTACCTTCGATTCAAATCGCGAACTTTCATTCATTGCAGCTCCTGCTCCAGCAACAATCTTTGCTGTGCTGACAAGCCCATGTTTTACGGCTGCCTTGACAGCAGGGTAGATCCCGTTCTGGCCTCTCTTGATCTTCGCAATTTGAGAATGATCACAATCTGCAGATACCAGTTTCTCTCTAGGATAAAACTGTTGGGCCGAATCGCGACTAACCATCATAACAGGTGGCCCTTCGCGTACCCAGGCGCCATCAGCCTGGACGAAACTTCAGTAGCCATTAACTTTAGTCAGAGAAGAACTTACATCGATTGCTGTTTTTGTCGGTTTAGTCTCGTAGCAGGTTAAGATATCAATATCTCGTGCAAATCGAGTAAAACTCTGGTTCAGCCAGGTTAAAGTCGGAGACTCTGATTGGAGCTCTAAAACCATTTGCTCGGTTGCTTCTCCCTTGACCAAGGTCTGGAGGGCGGTGATATTCAGACCACGGTGTGGAGCTGCTAGGAATATGATCTCTCTAACAGGTATACGGGAGCTGTTACTATAGATATTTAGTCTCTTCGTGGCACTGCAATCGTAAATATCAACTTACATTCCAAGAGATATGGCATCAGTTAAAGTCTGTTCATTTATTAGCCGTTTTCTAACATTATCGAATATAATATTTATACCTTTTTGATAATCAGGCAGCCCAGACTATGGCCGATGAAAATGATTGGCCTACTGTCGCACTTGCGTTACTGTTAGCTTGTCCTGAACCCCAGGATAGACAAAGGTTTACTTGGCCCTCCTCTCGCATATCGATTAGGCTGTGAACAAATTTGTTGGTATGATCTTGTAGGATGCTGACTGAGTCGCTGCCCTGTAGTTTAGAGTGATAACCGTAGGTCAAGATCCGCGCATTTGGTGCATCCCTTGGTAGATAGTCTCTCAGCCACATGTGCGTTTCGGAGTGTGCCCATGAGCCAAACGCATGGCCTGCAAGTCCTGTGACGGCGATGACGCTGTTTGTAGTCAGACATCACCAACTTTTATATAGATAGGTTCTGGATGTAGTAGAAGATTAGTAAGTATAGCTTACTCTGCGACAATAGGTCCCTTCTCTACTGGTGGAACATATACAGGTGTGAACCCACGAAAGTCCTTGTCTACTGTAATAGAATCGTCCTGAACTCTTGGACCACCTGGAATCGACTCATAGGGGTGGAACATAATAGTAGCTGTAAGGTCACCATCTTCGCCTTCGATAGTTTCGACGGCAGGAACCAACGATTTTACCGTGATATCCGCCTGATCTTTGACATAGAAGTAATTCCTAACGAGCTGTTCTTTGGTTGTTCCAAAGGGGATATTCTCCACTCGATAGGTCAGAGCCTTTGGTTTCTGAGCCGACATGGCGAAGGAAGAGTAGTTTTCCAAGTCGATCTATGGAAGCAGTTGTCTTCATAGCATCTTTCATTGAAAAATAGTACGCTGCAAAGTAGGTTTTACGAAAGCCTTGGTTAATTACACTCTCAAGCAATAAGTAATAAAATAGATGGGCGGGGATTCCCTCACCTGGAATCCCTCAGTTAATAATAGTGGTGTTGGATCTTGGCTGCATATTGCTCCATGTACAGTGCAATGGGACCAGCCAACAGTCTTCCGTTTCCGTGCATGTGTAAGAAGTAGATTCATACCTTCCAAGGTTGCCATCAGAACCAGCCAACCATCTCTCGTTTGTAAGCGCTTGTAGACAGACCAGTCTCCTCATTCCCAACTGCAGGAACTATGGCCCTTCCGAAAACACGGGAAACAAGGCTAGCATTATACATAACCTTGAAAGCGGGGGTTTTTTTTTCGAGCTGCGAAACTCAAAGTTGGGAAACGGATATTAATGAACCCCCAGGCCTACAAATAGCGTACGTACACCCGTAGTTTAGTTAGTAATTCAATTGACTATATCCTACTGTGAAGCTTCTGTGGCGTTGCCTGAAGAGATCGATTACGGTCGCCGGAGGCTCTCATACGATTTTGTGTGTGGTTCCCTAATTACTCCCAACAAAATGCAGTCTTAGTTATGCCAGTGTAGAGTGAGTGGCTTTTCTTTGTATACCATGGGGTCATTACCCGCCCCCCTCTATCGCTGAACGCTCTTCTAAACTCTCTCTTCTCTTTTTTTATATTTCTGCAGTTCCTGTCGCTTTCACTCCTCAATCAAAAATTCCTGTCCCTTCAGTTCTCGCTACATCTAACTGCCCACAATGATACCTGGCGATAATGAGTGGCTTCGTTCTCAATTTGCTAGGTTAGGGGCATCGCCAGTGCCAAAAACAACAGCAGCCTGTGAGAGCAAAAAAAGAGATTATAGGTGCCACTGAACGACTCTACAAGGTTGAGGCCAAGTGTTAGGACTGTGAGATATCCCATGCTCATAACAAATTGCAAAACTAAGAGACTTCAAGGGTACTGGCTTTCCCGAGTCTGGTCAAAGCGTGCCTTTGCTAGTCGATGATGGTGGTTCGACCCCCAATTAGGCGCATCCGTATGTAGGTTTCGCAAATGCTGCATTTTTTTTTTGCGATGTCAGTTTGTTCTTCAAATCGGAGGATTGTTTTAAACGCTCTCGCGCTCTGACTCGCTGGCTGCCTTCTCGCGGGCCTTGGCAGACCATGGGAAATGCGCAACGGGGACAACGAAGAAGGAGTTACTACGGAATGGCCGGTTAACTTAGTTCAGGACGGAGTAAAGGATAACTGTACCTGCTATCTGCAATACCAGCGAACGCATTGTACCACGCCATAAAGGCAGTCATGAGACCAAAGTAACCACCAGCCTTAATACAGTTGGCATTTGGTTCGCCCCCCTCGGCATTTAGGTATCCAATAGCGAGCATCAGGAAGGCCAGGTCGACAGTCAAAAACACCAGGAAGAAGGCGACGGTAGAGCGCAGAGTGCAGAGGAGCATTAAAGTAGTAAAGATGAACCAACCGATGAGGAAGAAGCCAAACGCGTTGGCGAAGTCGTTGGCGTCTCCCCCATCAAATGCAGCTTTGATGTCGAAGCCGCCAGGGGTGAAAACGATAGCAAAGGACATCCAAAAGCCGCCATACGACGATAGTGCAGTGGCACCAAAGGTGTTTCCTATAGCCATCTCCCTATCTAATGGTTAACCCTGCGGTAGATAGCCAGTGCATGAGAGCATAGGATGCGGAGTAAATACAAACCACATGCCAGCTAACAACTGGATAAGTCCACCATATCCAAATGCCAACCCAACGACAATGTTAGGCTCAGTAACGTTCTTGGCCTGGACGTTGATGAGAGAGAGAACGAAGCTGGTCAAGGCAAAAGCGCTCAGTCCGAGAGGAGCGGGGTTGCCAAACTTCCGGCTAGTGGTAGGTTTGTAGAGACCTGGCTGGAACTCTCCTCCAAAGGCAGCATATCTGGCTGATTCCCCCGTATTCATGTGAGCCAGCGGGTTTCCTCCGTAGGAGCGCATCGTAGCCTCTTGTCCATTGGCACTACGCCACCGGCGTACCTCATCGTTCTCTAGCTCCTTGTGAAGGGCATGGTCTATAGTTGCAGTTGTAGAAGCCATAGCAAGTCTCGAGCAAGAGCAACTTTCAGAAAAAAGGTAGAAAAGTAAATTACGGAAGGCGCTTAAGGTAGGAAAACACAGCCGGAGGAAAGAAATAGGGAACTTTACGAACTGGAGTTAAGGAGAATACGGTTACTTATACGTACCGACAAGAACATGCTGATCGCGGGGAGGGTGTGTGGAGAGGCATGTGCGGCGAGGGGGTTCAACACCAAAGCTTCTTCTTGCGAGCGAGACGTGGGGTAGTGAAGAAAGGTGGGGATCCCAGAATTCGGTAGTTATTCTTCGGTAGTAAACAGTTAACGAGGCCGAATAATATAGGGGCGGCGGGGAGGCGGCGGGGATCGGTGACGCGGGGAATAGTCGTAGCGTCGGGGTGACGCAAGAAATACCTAATTCAACCCAAACAGTTCCTGGCCAAACCATAGTAGTTATGAACAAAAGATATGTCTTGATAAGCTCAAAGGCAGTCAGCTAATTTTAACAATGGATCCCCAGAAGTGGGAAGGACCCGGTAAAGATGTTCTGCCTTCTATCAGTTCCGAGGCAGATTTCGGCCAGCATCCCGTATCTCATTTGGGTGATGATCACAAGGCAATTCCTAGAGCTAGAGAGCAGGAAGCAGTGCGCCTGAAACAGATATCAACCCAGCCAACCACCTCTCGTTTGTAAACCCAATATTTCCAAGTACAGGGACCATGGTCACAAGAAGTCGAGTTGTACATAATTATAAAAACAAGCTTTTTCCCAGCCGGGATTCGAAACCTTGAATTTTTGTATCGACATTTGGGTCGCTTAGCGCGGGAAAAAACTAAGGAAAGAAAAAAAAAAGCAGAGATGTGACCAGTTATTTAGTTCTCATTTCTCCTCTCCCATCAACAATCTTTGATGGTCTAACGGTCATGATTTCCGCTTGTCATTCGACAAAGCGCGGGAGACCGGGGTTCGACTCCCCGTCAGAGAGCTTAATTCCTCTCTGAGCTCATGGCTCAGAATATGTTTTTTTGCATTTTTTTAGAATTTTTCAATCTAGAAAAAAAATCTTCACAACGGATAGATTAGTATGAAGGTGTATCTCACGTATACATCAAGACCGCACATTATAGGCTTCAGTGACTTTTTTGGGGGGTCAGAGATGGCACATCGGGTGTGAAAACGAGAGTTCACAAATCTATCTAAACGATGATTCTATATGTTCTTCAAATTTTAAATAGCACTCTATGCGAGTTATATCTCAACCAGCGCCGGTTTTGTCTCCACCTTCACCTCCGCCTCCTCCCCCTCAACCCTTAAAGGCACCTTATTCTTCCCCTTCCTATACACCCTCTCATCCCTAGGATCAAACCCGCCATTCCCCCACGTCGCCCACTCCGGCGTCTCAGGCCCCATATAATCCTCCGGCGTAAACGGCTTCCCACTCTCCAAATGCTCAAAGAACTTCGCATAGTCGATCCTCGTATGCCACTTCCCCTCCTTCTTAAACCTATCACTCGCAATCAGGATACAGCAGCTGTGCGCGTGCTCAGCCGCGATGCCGTACTTGAGACCGCGCTTGTCGAGCGCGGCGGTGAGGGCGAGCACGAAGGCGCAGACTTCCTCGTAGAAGGGGACGTTTTGCATGGTTAGGCCCGCGGCGCCGCTGGAGGAGGTGCCGCAGTATGTTACGCCCTTGACTTCGACGAAGCAGGGGAGACCCTTCTCGACTAGATCCGCGTATCCCTCTGCCTCATCCTCGATATTAAACCCCTTCACGAGGGTAAGACGGAAGACAGTGCGCTGTTCAAACCGCTTCTCTCTTAGGATCTCGAGACAACGCTGGAAGCGTTCCCAGAAATCGCGATGCAGCGGTCTATCGATCTTGCGCAAGGACTCGCGGTTCGAGGCGTCGATGCTGACGTAGAGCTGTGTGACGGGTTTGAGGGTGGCTAGCTGGTCGGGGTGCTGCGCGTTGCAGACGAGGAAGGAGGAGATGTGCTCTTTGTGCAGCATAGCGGTGAATTCGTTGAGGTAAGGGTAGGAGATCGGTTCGCCGACGAGGGAGAGCGCGCAGTGCCTGATTCGCATTGCTTCTGCGAAGCGCTCGGCCCGGACGCCGGGGACGCCACGCATCATTTTGATCTTTTGGTAGTGCCCAGCTTTAACGCCGTTGAAGATGTCTTCGGGTTGGTCGACGACCCAGCGCCAGGTGGTGCCGACGGGGTTGGTGCCGTGGCGCCAGCAGAAGACGCATTTGTTGGAGCAGGAGAGGGAGGGGGTGGTTTCCATGCATTGGTGGGAGGCGATGCCGTAGAAGGAGTATTTGTAGCAGGAGCCGCGGCCGCGGAGGGCGGATTTGGTCCAGCGGCAGATCTTGACTCCGGAGTGAGAGCCGACGATTGTGTAGCCCTGCTTAGTGAGGGCGTTGTAGGTGGGTGATCCCTTTGGAACCATTTCCTTCGGTGCAGCTGTAGGCTTGGGGTTCTTCTTGCCATATGTGGTGAAGTCGATTGCCCCTTCATCTTCGTCCTGCTCCTCTGACTCGTCTTGGCCCTTTTGCAGGATGCGACCGATATCTTCCACATCATCCATGCTACTGGTCACCTTCTTCTTACTTTTCCTCTTGAGTTTAACCGCGCCATCAGACTGCACCTCCACGTCGTCGTCTTCCGCTTCTTCAACATCACTCTCATCAGCGTCACCACTCCCAACAACCCCCTCGCCGAGATTGCCCGTTTGCCCCAGGTTCTGGAGAACATCCTCAACACCCTGCCTCCACTCATCCAATCGCTCCTTTGCATCAACCTTTGTATCCCCCATACCGAGAGGGAACGCCCTCTTCCTCGCAGTAAGCTTAGCCATCCACCTATCAACCTCAGTCGCCTGCGAGCAAAACCCCTCCGCCTCCGTAGGCCAGCCCTCCCTATCACCAAATCCAAACACCGCATATCCCAACAACGCCGACATCGGCGCCGTATCGATGCGGAAATCGTTGTGTGTCTCCTGGAGATGCTCGATAAAGGTATCGGTCATGGTGTCGATGTTATACGTCGGCAGGAGGAGAATGTAGAAGTATTTGATATCCTGGCTGTCATCTTCGGGCTTTGGGAGGCCGAGGAAGTATTCATCGTAGTCCTCGAGCTCGGCGAGGTCGTGCGCTATGGGTGCGAGAAACTCATATTGGCTTGACTCGGCGTTCGCCTTCAGGGTATCGGCGAGTTTGGTGGTGAGTGTCTGCGCGGTTCTCTCGGTGCTGCCGGCTAGTGTTGAGTAAAAGACCAGTACCTGGAACTTTACATCCTTGCTCGCTGGCTTGTACCCCAGAGGCGACTTCTTGCGGGTGACTTTTCCGACAACTCGTTTTGGTCCTGCCTTCTTCACTTCCGCGGAGATGGGCGCTTTCTCGACCAATTGCTCCCGCTGGGGATTGGCGGCGAGGGGTGCTTTCTCGGATGGAGTTGGCGGGGGTGTGTATACAATCTTCTCGCGACCGACTTTGAGGTGTAGTACCGTTCTAGTAATCAGTAGCAATGCGAGCGCCGTCAGGATCAGCGGAATTCGATAAGTATGCCATAGCGCCATAAAATCTGAATAAATCGTAAGTTTTCCCTACCAGCGGAATATAAATACGGCAGAAACTTACAATTCTCGGATGCATGAGAGGCAATATCAGCCCCAAAGTATTCGTTGTTCGCCATATTCGCCCTCAGTCATGTTGCTTCCAAACCAAAAATCATCCAGGAACTATCGACAGAAATTCCATGGTGGGGAAGTTTGAGCAAACGATGGCCCCTCATATTTAAAAGTGGGGAAAACAATCGCGGAAAGGCGCTTATTTAGCTCGGTCGGGATAAACGCCATACTTTGAGCGTGTGCTCACTACGGTAGCCATGTTATAACCACTACCGCAATATTTCGATTCCGAAATGGACGGAGATACTATTTCTCCGACCTTCGGCACTTTTATTTCTCAGCCTCGCAGTCAGGGACAACCTTGCGAGAAAGATATAGCTCCACCACCAACCTAACAACTTCCATTACACGCCGCATCGTCGACACGAATAGATCAGATATCTCTTTCTCTCCATTCTCTCCAGCTACACCACCGCCACCTCGGCAATGGCGCCCATAAACCCAACCCCCGCCCCCGCGGCACCATTCGAGTGAGTCAAACCCCTCCCCCTCCTCCCCACCTTCACTAACCCCCCCCCCAGCATAGTCCAAACCTACCACCACCTCCTCACCTCGGACCCCGACCTAACCATGCCCGTCGCCGCCATCGAAGCCCTCATCCAGCTCCTCCAACACTCCCATAGCACCACCGTCTTCGAGACCCTCGACCTCCTCGCCGCGCAATCCAAACTCCTCCAATCCCGCGTGCGCAACCCGATTGGTCTGTCTGCAGGCACGGATCTGTTTCAGCGGTATATGATTTCCTCCCTGCGAGCGAGCGGGGAGAGGAGCTTTGATGCTGTGCGCGCGCATTTGTTGGCGAATGGACGCGTTTTTGTGTCCAGGGCGAAGGCGGCGAGGGAGAGGATTGCGGGACATGCGGGGGGGTTGGTGAGGGATGGGTGCACGGTTTTGACGCATGGGGGTAGTCGTGTGGTGTCGGCTGTTTTGGCGCGTGCTGCGGAAGCGGGGAAGGGAGGGGGAACGGTGCGGTTTAAAGTCATCTATGTCGACTCTGGCAACGGCGCCGGAGCCGGGGAGTCAAGGGATATTGTGAGGAAATTACGCGCCAAGGGCGTACCCGTCGCTGTTATCGGGGAAGGCGCAGTAGGCTACGCGATGGGGATGGTTGATCTGGTCATCGTCGGCGCAGAAGGCGTCGTCGAGAACGGCGGCGTGATTTCGCGGATGGGGACTTATCAAATTGGCGTCCTCGCTCGCGCAGCCGGGAAGCCGTTTTACGTCGTGTCAGAGACGCATAAGTTTGTCAGGCTGTATCCGTTGGGACAGTATGATCTGCCGATTGTGCAGAGGGTTGTGGAGTTTACTACTAATACGGGGAAGGAGGGGGAGGGAAAGAAGGCGGGTGAGAAGGGGGAGGAGGCGCTGGGTGTGGCGGGGGAGGTGCCGAGTCAGAAGAGCTCGGTTGATACGGAGGGGTGGAAGGAGTATTTCACCACGGAGGGGGGGAGGGGAGGGGAGGACGCGGTGGATTATACGCCGCCGGATTTGGTGTCGGCGCTGATTACGGAGAATGGGGTTTTGACGCCGAGTGCGGTGAGTGAGGAGCTGATTAGTGTGTTTGTTTGAAGGTGGTTTTTGTTTGAGAGGGGAGGGTGGGAGTTGATGTCTAGGATGTGGGAGTTGGGTTGTGGTGTTTGGTGGTTGGGAGGGTAGTGCTCTGGGATTTGGAAAACAAGATATCAAGAAAGAAGGATATATCTCGCACCACCACCATCACACATAGTCTAGTCTGGTTGGTCTAGACTACCGTGCAGGGAAGTGGAGATCTAAGAGGTTCACGCACATTGATGATTCGGGGGGGTGCTTGCAGAAGTGGGGAAAAAATCGGAGGAGGGGGGTCTGAGCGCGCGTTGCTGACGCCCGAGAGTGATGGTGCATGTCGATGAGGTAGTTAAGGGATGGCTGTTGATGATGAGATACTGATTATGAGTTTGTTTATGGGGATGACGATGCGTTTTTTTTGAAATGTCTGGAGTGATTGGGAAGGGGATGTAGGATAATAGTCTGGATCTGATATTGATCTCGTATTGCGGGTTGGAATGTCACAGAGTAGGGATAAAAGATGGGATAGATGGGGATTTTAGTACCACAGTTGAGATGGAGAAAATTAATAGTCCCGTGTTTACCTACCTACCTATCCATGCCTTCCCTAACTTGCCCCGTAACCCTATCAATCCTCCAGTCTTGAATCTCCAATCTGCCGTCTCCAATATTCGCCCATACACCTCCCTTCCTTCCTCCGTTGATAATCGCCACCCCCGCCTCAACACCACCACCAACCACCCCCCTCCCAATCCATCCATTAACCCCACCACGTCACCGCTCCAAAAATAAAAAAAGCCTCCTTCACCCCGTTTACCCCTCCCGTCCCTCCCTCACTAAGTTGTTCGCCCTAAGAAAAAGCAAAATATCTTCACGCACGTCATCGCCCTTCTAGCCTATCAGAACCCTTCCCAACACCACTACCGCCACTACTAACACTACTAACACTTCTAACACTACAAACACTACCACCGTTTCCCCTCCCCGAACATCGATTTACCATAGTTAGCCAGTGGTTAGTTAAGTTAGTCCTAACATCCCGCCCGTTGAACACCCATAACGTTTATAAATACTACACTGTATAAAACAGCATTATCTCATCACCTACCATATACACTCCAGTGCAGCGGTATATCATTTACGCGGACGGACTGGACTGGGCGGCGGATTAGAGACACGGGCTGGGCTGGGGGTTGCAAACGGGTGGATACGGGACGGCATGCTAACTAACGACGACTGCCACACGCGACCATTGTCTCTCTCTTTCCCCATTCCACTGCCCCATTCCACTGCCGAAGAGGTATATCCACAGTGAGGTTGTTCCCGCAACCAATTATGGAATACGCTTGTGTGCGCTGCGGTATTGCTGTGTGGGAGAGCGGTTAGTGTTAGTAGTGTGGTTAGTTGTTGGTGTGAGTGGTTTGGACAGTGTGTGGTGTACTGGTGGTGGTTGGTGTGGTGGGGGGCAGTTTGTCGGTGTAGGACCGGTGAGGGAGAGGAGGGGAGGAGGGGGTATATGGGTGTTTGTTTTATTATTGTGGTATTTCTGTTATTATTTATTTGTTTATTTTTTTATTTATTTCGTGAATGACTTGCTAGTGAGTGGATTATTAGCAATTATTTGACGCAGCTATGATGATGGCTATTGGAATTATTTTGAGGGTGTGTATGTATGTATTTATTTACGGATGAACTGTGAATATCCCTCTCTATTTATTAAACATCTATTTTAAATACCAACTCTATATGACTATCTATATGTGTAACCCCAAATAAAAGCCAGATATCTATCTTACAGCCAATAACCAATACAATAGCCAAATAATAGAATAATCAATAAATCAATACCCCTAATACCCGATCACTTTTATTATCCCCATACCCCAAGTACGACTCGCACTCGGCATAACGGTAATCATTGTCCGGATTTGCCCCGTATCCCGATGACACTTTCCCCCGTCGCTGGATTGATATGATTGACTATGATCTCGTATGATTTGCCTGATTGACATATAGCACAGCATGGTATAGTATGGCGTGCATACAACTCGCATATGCTGGATGATTATGATTCCCGGTGTGTGGTGGTGGGTGTAGTGCTGCGGAATTTAACTTGGTAGGTGGTGGTAGGTGGTTGTTGCCCAGCCTCGCCCCCTCTTCACCGCTCTTCACTCTGTCATCACATCCCACCGCGGACACCGCTCTCTCTCCACACACACCCCCCATCACCCATCCACCCACACCACCACATACCACACCACACACCCATCTACCTTCATCCACACCCTCCACACACACCCTCCCACACCTCCGACTTCCGCCCCCCGCCTCACCTTCGTCCTCGTCCTACTTAAGCTTTTGATACACCTCTCCGCGCGCTGATCTTGGCGCCGAAGATTCATCGTATTCACCTCACCACCACACCACCACTACCTCGATCTCCGCTCTTTCACACTTACACTCACCTCATCCTAATCAGCGACGACAACTCTCCACTCTACACATACATCCCGCGAGATATCTACTGGCGCATAAACACATTGCCCATAACACCCGCCTCGAGCGCATCATCATCGACCACCCCATCCGAACCCCAACATCACAGCGTGTCATTCAACCTCACGACAACCCACGACAACCCACCAACCACCCTCTCAACGATACACCAACTGCCACCCGCAGAAACCACCACAATGGCGCGCCTCTACCCATCCAATCTCGCCATCTAATCACCCCCTCGCCAAACCTTCACACCACCCTACCCACCCACGCGCGCGCGCGTGCCCACCGCCATCATGCTCGGCAAGCTCTTCTCGAACGCCGCCTCGAGCCTCACCCCCTCGCGCGGCTCCCCCTCCCCCTCCCGCCCAACCTCCTCCCTCGACTCCGTCCAAGAGGACATCCACACACGCAACCTGATCTTCCCCGACGCCGAAGCCCTCTACGCACACCAACACGATCAAGTCTTCCCCATGACCTCCTCCACCGTCAGCATGCTCACCGCCGCCCCGGGGTCCTTCGACACGAACCCCGAGATCGAGCTCGAGGCGCGAGATGTCAGGGTAGTGGTCATGCAGGAGGCGACATCGACGTTTAATTCCGCCGCGCTGATGTACGACAGCCACCCTCACCTCGACGCGGCCGCCTGCCCCGTGCTGAATACCAGCTTCGCGACGTCCGGGCGCGGCGGGCGCGGCGCGGGCGCGGGGGGGGCAAATACGACCGCCACCGCGCGGCGCACGAGCATCGGCGCCAAGCCCGTGGTGATTACACAAGAAGCGCCCCGCTTTGGGGCCTTTGACCGGCGCCCGAGCGCGCATTCACGGCAGGGGAGTTATGTGGAGACGGAGGGACAGAGGACGAGTAGAGAGTATAGGGAGGAGATCGCGACGATTGCGAATTGTATGTTTGGCGCCAGCGACGTCATGGCGCATAAGGGCACGGGGAGTAAAGTGCACATCCTCCCCACCGAGCCGCGGGGCGCGCAGTACCCGTTTGAAGGCGGTCATGGGTCGCTCGGCCGGTCGAGTATGAGGAGTGGGAGTCGGCTGGCGCAGAGTTTTACGTCGGAGAGTTTGGGGAGGGGAGAGGGGAATGCGGGGGGGGGGAGGAAGAGGGTCCTTGTTACGAGGATCTTTCCAGTGCCGTTGTTGGGGGATGGAGAGGAGGAGACGCCGGGGGGGTTTGAGGGGCAGGGGGGGTTTCCGTTTCCGAAGGCGGGGGAGGGGGGGGAGAGGGAGAAGGAGAGGAAACCGAAGCAGAAGAGGACGCCGATGTATGCGATTGGGTTGGTTATTCAGCTGCCTGCGACGCAGAATTCACCGTCTACACCGAGATCAGCGTATCGTGGTGTCGGGTCATATGCAGAGAACGAGTCGGTCTCCTCGTCATTCAACTCGCTGCGGCCGAGCTGGACGGTGCTAGGATCAGGATTCGGCGTCGAATCCCTGGACTCATCATTCATCAGCGACGTAGACGACCGCATCGACATGGTCACCCAACATTGGGACATCATAATCCGCACCCTCGACCACCTCCAAGCCGTCGCCTCCTCCGACATCATCGCCCTCCTCAAACAAGTCGACGTCGCCTCCCCCGACCCCACCGCAGGCCGCGCCCCGCACCACACCCGCACCGCCAGCATCTCCGTCTCCGGCAAGCGCGTGGAAGAGAACATCAACGTCAAGCCGCTGAAACCTATCCGCACAAACGTCAAGACCGTGCAGTTAATGCCTTATGCCTTGGCGCACAACCATAAGCTGCGCGCGGAGATTGAGTTCGCGCGTCATCGCATTGTGGGGGGGATTAAGAATCTGCAGGTTATTACGAGGCAGGGAAGATGGGGGATTTGGAGGGACGAGGCCCGCTGGGTTAGGAGGTGGGCGGGGGGAAAGGAACAGGGTTTCTTTTTTTATAACCTCCTCACCGTCTTCCTGGGGACGCATACAGAGTGGCTCGAAGCCATCGGACCGACCTGGTACAGGAGACGGAATTACAAACAACAGCGCGGCGGCGGACGGGATGAGGACATGCCTATCAAAGCACGCACCATCATCGTCGCGGCTGATAAGATGGCAGCGCGAAGACTTATATTTCTGTTATCGGCGTTTTTGCCGAATAATCAACATCATCAGGTCCCCTTTGTGCGCCAACATCGCCCCGGGACTTCGGTGTCGGGGGGGGCGTTCTCGCAGTCCCCGCCGTCATATGTACCGCTTAATCCGAGGGAAGAGTCGTTGAGGAGACGGGTTAATAGACCGAAAATCAAACCCTCCACCGCCAATTCAGCACAACAAGCGCCTATCGTCGTAGCGAACCAAACTACAGAACAACCACATCACACACACCAACGACGACCCTCTGATGCGCCATCTTTACCACCTGGCGCCCTACCCGTCCCAGCAGCTTACAACCCATCCCGCCAACCTGGCCTCGCTACAACATCCACCGCTAACCCCATCCCGGCCTTACCGCATTTCTCAACCCGTCGCCCCGTGCGCGGCACCGGTCCCGCGCCTCGACCGGGGAGTAGCGGTAGTCTCGCAGCAGACGATCTGATTCGGAGTTTAAAGCGGGGGGATACGGGGGAGGAGAGCTCGTCGCGGTGGAGTGGGGTGTTAGGCAGTTTATGGGGAGGGAAGAGAAGAGGGAGTACTGATGTCAGTGCCCCGCAGCCTAGCCAGGGAGCTGGGGGAGAGGAGAGGGGGAAGTTGGCGGAGATGATGCATGCGCAGCGTCGCGAGGAGAGGAGGGGCGGGACGGACAGAGACGGGGGGGTGAGGGAGACGACGAGTACCACATCCCCGCAACCCGTCGCACCGCCACCGCCCTCCTCGGCGGGGGCGACGCAACCCATCCACCCTAGCGGCGCCTACGAATCCCCCGTCAAAACCTCAATCACAGAAGACGGCGTAATCGACATCGACGTCCCCCTCCCCTCTCTCTTCCCCTCCTTCCCTCCGCCGCACTCCGCCTTGTCCTCCCCCTGCTCTAGTGGGATTTTCTCTTCGAGTGCGGGGATGGGGGTAGGGGGGGAGTTGGAGGGATTTGAGAATTTCACTGGCGGGGGGGGAGGGGATGATGAGGGCGCGCTTAATGTGGGGGGGTGGGTAGGGAGGTTTCATCCTGATTTCGTACTGCAGGCTCTTCCGGTTTCCACTGTGGAAGCTGCGCCGGCTGCTACTTCGAATTCTAACCCGAAATCACCGACGCAGCCGGCACCGCCGCAGCCGTCGCTGGAGGATCAGATTCGTGCGACTATGGCGGCCGAACCTACGCCGCCGGTTCCGGTATCAGCTACGCGCAATGGGGAGGAGGAGAGGTGGATTACTATCTCCACTGCCCTTATCGCTGATACAGTGGCGTTCACGCTCAAACGCCTCATCCTCCGCCGTCTCATCCGGCTTCCCACCTCTCCACCAGCATCAGCAGGTGAATCAGCAGGGAACTCGTATGACGGCCGCGCAAGCATCTACGGAAACCCATACCCCGGCGTCCTCGGGAGCACAAGCCCTGCAGAAGGTGGTGGGGGTGGTGAAGTAATCAAAGAAGAGTGGGAGGTGGAGATGTGCATCTCCTTCGATACTGCACTTATCGAGGCGGTGGAGAGGGTCATGGCTTCACCTGCTGGGATGGCGGGTGCGCAGATTGCAGCTGGGGGAGTGATGGGGGTGCAGAAACAGAGATCTGCTAGGGCTAGTAAGAATCCCAGCGCTGGCAGCTCAGCAGGTAGTTCGAGGAGTGGGAGTCGAATCCGCGTTGTTGTGCCTGCGCCTTTGCCGTCACCCGCACCTGTTCTGGTTAGCGGTGCTGGTCCTAATTCCTCTTCCGCCCCCCCTGGTTCCTCCGGTGCTACTGGCAACGGAAACGGAGCAGTAGGGGAGAGGAGAGGGGAAACTGGGACAGCTGGGGAAGTGAAGGAAGAAGAAGTTCCACGCGCGGAGGTGAGGACGGTATTGTTATCGGCGCTGGAGGGGATCGCGAATGAAGTCGCGGAGGCGAGATCTAGTGTGCCTGAGGGAGCGTTGGTGGGGGGGGAAGGGGATAGTTTTTTGAGAGAGGGGGTGGGGAGGTGGTTGGAGGGGGTTGATGAGGGGGTTCTTGGGTGAGGATGGTATACTGAGGGCGATCAATGGAGTTTGGAGGGGATGGGAGATGAGAGGGGGGCGTGAGAATTTTTGGGAGCGGTTTTAGCGGATTGAATTTTTTTTAAGGGGTGGTGCGGGAGTGTGGAGTGTGGAGTGTGAGGGGGGGCATATTTGCTGACTTTTATGGGGTTGAAGGGTTGAGAAGATGCTTGCTTGGCTGGCTTGTGCTGGGGTTTTTATTTGATTTTAAGGCCGGAGGGGGGCGTTTTAAGGGGGTGTGGGGGGCTAATGGGGGGTGAGAAGGGATGTGGGCATGGGGTGGGCATGGGAATAGAGAAGATCTTGTATTGTACATAGATTCTGGGGGAGATACGACAGGCAATATGAAGAGAGTTAGAAGCTATATCTGGTCTACGATTATTGCTGCCCATGACTTGTAACGAAAGCCAACCAGACCAAGAAATAACGAGATGGCCGTCAACCATCGGGCTTGAATGGTCGTCGGACGAAAATACTATATAATCCAACACGATCCAGGACCTTCTTCCTTCTTCATCACAACAGGTACAGGAGGAACCGGGCTCAACATCTCATGTGCGCTCGTTGGTATTGCTGCGAAGGGGAGGGGTGTGGGTGGGCGCTGCGTGGGCTGGGAGGTGGATGGGGTGGTTCTCGTCATGGCTTGTGGTGGTGGTGGTGGGAGGGTGGAACGGTGACAGGTGGAGAAGTGACAAGATGAGCGGTGATAGAGAGTGAACAATGACAGAGAGTGAGAGGCGACAGCATACCCCCACCAACAGCACCCCCCTCCAACACAACCCCTACACACCTAGACGCCATACACTACCCTGTCACCATGACGGGGAAAAAAAAGAACCGACCAGTCTACATCTCGGGGAGGACTGTTGTTTGTCAGATCGTTGCCTTTCGTTATGGAGAGTGGGGGTTTATACTTTTTTTAATGGTGCGTGGATGGCTTGTGCGGTGGTTGGGGTGTTGGTGGTGGGATGTTTGGCTTGAGATGGCGGATGTGGGGGAGGGAGGGGATGGGAGGTTGAGGAGCTGGGTGTGAGGGGAGGGAGGGGATGGGAAAGGGATGATGGGTGGCGTTCGGAGGAATGGATTACTGAAGCGGTTGGAGGGTGGACGAAGGACACGGCATGTAGGCACCTGGGAAGGGAGTGGGACGGGAGGCCATTTTCAGGGGGTTCTGTTGCAAGACTAACGGGTTGAAGTGGTAAATTTGGTGAGCTGACAAAAAACACACTATAATGATAAACTGCGCGTGTGAATAACTAGATGTGATATGATAAATAGCACTATACCAAGCTAACTTGAGATGGGAGATTTTCATCGGCAACTCAACTAATGCAAGTTTGCGACCATCTTGTCCCCGAGCATCAATTCTGTTGTTACACAGAGCAGAGCCAGACTTGTTGTCTAGCGTTTTGGTTGGAAACAGTTTCCGACATCGGATAGCCTTGGCGCATATCTTTGGCAGGTTCGTCGTCTCTGTTAAATATACTGTCCAGTGTCTCTTCTGGCCACTGACTAATCGTGACGAGCGGTACGTCCTACCTGCACACTTTATGTCGTCGTACTCGGGAAAGGTTCCCGGGTTATGTTATGTGGTCCTCGGCCACGTTGAACACTTGGGTTGCCGGAGATTGAGTTCACATCAGGCGATGATAAAGAGCTTGTACCAGTGCCACTTCTAATGGCCTCGCGGATGTGCGTGACGATTTCTGTATAGTCTTAGGCTGGCGATTGGTGTGGTCTTCATCGACTCCATCCTGGGTGTTGTTCCCCTCGGTCGCAATCAGATGGTGGAGACGAGGGCGGAGTGTTAGGAGATTTTGAGAGATTCCTGCCACCGATGAAACACTACCTCTGATGTGCTGGATGTCTACCATTGTAGAATATATCCGTTTAACACAGCTGACTCCCGCTGATGGGATCTTTGAACTCGATTAGATACCCCTGACAACTCATCGTAGTCATTGTGAGACGAGGAGGTCCACTGCAAAGCCAAGAATGTGTTCGGCCTCCTTGGAGAACTTGTAGGTCTTCCGTTGGAGATACCCCTCGACGGATGCCATGGCAAGGACCCTGCAGACTGTGTGGCTGCGAGGAAGCTTCGAGGCGGCGAGAATATGTTCCGGTGTGATGTGCAACGTGTTGCTATCCGCGTTGCGCGGCCTACTCCATGAGCTTGTAACAGCTTGAGGATGTAAGGGATGGTTTGTGATTTCAATCCCGTGATTTCCCATAATGACTGAGTTTGAGTGCCTTAGTCGTGGGTTCTTTCGTCGTTGCTTATTTGATGACAACGTGCCCGACGCAAAGCCACTATATGGGGGTTTCGAAAGCTCGAATGCAGACGACTCCATCGATAAGTTCCAATACTTCAACGTCGTTTATAATAACTTGCCATATATTTTGTCCTAAACGTTTGGTTGCAGTCGAATTCAATGTGCTTGGTTGAGCTGTGATAGATGCGGATGTGTTCGTCCTTGCGCCCCTACTTTTCTCCTCCGAGCATTTAGGTCTGAGGACCTCATGGACCACCAGGAAAGCAAGGCGTTGCTGTCAAAGTACAACAGCCGTAAAAAAAGAAAGAAATCGCAATGTACCAATACAGAAAGCAATATATGGCCCGCTGTGGAAAGCAGTAGCAATAGTATCACCGCCAACCTTGATTTTCTGGACCGTCCAGCGGCAACGACCCATAAAGCACAAATCTCTCTTCACTCATTGGGTCCTTGAATTCAATTGTGTGCCCGCCCATGGTGAGAGTCAGTAGCGTTTCCTTAACCGCTAGGAGTAAATCAGCAGCAAACTCAGGGATATCGTAACATTCCTCTGAAAACCTGTGACTTTTCCGCTGTATGTACCCTTCTACTGAGGCCGCGGCCAGAATATCTCGGACAGCGTGGCCATGGGGAAGCTGTGACGCAGAAATGATATGTTCTGAGGTGATATTTTGAGTATTCGTTTCAAGTTCCCCTGCAGAATAAGACCATGAATCTTTGACCCGGCCGTCTCGAATTACAACTCTGAGGCGCTCGGCGACCTGGTCCTCTGTTCCCATGACTCCGCACATGTCTGCAAGGCGACTAAACTCAATTCCCACGCTGATTGATTCCCCACGAGTTGCTTCTTTGATTGTGACTTGACCGGTGAATAGCCACTGTATTAGGATTTCAAACGCACGAACCGTTACAATACCGTCAATCAGTTCCAACGTTGTAGTCTGCTCGATGCCTTCGTTGAAACCTCTTTCGAACATCGCCGCAAAATATGGACTTCGTAGGGACAAAATGGCCTTCGGGAGGATAAACTTGTTGTCAGCAGAGCCAATATAGATAGTGACAGGTGCCCCAGAGTACAAGGGGAGGATTCTAACGCATATTTTAGTATAGTATTATTGTATAAGTTGTAGCTACTCACGTTTTGGCAAATTCCGAGGATTGCATTTCAGTAATACTCTCTTGAACATGTTTATTAGGCATGTCTACAGCTGGAAGATCATGCGCTGACATAGCTGGTGATAGTATATTTGAAATTGTTGCCAGTGATGTTGTCATATCAGGAATTATGTAGTCCGAAATATGTTGTCGATATTGTCATGTGTGTTGTCGTCTGATGCTTACGAGTAATGAGCTTTTATGGCAAGAGAAGGTTCTAGAACGCACCCCTATTGAAAAATATGAAGAAATCTAGGACCCAAAAGCAAGGCTGAGGCTACCATGTTCTCTATATTGAATAGGAAGTACTTTATGAGGCATTGTATTATTATATAGCTGTCTGCGGATCATCGAGACGGAAACAAATCATTTATAATCGTTCGATACCCCACGAAAAGCAAAAACATGATAAAATACTTGTTAAAAATTGTATAAATCTCCAATACAGCCCCTTCTATACGTACCAAAGAAACAATAATTATATATCAAACATACATGTAAAGAATAAGTTGAAGAATGAAAGAAAGTGGGAAATGAGGGACTATATTGCATAATGGCGAGGAAGCGAAGAAACAAAGGAAATCATCACCTCCGAATACTTGCCCGATATTTTCATCGGTCTAGGTTCATCTATATCTAATTTATTATACAGCGGTACTCACAGAGTTTGCTCCCAAGCGACAGCTTGCTCTCTTGAGCAGTTTGATATCACATGAGATACCATGATGCAAACTCGCTTGCGTTTCTTAACTCGACGGTCAACGTCAGCTCAACCCCGCCGAACAAACAACCCTTTCAATCAGTTTTCGGTCTACCGTACAAACAATTCCGGCAAGATCATCTGAATGCATACATACAATGGGCCACTGTTGTCGAAAGAGATTGCTTATTCAAGTCGCCGGATCGGGGCGCTGGTTGGCAGACAAAGAGATTGGCATTCCACAAGCCTCCCAGGCTTGCCGTTCGCGGCATGCGGGTTTTCTCGTAGGAATCAGTATTTCTTTATTCATCTTTTGAGTTAACTTTCGCTGCCGTCTATTATGTTTTCCACTCCTTGCTTTCCTCGTCCTTCCTCCATTTCACTTCTGGTTTTCATCTCTCATCTTCGCTGGCATCTCGCGTTATTTCGGATCAAAATCCCTCCTACAAACACGCGAATTATCCTGATTGGAGTTTACAGTCCAATACTAGAATTGAAGATACGCTACCATCGAAATGTCGGATCACGCAACACCTGCCCAAGACGAGCTCGGCGGAGCCGCAGCACCAGGTAGCCAACAGGTTGTTCAAGATCCCAACCCGGGCTCCTCTGGAACAAATGCCACTGATGATGCGGGCGCAAACACCCTTGCTGGACCTTCGGGAGCAGCAGCTGCGCAAACTGTAACATTAGCTGCCGCGGCAACAGGCACAGGAGCTACAGAAAGCACGGGTCCTTCGCAGACTACAGTGCCTGCCACAGCCACAGCAAACATGGGGCAATTGAAGATTACAGTCCCCGGCCCATCTACAGAAAGCACAGAACCTCCTGATATGACGCTGGCTGAATTAGCTGCAGCAGACCCGAACACACTGTTGCCTTCTAATGCTGCCACAGCAAGGTTGGCAACGGGAGGGGGGCTGCCTCTCCCAGCAGCAAACCCGCTGACTAGAGAAACCACCGGAAACAATAACTCCTCATCCTCCGGCCACATCAACTCCACAAAGCGACCCGCAACCACCGAAAATGGTGAAAGCACCAACTCTGCAAAGCGCCGGCGCCTCGCCCACTACCGCGACACAGTCCCCCCGCCGGGCTATGGCAACGATCCCGCCGCCACCTCGTCCCCCTCCCATGGCCCTGTTGTTACTCAAACCCCTTTCGCACCGCCCTACCAATCCGTTTTCCTACGACAAAACCCAGACCTTGCCAGGGCCCTTGCCCATGTAAACTGCAGCTATCTCACCACCCACGACGCCGCCGACCCCAACGACCGTGACAGCCGCGCCAACACGGCTCCCACCCTCGCGGAACTCAAGGCGCACGCTCGCAGCCTCCTGCTCCTCATCCGCTCCATGAGCATCAGCTCGAGCGCGACACTCACAGACAACGCCGCCTTCCAAGACCCTACGCCTGAGGGTCAAGACAGCGCCTCGATCCCGTCAGACTTCTATTCCAACCTCGACGCCTTTGAATTCCTCAACGATCTCTCCTCTCCCTATCGCTGCAGAGACCCCGCCGAAAACGAACCCCTGACCAATCTCCTCAACCAACTCATCCCCGACCACTCCCGCAAGATCCCCGCATCAACCGAAGCCTGCCCTCTTGCCACCGTAAAAGTCATTACCAAAGGTAGCGACCTATCTACCTTCCGCCCAGGCGTCAACCCACTGCCACACTCACAAATCAACCGCCTAATGGCCCACGCCGATGAGTTGCTTCTCCAGATTGACGCTGCGCTCTCCACATCCGGCGGCCTCCTCGCCGCCCTACCGCTCGACCTCCCAGCCTCCGATCCACGCCGCCAGACATACATCGGGCAGCTCATCCACTTCATGCGCACCCTTGTTGGCCGCCTCCATGTCCTCGACCGCGACTACGGACAAGCCCTCGGTCTCCTGGCAGGCGAGGCCACCATACCCGCTGAGCTAAAACTCAACATCGAACACCCCGGGCAGATCGAGGCACCCCTCGTTGCTGTACAGCACAAGTTCATCATCAACACCGCCTCTGACACATACAATAAGATCTGGCTCCACTTGCGGAACTGCGCCAGTGACAAGGCAGTGAGGACGTCAGGGATGGGGTTGCTGGATGTGGAGATTACGACGAGGTATAGGGCGTTGAGGGGTGGGAAGACGATTTTTGTGACCCCTATCCCTGATGAACCGATGGCGAGCGAGGTGGTTGGGCGCCCGACGGTGGTTGCGTGTACTCAGCCTGGATTTGGGACGCGGACGAGCGAGTGGGAACGTAAGAAGGGGGCGGCGCTGAGGGAGACAGGGGAGTTGAGGGCTAGGGCGGAGATGGCGGAGGCGGAGGTGGAGAGGTTGAGGAAGGATGTTGAAGCGTTGGTCCCGGAGGGGGTGTGGGCGAATGGGGAAAAGGAGGACGTTCTGAAGATGTGGGGGAAGGTGAAGGCAGAGAAGGATGCAATGGCGGGGGAGAGAAAGCAGATGGAGTTGTTTAAGTCAAGATGTAAGGTTTTGGAGAAGAAGAATTCGGAGTTTGGAATGGAGTTGGTGAAGGAGAAGGAGAAGATGAAGAAGAGGAGGGAAGGGGTGGAGGAGGGACTGAGAGCGGAGCTTCATAAGTTGATGAACCAAGCCGGCGCGAAATGACGCGGAGGTTGAGAGGCTGAAGAGACAGGTCGTTGATCTGCAGGCTCAGTTGGCCCAGGCGAAACGTGAAGGCGGTGGCCCCGAAAAATAACTGGCGTTCTCGAAGGCTGAGGTGTCAAAGTTGCAGAGAGAGGTTAAGGAGTTGAAGGCGCAGGTGCAGGTGCAGGGTGGAGAGAAAGGGGGTGAAGAGGAGGAAGGTGAAGAGGATGACGGTGGAGAGGAGGGCGATGAGGAAGAGGAGGGGGGTGAGCGAGGAGATGGGTGGCGAGGTTGAGTAGAGGTTGAATAGCGGTTGGTTATGGGATATACAAAGGGAGAGAGATGGTTTGTTTATGTTTTGAGTGGTAATTGTGCTTTTGGGTATTACTACTAGTGTTTTTGCAGTTGTATTTCTTCTCCGGATTGATATGGTAGAAAGTAAGGGCCGTAGTCTCAGTATATCTCTTATTCATCAACCTAGTCTGTCTTGTCTGTTCTCTCTTATATAGTTTTGCACCTTGGCACCCCATTATTAACCCCATCCTCACTACAGGCCAACCCTGGGCAACAACTGTCAGTTGAACAGGCTTGTCCGGATGTTTTGCACAATCTTTCCATGCACAGTCGTGGATCCCAGTTGTTCTTCGCTCGCCCGCATCTCGTATCATCACCACAACATTCGTTATCATCTTTGCAGCTAAGACCCACTTTTGTGCATTCGGATGGTGGATGATTAGGTATGCAAAATTTTCCAAAATCTGGATCGTCCTTGCAAATGTTACCAACGCAACAATCCACATCGACCTTGCACTCTGTCATTTCTTCCGTGCATGTGCGACGGCATCTCCATGGAAGAAGAATATTTTCCGCGGCGTGAACACACTCAGTGTCAGGACAGCAATTTTTCACAAGTCGGCAGTCGCCGCCATTGGGAATGCATACCTATATATCCCACAGTGTTAGTTACTCTGTATGAACTCATAAAACTAGAGGCCGTTTTAACTTACATTTGGAGCCGGTGTTGTGCTTGCAAGGGCGGTGAGCAAAGCCACCAGAAGGAGAGATGAGGACTTCATATTGGCGAATAAGCTTTTGCTGAATTTTGAATAGTCGGTTGTAATTTGATTTAAATTTGAGAAAACTGCGAGATATCTAGCTGCTTTATGTTAGCTGCCCAGCGAAGCTCTGGCAAATTTCCATCAGGCGCCCCGCTAACTGTGTGAAACCCATTGTCTTAGAACTTCCCTGAATCAAGCGTAGAATCGATAGCTTGTGCCCTTTAGGACCCGGCCCGAGCCTAGAGCTGAGGTGAGACATTATATACCAAAGGGATTGAAGATGGGACGACTGGTAAAAGCATAATTCCAGCCCAGTCCTGGCGAATCTCTATGAATGGAATCGGTCTCTCTGTTCTACCGGGAATCCACATCCCATTGGGCAGCCAATATCAATAAGGATCAACACTCATCACGGACTCATGTGTACTCAAAATGTCTCAAATAGGAGAATGCTAGCCTGTTGCCGTCGAGAAAATGAATATTTAAACGATAGGATCTGTCTCGCAAGCTAAACAGCCAACTGCTGTACAACAAGGTAGATCGCTAAAACAGAGGTGTGTAGTGGTAAGTCTATGCGCATTCAGCATCTCCGGCTGCTGCTGAGCAGGATCGGTCCAGCAAAAATAGAATAGACCTTTGATGCATCATCGCAATGATTTTAGAGACACCAGAGGCTCTTGTCTCCGCGATATTCTTCAAAACTGAAGGTAGGCAGCTTCCGATAGCGCTGCCAGGCCGGATAGTTGATCACCCGAACAATGCATTCCACCCAAACTTCAATGTAGGAGGACCATTGGAATCAGTTGTAGAGAATAATTGGGGTAAGGTCTTCGGCGACGAAACCGGCGAATTATCTCCGAGTGTCACAATATATACGTCTTGGTTTGAATTGCGTGGCGATTTGACATGATTGTCGTAGCCTAGAATGACGGGCCTGGTTGACAACACCTTCTCCAAATCTCTGAACCGAAGTTCGAACTTCTTACGGGCAAGCCAACTCCTTCTGGATATTTGAGCTGCGCTTCGCTACTATTAATACCAATACACCGCCTAATAGGCTAAATACCACACCTATATGGGGATTAGATGATTGGTATCCGTATGACACAGAGGATCTACAAAGGTCTTACATATGGTAAATGTCAACCCAACACCTATAGAACTTATCAATGGCACAACGGCAGCAGTGCTTCCCGCTGCAAACAAATATTGGATAATGTATTTGCCACCGATGACTTCTGGCCTGCTCCATGGAAGCACTTCTTCATCGATCCTCTGATTAGCATTGGTATTTCCTTATGCTGTAGAACAAAATGGCAAATAGATATGCCAAGGCGAGCTTACCTGCTGTATATGTGTTCAACGCATTAAATGAGCCCATTAGACCTGCTCCGCCCCAAAATGCACTAATAATCGGCACGGCCACCCCTCCTACCTCTTTTTGGAGAGTCCAGCCGTAGACTAGTGTGGCAGCGGGAAGAACGAAGAACAAGGTTAGCAATCCGCTGTTGAGCCTGTCCCTCGGTAGCCGTACCCCATTTCTTTTCACAATATATCTCTTAACTGTTCGGTCGGACAGTCTGCCGCCGACTATACTGCCAAACAGGAATCCAGCCCCTGGGGCAAGATAGAATAAACCGCTAACAAGAGGTGTCGTGAGGTGAAAACGTGGATTGATTATGGAGGGGACCGAGGTAAGAAGCGCATATTGATAAAAGGCCAGAAAACCACAAGTCAAATCCTATAACGGATCTATATTAGCAAAGATGCATCTTGTTAGTTTTGAAATGGAGTAGACCCACAGCAAAAAGGATGTTAGGGTACATGAGTAGCCTAAAGATTCCTCTTGGATCGAACTTTGCAAGTATCTCGGGCGTTGATAATGATCTTCTATTATCTATTTCGATGTTATTGTCTTCATCTTGCCCGTTTTCATTCGCCTTTTTGATATCCGGAATGAAAAGAAAAGAGAGTGCAAGGCCGAAACCAACCATGCCGACTTGAACCCAGTATATTACTCGCCACTTGGTAAAGGTCACTATGACACCGCCGACGCATGGTCCTAAAGTTCTGATGTTAGCCTAAAGTTCCCCTTCCTCCATCTTAGTTTTGCAAACCTATCGCTGGCCCGCTAACTGACCCAGCCATAAAGAAGCCAACGGCTGTGCCACGGACTTTCTGTTAGGAAGACCAAGCGTTAGTTAATATTCCCATAATCAGTGTACCGTAGAAAATTCCGATGAGAAAGAGGATCGTACTGGCTCGAAGATGTCTGCAAGTATAGTCTGTCCAGCAATCATAAAAAAAGTGCCTGTGAATCCGCCTAGCACTCTCATGGACGTAAAAGTCCGGAAATCTGGTGCAGCAGCTGCCCCCACCGAGCAGATACATAAAACAAATATGGCTGCGTTATAGGCATTCCTGCGTCCTATTATCCCGCTAATCGGCCCCCAAATCAGAGACGAACTCCCCATGGCAATGATAACACCAGCATTGCTGATATTGATGGCTTCCGTCGTGGTTGAGAACTCTAAGGTGATCTCGGGGATGGCAGGGAGGAGGGAGGTGCTCGAGAAGGTTGCCGCAAGAGTCATCCAACTGACAATGAATAGAATGGTATTTTTCCGCCAAGGAGAGAAATTGGAGTATGAGCAAGACCCAGAAGTCTCTTCCAAGTTTGTACGGACCGAGTCTGGTGGGAGTTGATATCCAGTACTAGTTCGCAGTTTAGGATCTGTCTCAACCTCTCTCGGAGAGTTCTGCCCTTCCATTGCGTGCGTGCCTTCCAGACTGTGCGAGACAAAAACGACCGCGGAGTAAGCACAATTCCCGTACGCCTGCTTGTGAAGTCAAACTGAAAGATGAATTTTTACAGAACTCCGAACTTAATTTGAACATAAAAATACGAGGGCATCGTAATTTGTTTTTAATGGAGACGTGCTTCCTTTCGGCAAAGAGGAAATGTTTCCCACGGCGTTTTGACCCATGGGCCGAACACTACCGAAAATTAATGGCTGACATGCCGCCTGAAAACTGATTTGCTCTTTGAGTAGAGCTGGTGATCGGTGTAGTTTTACGTCAGAGATATCCCTGTTAGTGAAAATGGCGTGCCTGTAGAGAAGTTCGGCAAGAGAGTCAATATCGCCGAAGATAAGATGGACTTATGCCAAGAAAATTTAGTGGCCAAAAATCCGCAACTGATATATGAAAGAGCAGAAACAGATTGAGACGTATACATAGATTGACAATCGGCTTCCATTGATCCCTCGAAGGGTCAAGTCCTATGGGGTTGTGCGCACATGCATGCAAGATGAGAACGTCTCCAGGGTTCCATTCCACTTCCAAGAGTCTGAATCGATGCGATTGTCGGGTTCAGAGCTCCCGGGGCGCCAAACACCAATTTTCTCGCCCTTTCTAATAGCTTGGAGTTTCCACGAATTGGCAAGTACTCATGATTGGTAGTTGAATCTTCATGTAGTCGATTTTTGGCCTGATTGGTCGATTAGTCTCTGCATAGTTTGGCCACTTAAAGGATGCTATCCGCGCACCTCTTGACCCACCGGAGGGGGGCAAGATCCACGGATTTTCCTTCTCATCTCGATGAAGACCAGCATTCAAACTCGTCGCCTTTGGATGTAGATCGACTCTTGCGAGCCTCATGATGCCAAATGCAGCATCCTCGTTTAGTGCGGGGACAGTAGCAAAGTGCGAAGTCATAATGGGAAGAATAATTAGAGAATTAAGCAAGATCGGTCTATTGTAATGATGGACAACATCGTATATATGCACTGCATAATACACATAAAACATATGATAAACGGGTACCAACGTGTTGTTCCACTCTAAAAGCGGCAAAATAATTGAAAACGCCGCGGACCCACATTTCAAGAGCGGCATCGAGCACAATTTCGCCGCGCGCTAAACTAAAAGGCGACGTGAAGCACGGTTTGACTTATCCTCACATTTCTTTTCTTGAATCCAGACTTCTTCATGTGCCTATAGTTTCGGCAACCTTCAAGTGACACCGGCGGCCTACAGCCCATTACAATGATCGAGAGATATTAGACGAGCACTATCAAAATCTAGACTCGAGCCGTACTAACCGAGGAACCATGGCCGAAGTCGACTCCCTAGATGGTATTGCTGATAGAGCACCCGCAAGGAAGAAGACTACAGCGTAAGCAGAATACTAGTACCACTCACTGGCAAATTTATAACATCGATGAAGGTGCCGTCGATGTCACTCACGTAAGATAAAATGTTCTGGCGGGACTCCATGTGATGGATGCGTTTCTTCACGCCATGAGCATTGTACATACGTTTCGAGAAATCGCAAAGTTAAAGTTGCGGAAAGGTAAATAATAAGACAAGTCTACGCCATTAATAGAAGGAATGCTAATAGACTTCGTACAATGACAGATATCTGCAGCAAGTCCTTGCCGAGAATGAGCGATTAAAACGAAATACGGCGACAGTAAGATCTACGTCTCCTACCACAGGGATAACAGATGTCCCTCATCTTCGACAAGACTCTTCCAACCCCGAAGAGAACTTAAGCAACCCCCTCATGCAGGACCGGGCCTGGTTTGTACCGTATGATGTTGCCAATCCTCCGGTATATATCGGCGAGGCAGCCTGTACCGCATTTGCCACCCGATTCCGCCAGGCTCTTGTCGAATTTCAAGGATCAGCTCCTCATATTCCAAGAATCCATTACGCCCAAGATGATAATCTATTCTCCGCCTTGCATTCGCCAGTGTCGTGGCCAAGCAGAGCTCAGGCCCAATTACTTCTCAAGGTTGCTTTAATTAATATCAACCGATCATTTCATGTTGTTTTAACAAAGCCAACCCTAGCCAGCCTAGACCAATTATATCAAGACGCAAGACCTCCAGGTACACTTGCCACTTGTAAGTTCTTTGCACTTTTTGCACTTGGAGAGGTTTACTCTAGCAGGGCAGTGATACCATCGGAGGGCAAGTTTCCTGGAGTGTCGTACTTTATGCACTCGTGCAGTCTGCTCCCTATTCTTCCAGAAAGAGCGACTTTGGAGCATATAGAGATTTTGATACTCCTTGTATGTTTTGGGAGTTCAGTAACAATTTCAAGGATCCTTCGCTGACCACATAGTCATTCTTCTCACATAACCTGAATAGGAGAAACTCTGCTTATTTGTGGATCGGATCGGCTCTCCGTCTTAGTCTGACGCTTGGTTTGCACCATAATTTTCCACGGACAATAGCGATGGACCCTGTGGCTAGGCAGCATCGTGTTCGTATTTGGTGGACAATTTACATTTGCGACAGGATGTGGGGGTCAAAATCGGGCCATCCTTTAATGATTCCCGACAGGGACATCACGGTTGATTTACCCTCCTCCTCGGGCCTAAATGACGAAGAACGGACAGCGTTTCCGGATCCCGACCACATAATCGCTAGCATTAAGCTCGCAAAGATCGCTGGCAATATTATAACGACAGTCTATTGTAGAGGTCACCCGCCGCCATTTATACAGAGCGTTCAAAAGGTCTTGGGCGACCTCAATGCATGGATGGCGGCTCTACCAGACTCGATCAGACTCGCCGAAACTGCTGGCTGTACTTCAAGACACGTTGTGTCTCTGCATCTCTCATTTAACCAGGTGTGGCGTAACCTACTCCTTGGCCATTACAACTCTAACCTTCACTCATTTTAGTGTGTCATACTCGCAACCCGTCCAGTCTTACTCCACGTATTTACAAAGTCTCGCGATGGTAGCTCTCCCACGAATGATATGACGCCAGTTACGTCAACTCTTGCTGATGCCTGCCTTCACACGGCACGACACTCAAACGAGCTTCTAACACAATTGTGGATAGAGGGAGCACTGTCAACCTTTGGATACTTTGACGCCCACTACCTTTTCTCTTCGGCGGTAATACTTGCGATCTCTAGTATTTCTGGTATCGATAGCAAGGACAAGGACCGTTTAGACTCTGCAGCTCAACTTCTACAGTCTATGGCTGACAGTGGAAATTTATCAGCGACCGAGTTCTCTGGACATCTGGATCAAGTGAGAAGTGCCATTAACGGATCTCGCTCAGATGTCTCTGCACCAAGCACGTTAGAGACAGAGCTAGGTATACGTACCTATAGTACCTTCAACGATACAGTGAACCCTTTAACGGCCGAGATGGCTTTACTTGAGCAACCTATGCAGGACTTTATTACCCAGGCAGAATTTCCTTTTGAATTCCCGAATCCTGTGGATTTGCTTCACGACACGATGCTCTTATTTACTTAAGCCCTGGTATAGAACAGCGCTTCCAGCTATCCCCACGGTATCAACATCCTGGCATACCTGAAAACGGCGAATGAACCGCTTATCACCTGTCTTCGAATTGAATCGAAAGCGGGGGTCGAGAATGTTGATGCTATCTGTGCTGTACCTAGTGTTAGGATTAACGTCGTCGATGGCGGTCTAATTCTTCTCCTGCATTTCTACATGGATCAATTTAGCAAGACTGAGCGCGGGTCAGGCCAAGAATATGGCAGCTGGTGTTTCTGGAGTGGAGCAGCTCAGGGAGATGAAGTACGCCGCTCTTACCAGTGTTGCCCGTCGAGCCGATAATAGGGATTGTAGGAGCCATAGTGAATATGTTGTGAGGAAACAATGGTAAAGCTAGGGAAGCTGCAATGAGTGCACTGGTGTCTGGAACGGAATCACATAAATGATTAGATAAGCATGATCTAAACTCACCGAATGAGCAAGCTCTAATGTTACGGCCATCACATTGTTATATGGAGTAAGTAAGTAGTAGTAATAAACACGTGTGTGTGTTATAGAACTCAGTTTGAGGAAACCATAGTCAGCCTACACCATGAGGTGGGTGTAGGAAGCCTCGGAATAGTTTTGCATTTCGGTTTTTACACCATTAAGAGGACTTTCTAGCCACACCTTAGGTCAGCACCCCACTACCCTAACATTGTGGGAAGTAGCCACATCCTCCATCCTCACGCAAACTATAAGACCACCCAACGTGTCACCACCCCATTATTTAGAACTCGAATCTACACCCTAATAAAATGTTCCCATTACGTGCAGCAGCGCGTATCGACTCGTTAGACCATCTTGTCCTAACGGTCAAGTCTATCACCGCCTCTACCACTTGGTATGTGAACAATCTCGGCATGCGAGCAGAGTCGTTCAGGTCGCCATCGTCACCAGACGTCACACGGCACTCACTGGTATTCGGATCACAGAAAATCAATTTGCATGAGTCGGGCAAGGTACATCAAAGCCACGTGCTTAAAGCAGGAGTCCCGAAGCACGAAAGAATTGTAAACTAAACTATCATGAGTAGGAATTTGAACCCAAAGCCTTCAAAGTGCTACCAGGAAGCGCAGATCTATGCTTCTTAACTTCGGACATTGTTTCGGAAGTGCGTAAGCGCCTAGTGAATGCCGGCGTGGAGATGGTTGATCTCGGGGCCGAGAAATCCGATGATGGAGTCGTTGTACGGACGGGCGCGCGAGGGAAGATCATGAGCGTCTACTGCAGAGATCCTGATGGAAATTTAATAGAGTCCGTTCTAAACTCAATGATGGCTTTGTTAATATGATTTTATGTGCTAATATGTCGTAGGATATCAAATTATATTGATGAGAAGACATCTACATAAGTCTCCGAAGTCTAGTACGAAGTGGAATAATCATCCTTCTTCATCTTTAGGCAGTGTTCGGCGGATATGTATCCGGGTAGTATCCGTGAAGCTCACGGGTAGGGTATATACCCGGCGAAGATCTGACGGGTAGAGTAGGGTATATACCCGGATACATGAGGCTGAATAAAAGCATATAAAAATGAAGCTTTTAGTTTTAATAACTTATTATACTTTTTATAATAATATTACTACTATTACTAAATACTCATTTTAAGACTATAGAGGTTACTAGAACTACTAAATAGCCTAAGTAATAGGTAATAATTAGATATTAAGGATATTAGTATGCTTATAAGGCAATAGTTTAAGCATATCGTCGAGACGACGTCTGTAAAATGAAGCCTTAGCGATGCTTGGCTACTCTTGGCATATACCCGGGTATATACCCGGATACACCGGATACTCTAGAATATCGAACGGGTAGGGTATATACTCGGGTATATACCCGGATACCAAGGGTATATTGGTATCCGTGCCGAACACTGTCTTTAGGTACTGTCATATCCTATATATCGAGCTCTAAGAATGTGCGGCATATCCCTGTCTCATTTTGTGCTGATTTCTCCAATATATGGAATATATTTACAATGAATTTACAAGATGAGAAATATCCTAAAATTCCCAGGTGCGTACCGCGGCCGTGAAATGTAACAAGGTTAGAACTGCAATCTAATCGACGTTACCCTCACACCACTCCATGAGAAAGGACATTGCAATATCCTCCTCACTTAACTCCTTCGTTGTCTTACCATGCCTTTCCTCGCTACACTCCCTCCCGAGTTCTTGCCCTCTACCAAAGGGGCTTCCTGCGGAACAACCATAGCCATCTGCTATCTCATCATAATTCATCAAATCCGTCTCTGTCATGAAACCTCCCAGCTCGCCAGTCACTCCCAGACTGTCGTTTAACGCTAACCCTCCCCATTCCTCACAATCCGTAAACCCCGTCCCGTTTTCAAAGCCATTCGACGTATCTATCAGCCCCTCATATTCCTCGTCACCACAATCATGTCCCTGAGTCTCTTCCCTCCTATCTATAAAACCCATTGTGTGTCTCGCGCTATCATCGTTACCTAATGAGAAGCTGTCTGAGATTCTCGAGAGGAAGGCATTGGTTGTAGAGAATAACACGGGGGGGTCGCCTCCAATGCTGTTCGCTGTCGTGGAGTAATCGGGCATCGAAAACTGAACCTCGTTGTTCTCCGGTGGAGGCGTGAAGCGCGCTGCTCGACCTGCAGCAACCAGCTCCGATACACTCTGTACAGTTCGTTTTGGTCGAAAAATCTCTGCACTCGAGACGTTAGATGATATCAAGTGCATATCAATGTTGATGTGTGATTTTTGAATTGCAGCGTCAAGGAATTGTGTCTCTGAGTCGATGATGGCATAGTTTTCTCGCAGCTTCTCGACGACTTGCATGCACTGACAAAATCGCTGGAGAGCTTTATAGCGGATAGCCTCGTTGGGGGATTTAAGATCCAGGAGGTGGATGATGATGGCTGGTAGGAGGACAGTGAGGCCACCGTTATAGAGGTAGCCGGTAAGCTCGACCTTATGTAACGACTGTGACATTCGTGTAATTTCACAAGAAGCTTTGTGGACCTTTGTTCGAGAGTCTTCTTGCAGTTTGCCGTACCTTCGGAGTTGTGGCCTGTGTAGTGCGGCAAGAGTGGCGTAGTAAAACATGTGGAGCAGGGTACGCTGTACAATAACAGTGGATGCACCGCTCTCTATCTCTTCCAAAGTAGGATCCTTAGAGATGCACTGGGATGGAAGGCTCTGGACCCAATCAGCAAGCTCGCTGTCACAAATATTGACTTCTTCGGTTTGCTCGAGATTCCTTGGTAGCAGCACTGCGCTTGGCCGAGTGTTCCAGTCTTGGCTTGCGGCGATACCTTGGTTTCTTATCAGAACCGAATATTGGGTGCTGAGAACATGGCTGATACAAAGACTAAGCTTGGCTTGGGAAATACATAGCATAGCTAGATCTTTTTGCATCTCCACGTCTCTAATCATTTTGCACTTAGATGGTATTATTGTATTATTGGCGGCTAATGGGCGGATATCGAAGTCGGCTAATGTGAGCATTGGCACATCATGGTCATCTTTTGTCCGTGGGATTCTTCGCAGACCGAGGGCAGCAAGGCGATCCCTCATTAGGCATGACCACCAAATCCGCTTCCATAATTTTTGTGTCTTAACGTCTGTGGTGGAATTGACGGGATTGCAGTGGAGTCCTATTGAATTTGCAGACGAAATTGCGGCACCTATCCAATGCCAGGTGTCTTTCTGGCCGTCTGGATTTTCTAACCAAAAAGACATGAGGAGAAGGGCTTGGACAATAATCACAACATTGGACTCGTAGTCAAAATCATAGAGCGCCTATAAATGTCAAACTTATGGTAAATGGTAGTTCCAGAGCATACATACCCTAGTCTTAAGGTAAAAGGCTTTCCGTGCAGCTCTCCTTGTGGGGTATCCGGCCGCAGTCAAATATGACTTGTCCACAAAGGCGACCCCGGCAAACATGACAGCTTGGAACAGAAGCAGGCTCACTCTGCCATTTTCGCCAGTTCCCTTGTTCACAATTTGTAAGAAGTCGTGCACGTCAAGCAACGGCATGTATGGGTGGACAAATTCGATATAGCTCCAAAGAAGCTCGTTCCGAAAGGCGATTTCTGGAATAACAGTAGCTCCTTTATTCCACAGGTGCATCATATCCTCTGCTGCCATGCATGTTGGCAGTGGCTGAATATATGCTGGGAGAAAGCCATCGGAGAAATCTCGTGGAGATTCGCAGTCTATGGTGGTAGCCATCGGTGGTGGAGAAATCGATTTTATTCGAGAGGCTCGAAGGTCGCCTGTAATACCAACGGAATTGACAATATCGTCGAAGTTAAGGGGCTGTCCCAGCCGAGTTTTTCCTGAGACTAAAATCCGTTAACTTGGCTATGAATGCAATGGACCTTGTAGCAACTAACCCAAAGGGTGGGGCATATCGCTGCCACTTTCATATTCGTCGCTAGGTGGGCTTGAGGATCGGCTCGAATTGTCATCAATATCTGGACTGGAGATATCGATCGGGTCGGCGCCGTCGTTGGAAACATCTGTCCTCGACAACGAGCTGTGTAAACGAGAGTGTGAATGGCTATGGTGGCCGTCGACTCCTGAAGTTTTGAGAGAGCTTGTCCTATCACATCACTATTAATGGGAGCCTTGGAGTCTTTTTTGGAGACATACTTCTTATGCTTGGTTTCTGGCACGGTACACGGAATCGCCCCGGATTTGCAATTTGAGCATGGCGCACCATGTTCAACGACATCACAGCGAACTTTTCGTGACCGACATACCTGACATGCCTTTGCAGCCCTCCGCTTTATAGGCTGTCCTTTTGCGTTGAGACCTAATCTTCTGGCTTTTCGTTTTGAAGTGGGTGGTGCAGCGATCTGGGTGGCATTATCAGGCCCAGCAGAGATAATGTCTGCAGGAATGATTTGCCGGGGCATTATAATAATTTGAGATGTTGAGGGCAATTGCCCGTCGCTTATAAGGGGATATCACCGATGCAATGTCCATATACACCTTATTCCGTCAATTGAAACAAAATCTAAGAGGTTGTAGAAGTGTGGAGAATTGTAATAGTCCTTGCGTGCGGGGTGAGGTTTGTGCTGGTGTGGGGAATGATAGAGATGGACCATTTTAGTGGAGTTCCAGTATTCGGACACTAGTTTCCGGTCACTAAGCGATTGTGAGTGCGCGCGCGGGCGCCTATGTGAGTGAGCGATTAGTCACATCATATGCTGAACTCAGTCATATGTTTGGCAACTTGCGCCCTGTCATTTAATCAAACTGACTGGAACTCGTCCGTGCTCACCAGTATCCGGACACCGAAAACCGGACACCGAAAACCGGACACCGGTGTCCGAACTAGAACTCATTTTAGTGCAAATGTGGCTAACGACCACAGTGGAGACCCGGCCACAACCCGACTCCATCTGCCGCATATATGGGGAAATGAGGGGTAACCCCACCTTTTCTATGTCGGAAGTTTATTCACCCGCTATGGGTGATTTATTATTGGTGTAATTTTTAACAGAATCTAGAACATGCGTATTATTTGATTTACAGTTTTGCTTTTCCTTGAGCAATAACGGCCCACGCATCTTCTGTCAGCCTCTCAAACCGTTCTCCATTAAGCCAATAGAGAGCATCACGATCTCCGCCCTCGCCCTCAATCCAAGACTTTTTCAATAAATCACCTTTGGCTTGTTTGAATGTTACACCAGTTGAGATTCTGTGAATTATTAGTAATTTCGTCTCAACAGAGTCAAATGTCAGTATGACTTACTCTTTCGTAATTCGGACCAGCCGCGGGATTGCGTAAACGGGGAGGCCAGTCTTCCTTAGAGATCCATACAATTTTTTCATGAACTTCGTCTCGTCGCCGTTCAATAATGTGATGGCTGCTGCTCCTGCTTTCCCATCATATCCATTCAAGGCAACTCCGTACACAACGACATCCTCCACTCCCGACAATGCCGCAATATGGTCTCTTACCTCGCCTGCACTAACGTTTTCTCCCTTCCATCTGAAAGTATCACCAATGCGGTCATGGAAATGTACCCACCCATCGCTGTCCTGGATCACGAGATCGCCCATTTTTTGAAATAGATCACCCTTCACGAACACATCCGTAATGAGCTTTTCTTCGGTTGCTGATGAGTTCCCCAAATACTCCGTGAGCAGACCTCGGTCTTTCACCCGCCCAATAACTTCACCAGCCTCTCCCAACTTGCATTTTACACAAAATCCTGTTTTTGGATCCCGGTAGGGTAGCTCAGTTACCGTGTCGAATTTGACAATGAAAGTATCGTTTTCATACCACCTTCTGATCGGACCGCCATATGCAAGCCTTCCTGCACCCCATGCACCGAAGCCGAAGTTATCGAACTTCCCCAGTCCCTCAGTCGAACGGTAAAACTCCCTTATTTCTGGAATGCCAAAGCGATCCTTAAACCTCTCCCAAATCTCCGGACGCATGCCGTTGCCATTAGCTACTATGCAATTGTGGCTCTTATCATACGGACTTGGTGGCGAATTGACCAAATACCTGCACAACTCACCCACGTACAGAATCCTTGTAGCACGAGATTCAGTTACGTCTTTGAAGAATCGTGATGCTGAGAACTTCCTCGCCAGGACGAAACACGACCCATTTCCAAACGAGTAGCAAAATCCGGTAAAAAGACAGGTTCCGTGAAAAAGTGGCAGAGCAGAGTAAGTGCGTAAGGGGAAATATTTTCGAGGTTTTGCGTAATCATGGGAATGCATTGTGCCCGTGGTGATCATTTGTGCATTGCGTATTGCACAAGCTTTGGGCTTGCCCGTTGTTCCAGAGGTATATATCAGACATGCAAGATCTTTCAGAGAACGTTTAGCAGTCGGGAGTGCGGTCGGCGTCGTTGGGAGGTCTGAAGGCGTAACCAAGGTGATACCGGGATTCTTAGGTGCAGGCGTATTTGGAAAAGCGACAAAGTTCAGAGAGAAATGTGGTGAAGAGCAAGTCAAGGCATCGGATAGTTCTGGCGTAGAAAGAACCAGACTGCAATTTGATACACTTAAACAGTGGTTCAATGGACCATCTATATTTATTCTTTAGTATGGCTTTTGCGAACATCCTCTCACTACGTACCTCTCAAATTGGTATTTATTAATGCGGCAACAGCGCCGAGTTTTTGAAGCGCGAGAATAGTCATAACCATTTCTGGGGAATTCGACATGAAAACTCCAATGAAGTCACCTGTCTCGACTCCTTTCTCATGCAAGAAAGACGAAAGTCTGTCAACCTCTGATTCTTGTTAGCCAAATCAATTTATGGACCCGAGAGAACATACCATGTTTCAACTGCCCAAATGTCCATGTTTGACCCTCAAACCACAAGGCATCAGATGTCAGATCGGCTCTCGAAAACACACTGTATATTGTACAGCTTTCTCCCAACTGCGAGAAGTTCTCAAGCAATCGTTTTACACCATTTTTTTCACGCTTAATCTCGCGAATATCTGTTTCGATACCGTACCTGGCATTGATATAGGAGCCACCGGCAACCAACGCTGCACCGGCGAAGGACAGAGCCTGAATGTTCATCTCGAGTGATGAGGAATCTTAAATTGAACAAAAATGCGGGGAAATCAATACACGACTTGGCCTTTAACAGAACCAAAATGTACATATCCTACCTCCAAATTCATATACATCATATACCATGGTCACAACCGAACACTCCTCGGTCTCGGTCAGTGGTAACATCCCGAGTCTAACTACCGTTTTGCAGTTAATAATAATACAGATAGCATAAAAGCACTTAAATTTAGATTGGGGATCATTAGCGCGGACTAGCTATCAGGTGCGGGCAGATCTCAAATCCGGGGTTGATGTGGGTTTGCGGCAGTTCGCGAATCTCGCTGCCGAAGGCCGAGGCGCAAATGTGGTCACTACCGACGATCCAATTTTTAGAGCTTCTTTATATTTTAATCGTATGTTTCGGCATTTATTACATTCTTGTAAGCTGTATTAACTATATTTTTCCATATACCCTGCTTTTGATAACTTACATTATGAGTTCAGCACAATCACGTCTCAGTTCGGTCATGGGCCACCTAGGCTCGCCTGCTGATGGAAAAGCTAGGCTCTTGCAGAAGAATCTGGACGACATAGTAGGTTCTTTCGTAATATGTGCTTTAATTAGACTCTTACATTGATGCCAGGTTATCACCCTTGCCATCCGCACTCCTCTCACAAAGGCCCGCAAAGGAGGCTTGAAGGACACACCAATTGACGACCTGCTTATAGCTATCCTAACTCAAGTTCGTGAAAAATCAAAGTTAGACCCAAGCCTCGTTGAGGATGTCTGTGTTGGCAACTGCCTTGGTAGCGGTCAAGCCTATGTTGCCCGCTCAGCCGTCCTGGCTGCGGGGTTCCCTATCACCACCGCTGCTTCAATAGTCAACCGCTTCTGTTCATCTGGCCTTCTTGCCATCCAAGGTATCGCCAATCAGATCTCGGCCGGATCTATCGATGTTGGTGTTGCCGTTGGTGCTGAGTCCATGTCCACAACTCCAGATGGTGGCGCACCAAAGATGAGCGATAAGATCATGAATCACCCAATTGCATCGCAGAACCAGATGTCTATGGGGTATACTTCTGAGGAAGTTGCTGGCCAATTTGATGTTAGCCGCCAGGCGATGGATCAGTTTGCGGCCGAGTCATATCAAAAGGCCGAGAAAGCACAGAAGGAGGGTTGGTTCGACGACGAGATCACTCCCATCGTTGTCACAATAAAGGATCCAAAGACCGGAGAGGCAAAGCAAGTCACCGTCAGCAAGGACGATGGTATTCGATATGGCACCACGGCTGAATCCCTAGGCAAAATCCGCAACGCGTTCCCCCAGTGGAAACCAAGTCGTACCACCGGCGGTAACGCCTCTCAAATAACTGATGGTGCGGCTGCTGTTCTCCTGATGAAGCGCTCGCGCGCAATAGAGCTCGGTCAACCGATAGTTGGAAAGTTCGCCGGCTCTACAGTTGTTGGTCTTGAACCAAGGATTATGGGTATCGGCCCAAGTTATGCCATTCCAAAGATTTTGGGCAAGGTTGGGCTGGCCAAGGAGGATATCGACGTCTTTGAAATCAATGAGGCTTTCGCATCTATGGGTGTTTATTGTGTGGAGAAATTAGCTCTGGATAAGAAAAAGGTTAACCCACGAGGTGGTGCTATTGCCTTGGGTCATCCTCTTGGCTGCACCGGTACTCGTCAAGTGGTGACTGCGTTGTCGGAGTTAAGGAGGCAGGATAAGAGAATTGCGGTTACATCTATGTGTGTCGGGACTGGGATGGGTATGGCTGGAATCTTCGTTTCGGAACATTAATCAGTAAATGAGCACTAAAGAAGTACAATAAGTGTATAGTAATGATAAAATTGTGGCCCTATTATGAGATGACAGCGATGGATGCGTTGGGGGGGTTTTGAGGCATGGATAATGTTTTATAAAAACGTTCGCTTTAGACTTGATTATCATAGGATATTTTACATGAAGCTATATTTACAATGATCGTATATTATATATTGGGTTGCTGGTATTTGGTTGCTGTATCAAACGTTCTATTATAATTATCACAGTTTCTTCGTATAACACTCCATGGTGTAAGGTGCAGAATCTGGCAAATGCTCGGTATGTAACTGTATATTTACTCTGCCATCTACCATTCCGCTTATAAAGTATACTTGTAATCAGGATGATGATCGCCCAACGCCTCCCTTTGTTCTTCCAATGACAGGTGTGCAACATCCCTCAGTAAGTGCTCCCTGTGGCTCACCTTCTTCCGGTTCAGAGATTTAAGCCAAACCAGGTTCGCTGCTAGCAATGCTACCGTCACTACGCAGAAAGACAGGTTGAGCTTTGCTGCAAACGCGTATTGTGGAGCGTCTTTCTTAGGATATATCCATGTGCTGAGAATGCCGCCCGCGTTGGTCATGATGAAGCCAAGAGCGACTGCCGTGGCGCGTCGCGTATGGGAGGCTGAGTTGTTGGGGATCCAGGATATCATAGATGGTGCAGAGGAATATACGCCAATAATCAAGAAGCACAGTGCCGTATACTTCTGTCCAAAACCTTTGGCGGTTAGGAAGAGCGAAAAGCCGACAATAGCGACTAGTGTGGTGGCTATCGCAGTTAGGCCTCGCTGCTTGTAGTGATCTGCCGTATAAGCCGAGATCATCGTGACGATGAAAGCTAAGACGAAAGGAGGTACGGTGAGAAGCTGCGTATGGGTTGCGTTGAAATTGAGTGTCTGAACGATGGTAGGCGTGAAGTATGCCAGGCCAAAGAGACTGCAACCATTGCAGAAGAGGGCGATCACGTTTATCCACACATGGAGGTCTTTGAAAGTAGAGAGTAAAGATTTCCACGATAATTTGGCCCCCTCGACAGAGTTCGCATCGAGAGTAAGTCGGTAGTCGCAGTGGTCGGCGTGTGCCTTCGTAAAAGTCTTCACACCTTGTGGATTATTTGGCATGGCCCAGAAACATAGGGATGCGAAACAGACGGTAAAGAGCCCTTCCAGGAGAAAAATCCACTGCCATCCGTGCATGTTGCCAATTCCATTCATTTGCTGAATGCCGGCGGCAAGGAGACCAGAGAAGGCGCCAGAGAGAGCGGCGGCGGAGAAAAAAAGGGCAATCCTGACTTGCAGTTCATGAGGCCGGTAGAAGCCAGATAGATACAGGACAATGCCCGGGAATAGGCCACCTTCGCAGAGACCAAGAAAGAAGCGACATGCAAGAAGGCCTGAGTATGTCTTTATCTGGGACTGAAGGGTTGTCACAATGCCCCATGCCAGCACCATCCCTGGAAGCATTATCCGGGGTCCGATCTTCTTGAGGATGAGATTCGACGGTAACTCAGCCGCAATATATGGCACGTAGGTAACGGTGATTGCTGACAAGGGTGTTAGTCCCTGAAGCCTTCCATATATCTTTATTGAGGAAAGAAGGGGGCTTACCAATTTGATATTGGGTATCGGAGATTCCAAGGTCCTTCTGGAGGCCAGCAACACGAGCGTTTCCAATATTTGCCCGATCTAGAAACGCCAATAAATACATCGAAGCCACAAGAGGAACCAGCAGAATATCCAGCCTAAACAATGTTTTCTTGTCAAGTACAGGGTCAAAGTAGGGCGTCAGACCCTCGTCAGACTTAGAGTTTGGCATAGCGCTTTCGTTGCGGGCCATCTCCAGTTGGTCTATATCCATCTTACCATTCGTAGTATCGGCGGTTGTCATGACGATGATTAGGCCCAGGAAGAGTTATGTAAACGACGGCAACTACAAGTCATAGAAGGTAAAAGAGGTTCTCAAGAGAAGAATAGAATGTCACAGGTCGCTTCCTTGGTGGTGACACGACGCTATGATAGACGTGGCATAAGAGGGATGATGAGAGGTCTTATGCTTTGGACGAGGCCTGACAGCTACCTCAATCCGCGTCTGTGGAACAGGCGAGACATTGTTTCTCTCAATCAATTCTCCAGTGAAGGAAGCCAATAGTGAGGCACCATAGTGTCCCAACCGAAAAGCGTCACAACCGAGGACTGTCACAACCGAGATCGATGAGGATACTACGATAGAAGTAGTGTGGGGAAGTGGGGAAATAAAAAGTATATTCTACTTCGGTGATAGTACAGAGGAGAATGGGTTGGCAGTTGCAGTTGGGCCCACCTTACCCCGCACCAGCGAGTATATTGTACTGGGATATGAACTCGGCATGTCGCATCATAGACTTCTCCACGCGTGCTATAGAGAATGGAAAATAGATACTAACCGCAGTCGGAATACGGCCCTTAGCTGATGTGTTATTATTTATTTCCTATTCGATAATATCCCTAGAGCCTGGTTGTCTGCGAGGCTAATATAGTCTTCGTAGTATTTGACGGAGTGGTTCGGCATGTTTAGACTTTCGACCCGGCATCTATCTTCGGTCGCGAATCGACACTACAGTCCACTATATTTAATATTCTTATCTACAACGTATATACTATGACTCTCGTTAAATACTTCCTACGCCGAAGTACGTTCTCTTGACACGGCCGTTCTGGAATATTATTTATTTGCTAGCTACTCTATGTGGCCTTTCCCCCATATACAAAAATAATGACTGAGCACATGGGCATCTTCCTAGTCTATGGAAGTGGCTTCGCCAGGATCCTCTACGCGGCAGGAACTGTTTGTGGTGAAGTGTAAGGAGGCGGTGGTGGCGGCGCAAAAGATTTATAATAATTGTAATTATGACAATGTCAAGCAGTGGACAGGGCAGTATATGGTGGATGGGTCGGTGATTGAAGTTTTTGCATCGCCGCAGGTGGGATGGAGTTGGAGAAGTGAGGAAGAGGACGACGAATCAAACCATTGACTTCGTAAATTCCAGTACCTCTTCTACCATTAGGCCCGTGATTGAGGAGATAACTAAAAATACATTCATATATAGAAATAATAAATAGAGATAGGAATAATCTGCCAGAAAGGATAATGGATAATTCTCTGTACTTGCTTTTTTATATAACAGGAAAAAATACATAAAAAACACAAATACAGTAAGTGTTCTCTAGTTCTCACCCGCTCAACTACCAATACAACGATTTTAACTTTTTAATAGATTGGCAGCAGGAGCAGGAGCAGGAGCAGGAGAGGAGCAGAAGACGAGCAGGAGACCGAGTTGGACCAGGCGCTAGTGGCAGAACTAGGGACCCAACTAGTGACGGAGTTGGAACAGCGCTAGAGACGGAAGCTAGAGACAGAGTAGACGGAGCTGGAGATATAGTTGGAGATTGAGTTGGAGACAGAGCTGGGGGCGGAGGCGGGGCTGGCGGTTATGTTATATGTTATTACCAAAGACTGCAAACGGCGTACTGATGTGCAATGCATCGTGTATCAGTCCACCTCTATTCGAACTCAACCACTATCAATTTAGATTTAATATTCAATTACGTCACGGATGACGTCGACTCGTTAAAGCTTCAAACGTGCCTCATCATCTAGGGTTCGCCCATTAGTCAAAAGGCCAAATATATAACGGGGAGCGTCGCCTAGAGAAAAGGCAGCCTGTACTCGACCAATCTCATTCAGAACGACGACTCGACGCAATTATGTCAAACTCATCAGATCGCGCCCCAGTAGCAGACCAGGCCGAGGCTGACGCCTGGTTTCCGTCTCCATACTCCCTCACACTGTATACTTCTACGAAGACGGATTTTGATTCCGCCAACTATCCAAATGCATATACTGGCGGCAAGTGGAAGATTCTCCTCATCGCCACGCAGGAGCGATACCTGAAGATGGCGGATGGCAAGTTTTTTTCGACGGGCAACCACCCAGTTGAAATGCTTTTGCCGTTGCTCCACCTCGACGCCGCCGGCTTCGAGATTGACATAGCCACCATCTCAGGAAACCCGGTGAAGCTCGAGATGTGGGCGTTTCCGCAGGAGGACGAGGCTGTCAAGGGCATCTATGAGAAGTATAAGGAGAAGATTCGCAGCCCGCTCAACCTACATGATGTGTGGGGTAAGGGGTTCACAAAGGATACGCCGTACATTGGAACCTTCATCCCTGGTGGCCACGGCGCGATGAACGATGTCCCATTTTCGGAGACTGTTGGTAAGATCCTGCGATGGGGAGACGAGAATCAGCGCTTCTTAATTACACTCTGCCATGGCCCGGCGGGCATGCTTGCCGCCGATGTTGGCAAGCCCAAAGGCAGCAAGTTCATCTACGACGGCTACGAAATTGTCGTCTTCCCCGATTCGTTAGACACCAACGCAAACGTCGACATAGGCTATATCCCTAGCAAAATGCCATGGTATGTTGGCGAGAGACTTCGAAAGCTCGGCATCAAGCTCCGAAACAATAGCATCACCGGCGAGACGCATAGGGACCGATATGTTATTACGGGAGACTCGCCGTTGGCATCGAACAACCTCGGCAAGCTCGCCGCCAATGCGCTCCTCGAGGACGTCGCCAAGCGTACATAAACCATTTATATACTAATCCACCTACCTCAAGAAATTCTCTGGATTAGTCACATGAAACTGTAACTATAAAGACACAACGCCAACAACCAAATTATTTTCTTATATCTCACCCATAAATTCATAGGTCGTGATTTTATGGATTGATTTCTCAATTGTCAAGGATACAAAACATCCAAAGTGGTACTGTGGCCCCGGCCCCAGCCTTTGCCGAGCCAGACTCCAAGACAAAGGCGGGTTTCAGGAGCGTCGCATAAACCGGCCCGCCCCCTAACTTGTGAACTCCCACCACCAAAAGTTCCGTCTGTCTGATACAAATTTTCGACTTCAGGCAAGCCATCACGTTACAGCTACGCTTAGTCGTTATGGGCCTCGGACTTGTGGAGATGAATCGGGAAGGTGAAGTTTAGAGAGGATGGATATGAAGGTCCAAGTACCCCGTTTTCTACCTTTCATATTTCTTCTGTCTTGTTCGCTCTCTGGTTTTCGATTGTGTCAATTCTTTTCTTTGTGGCTGGCCATCTTCTTTCTTCGAGTCTAGAGTCTGCGACTTCTTTTTTTACCTACCTACTCGACTATTTTCGGCCACTTCTCACCACGTCTAAAAACCATCACTCAACACTCGAAGCCCCAGTTCCAAGAACCTCAAAATGCACTTCCCACTCTTCATCACAGCCCTTCTCTTCCTCGCCCCCCTCACCTTCGCCCTCCCCTCCCCCTCACCAAACGCCAACCTCGAAATTCGCCAACAACAACAAGCCCCCATCCAAACCATAACGTGCGCGGACTACTCCCGCATCGCAAACTACACCGCCATCAACAGCAATTCCTCACTCCGAGCCGCCTTCCTCCAAGCCTCGCCCCAAGGCACCGATCCCACACGCGTCATCCTCGATCGCGCCTCAGTGGAGTTCACCGCGAAGAATCTGAAGTTCGATCAGGCGCTCAATGCGCAGTGTGGGAATCTGAGTACGGTGGCGTTTAGGGAGGTGAATTCGAATTTCTCACAGGGTGTGGTGGCGGGGTGGAAGGTTGTGGCGCCGGTTGGGGCGGTGATTGGGGCTGGGAGGGAGGTGTGGTGTGTAGTTGTTTTTGTTGTGATGTATATTGGGTTTGGGGCGAGTTTGTAGAGAGAGAGGGTGAAGGCGGGAAGGCTGTTATGGCGGTGGTGTTTGGTTAGAACTCATGGTGGTAATTGGTTTCTGGGTATGATTATGTGAAGGCTGGGACTTCGATTGGGAGGAGATGTGTGGAATAATAGGACTATATCATATATCAACACCGATGCACGCCTTCTTCTCTAGTTCTCCAGATCTTACACCTAACGTGGTCCACAGAGCACTTATCTGATCTTAACGCAGGAGCCGAGACCGAGGGACTTGTTACTAGCTAACAGCCTGAGCAAGGGCATATGCCGTTGTGATGGTAGCCAAATAACTCATTATTATTTGCCGCCCGAGACATGGCATCCGACTGGGGGTGGGTGTCCCCTTGGGATCGGCGATTATTTCTCTTCTTTGGCCAGCCAGCAGCATCCTGGGGATGGTTAGTAAGCCACCCCACCCGCCTTGCTGTTGTTGGATCCAATGTCGACATCTCAATATCATACCTAACCTACGGGGACTATTACAGTAAAAGAGGAGATATTGTCAGGCCGAACACCTTTAGAATGGCATATACAGAGACTCCTGATTCCCACCGAACGTGCGCTACTCTCCTCCCGCAAATCCCCATCTAGATACCACTGACTTCCCAAGCATCCTAATCGTCCTAACAGCCCTTTCATTTCTTCCCCAGCTTTACCAGCTTTGGTCCAAAAAAGACAGCAAAGGCATCTCCATCAGCTACGTCCTAGCCAACCTCCTCGTCGCAACTGAGCAATTAACGCTCGTGACATACGTGACAATAAATGTCCCTGAATCAGCCGGGGGATCCTTCACCCACGACCCCCTGAGCACCGGCGACTGGCTCAATCTTGTCCAAACCCTCGTGACCTGGCTTCTATTCCTAGTCCTGTAAGTCTTTCCCCCCAGCACCCACCTCCCGCACACCCACCCCTAGCTCGGCCCACCTAGCTTTTCCCTATGCCTCCACCTCTCCCCCCCTCGTCACAACAGCCGCCCATACATCAATATGTACGCCCTATTCCTCCCCATCTCCCTTATTCCCGAGGCAATCGACCTAGTGGGCGGAACCCCCAACAGCACCTCCTGGCCGCGACAGGACTACCAACAGATGTTTGCCTTCTTTCACGCCATCCTCATCAACCCGATCGTCACACTTATTGGGGCTCTTTCGTTCTTCTTCCAGGCGGCCCAGACACAGCACTACCATGCTAAACAGTCCGCGCTCAGCCTCTGGGGACTCGCGGTGCAGACGGTGGTGTTTGCGCTCGTGGCGACGTCGTGGGTGTGGCGAGTCGTCTATGCCGAGGCGTGGGATCCGCTTTTTGGGAGTGACGGGTTCTGGCACTGGTATTTCAGCTATGGATATCCGGTTGTGGTTAATGGGGTGTTTGCTGCTGTTCAGTTTGGCCTGCTTTTGTTTGTGGTCTGGAGGAGGTGGGGGAGGGTTGGGGAGGGGGGTAAAGGCGGGGATGGCGAGACTGAGCCTCTATTGGGTCCCTGATCGTCATGGCAGAAGGGCGGCTGATTTTTTTTTGGGTTACTGTGGAGGACTGTGGCTGGTTTTAAATTGAACCAAGACTGACAACGAGAAGGACACCATATCGACACAGAAACGTTGTATCGTCTCACCCAGCTCGCCCTGCCCACCCTCGCCTTGCCCCACGATCGCCCTTGAGGTGGCAAGGGGCTTATATCCCACGGCCCTCCTATTTATCGGAATGGAGATTGTTTAAGTAAGGATACATATTATAAGACGGCCTCTTAACCATAGGTAAAGTAAGCTACATAGTGATTAATGAAATTAGATAAAAATACTTATCCCTTTCATTATTATTTTTTCGCTATGAGGTAGAAAGTAAGGTGTATAACTTCTTAATTATAACTTAGTCTTCTTTGGGCAATATACATGCTATTAACAGACAAAACGGAACAGAATAGTCACCATGAGCATGGGAATCTGACCTAGTAGTCAGCGAACCCTGCGCGCACGAGCAGCGAGACGGTAAGGACGAAATAATAACCTTTCGCTTTTTTTCCATCCCACTGGAATAGTTTACGACTCCTGGACTTCGCGGAGAGCAGGACTTCCCACTCTCATCCCATGTCATCATCAATCTAACTAGCTAGCGGCGCATGGCAAGTTGACAACTGGCTCGTAGTCGGGACTGTCTCGATTGTATCGACAGCCGCATGCACAATAAGATATATCCCAGTGGAGCAAGTCGGCACCTTCAGCGCACCCGCCGGCGTGGTAAATGTCGACATCCCCGTGCCGGCCAACTTCTCGTTGCTGTACGCATACTGTCCCGGCGCACACTTCTTGAATGGCATGCAACCGATATCGACATGGACCTGGTCAGGATAATACGGCCCGGTGAGCGCATACGTGACAGAGACGGCTGTACCTTGCGACTTCGCCGACCAGGTGCCTACATTCGTTGCCTTGCTGATGACGTTGCCGCCGGCACCAACGTAGAGCGGGCCGCCGATTCCGGCACTGAGCTGCGCGGCTGTGGGTGTGACGTACCAACCCCAGCGGTTGCAGGTATTGGGCTTGGGGACAAGGGAGTTAAGGGCTGGAGAGAGCGGGGAGGTGCTGTATCCGAAGGCCGTGCCGACGGAACAGTACCTGACAGTTGGCGGCGGGGGAGGGGGCGGGGGCGTGTATGGGCACTTGGTGCAGCGGTAGGTGAGCACCCAGTATGTGTTGGGGTAGTAGGACGTGCAGGCTGGGTAGTCGGTGCAGGAGAGACGTCCTGTGGCTGAGACTGCGCCCGAGGCGCCGGTCAGTTGGGCATTGGTGTAGAGGTAGAAGACATAGCCTTCGCGGTCGCCGTTCGGGCACATTTCCGCCAGCACGTCGAGCAGGGCGCCGCCAGGAACAATCGTGTCGTATGGGATATTGCAGGAGACCGTAGTCTGATCGGCCGAAATGGTGCAGAAGCCATTGCTAGTTGAGTACTGTGGTGTTGGCGTCGTGCTCGCGGGCGCTGACAGACCCAGCCAGATGTCGGCCTCGGTGTATGTGTATCCACTGACGGCGTTGTAGGTGAAGATCAGATTGGGGCCGTGGAAGTCGTAGCAGATCTTGGTCTTGGTGGTGCAGGTCGCTTGATCTCCCACGCATAGGTCCCAGCACATATCCTGTCGGAGATTCTCCAGCGGGAGTTGGAAATTATCCGCATCGGGGATTGGCACGCCTGATGTGTCGGACGTACATAGGGTTGTGTCCCATCGCTTCGAAAGAGAAACGGCCGAGGCAGAGCTTTCACCGAGGAGCGTGGAAAGCGCGGCAACGAGAAGAGTCGAAGAGAGAAACATGATGGGAGCCGACGCTGTAGTTTGCGCGGTGAGAGGAAGAAATACAGAATTGGGTGAGGATAGAAGAGAGGAGTATTGGAAGAGAATCCTCTTCGTTTTAAGTTTCCAAAGATGACATGACACCGACGCTTACTGACAACAGGTAATCAAAACAATGCCCAATGCACTTACCGCATAGGCAGTCTCATGAGTGAGCTGTCAATAACGGTACCATTTCAGCTACTTCGTTTGCGAGTCTCGACGCCTTGAAATCGATAGTTGAAGTGTCTGCCGTGTTATCCCGGCATTTCACTCGCAAGGTAGGGTCGAATCGAGATGGGTTTGTTTTCCGAAGTGCTTCATTGGCTTGGTGCTTCATTGGCTTGGCTAATCCAGCTGAAAGGCTTCTTTATTGAACGGCAAGCTCCACGACTCGTCCAGGGCTAACTATTCCAAGAGATTCGTAGCATGTCTAGTGAAAAAAGAGGCTGAGACAGCGGGTTCTGGGGGACCCTTTTCAGCCTTTGAGCAGGGCACGGTTGTGTTTAGTTGAGTTTAGTTGGATTTTAAGAGCTATCGCTCGCGCTGTGGTAGCCAAAGCGGTCTTCGCTTAGGCCAGAAAGACCTTCAAGTAAGAGTCTAGACCAAGGCACGTGCCTTACACGTGCCCATTTCCCGACGAAACAGCACTCACGGGGACTCCCGAGCTGAATGAACTTGATGCTACCCAGCAAGGCGTCGGGACTGAGCGCTGTGTTGTGCTTGTTCTTGTAGACCGCTATGTTCTCTGGACGGCATGTTACAGCAAAGAACAGCACACTTGTTTAATCATTCAAGGGAAACGGGCGATAGGGGTAGCTGAGAACTCTTCAGTTGTTAGTCAATGTCCCAGGCGCGTGCCTGAGCCCTACGACAATACCAGCCAGCCGTACGGCGATGACCATCTCGGAGCCTAACGAAACCTGTATTGTCAGTTCCCAATTCCCAATTCTTCTCGTGTTGGTGGGACCCTACCATGCACGGACGTATGGAGTGGACAGGATCGACACACACTAACTTAGTGCTGAGGGTACGAAGGTGTGGTACTTATTTAGAGCACCAGTATTTTTATAATGGCCACATGGCACAGCATGGGTGGTGAGACTACTCTGGTTACTTGGACTGTTTAGATACTGCACCCACGATTAGTGTTTTCATGAGCGACTTGCTTGGGTGAGCGACTCGCTTGTGTAATACGTTAGCTATATATATGTAAATCTGTATAATTACATGTGGTGTGGGATTAATAAGACGGGCACGTGAATTGCGAGCTAAGAAACTGTGATTTCCGAGCGCGAACCACACTTGTAGAACTCTATGGGGCTACGGCCTTTACTTATGCCGTGGCCCCGAAGGCTATTCTACGTACGAAACAACTATAATACATCATAGGTTTCAGGATACGTGCCTGATTCTGCCTGAATTTCAGGGCCAGAATCACAAAACTCTAATGCGGGGGGAAGAGTCGGTAATCTAGGGATGCGGGGAGGACGACGACGAAGGGCGGCTGAGCGTGCAATTTGTGCGTTTAAGAGTGGAGGTTCTCACTCCCTAACATCATACTCTTCATAAACTGCGACCTCTCGACGGTTGTGGCATTTGGCGGACGCGTTTTTTGCAAGATGGCCGGCATCACGACCCTTAGAAGAAAGCAGTTCTCCAGTTGCGATAGCTGCCGAAACTCCCGGGTGAAGTGTGACGCTTTGGAGGTTGTTACTGTAGAGGGCATCCACGCCCTCCGAGAATCATGCTCGAGATGCACAAAGCAGCATACACTCTGTACCTTTAACGTCAGTATCCTTACTCCCTCCGTTGTCTGAATAGAGGCTGACAAGTATAAAACCGCAGTGGGTGCAGAAGCATAAAAGCCACCGTGCGAGAAACAGACACCTCCTAGACCTAGGCATGTCCCCTGTAACGCAAACAGAGCAAGCAATGGCCCCGAGGCGCTATACCGAAGAGAGGAGAATGAGAGTCGATCATGGCCTGCACCTGAATGCGAGATCAATCCACGACACTCTTTGGGAACTATATCACCAGAATTTTGAAGCCATGCTCGGTACCTGGATTGGGGCCTGCCCGTGTTTGGATGGGTACGACATGAGCGCCTTTCGCTGTGACGAATATAGCAAATCCTCCGATGGTGTGGTCAAGGGTGACACGTACCTGAACGTAATAAGCATCACTCGATTATTTGTCACCCTTGATAAATGGGTTGGCTACGGACAACTCTATCGAGACCTCTGAGGTTAATGGAGAGAAGACAGACCAGCTAGATCTCTCTTTCGCGAAGGCCATCCATTCCTTTTCAGCCCGTTGGCTATACTTAGGGGATATCTCCGGCCTGCACTACCCCCAATATTCCTGCCATGACTCTTTAGTCCGGCATTTCTGGCGTACTGCACGGAAAGATATGCTAAAAGTAATCAACAAAAACTCTTACCGTTCTGCTTTAACACTATTCATTTTCGGCCTGACCCCTACGCCGTCTGGACTTGATAAGGGCGAGGAGACGGACGGCTTAACTGGTCAAACCTGCATGCGGCTCGGACTCGAAATGTTACACCAATTGCGCGTACAACTAAGTGCCTCTCAATTCTATACTTCAAAGATCCTCCGAAGCATCAAGGACGGCCTGTGGAATTCAATGGCCAAAGATGGCTACGAGGCAGAATTCACTAGTATGGAGAGTGCAGCATATGCGGCGGGTATGATATTCGACAATGACCCACCCCTAATAGAAACCTGCAGATTTAGTCTTTCTGCCGGACTCCTTGGGTTTGAATCAGAGCCCATATTTGGTCTTTTCAAACCCCAGGCATGTATTTTCCACGATGCCACAGAGACGTGGCGACGAGATGGATTTGATGTCTCTAATGAAAATGTTTCGAGGATCGTTCTTGCAACGGCTACCTGGACTTATTACTTCTGGAAATTAGTTGCAATCTTCAAAGAAGCATTGAGAGAAGGATACGACGAAAAGATTGTTGCAACAAATTATTCGGAGGTTCTTGATACGATACAAAAGTTCAAAATCACATTTCGTCCGCTTATGGATACTTGCGAACAACGCCTTCAATTTCTTCCTTGGCGCCTAAAATATGGCTGGTGTTAGTATTTACCTCCCCCTCTTTGCAAATACATTGTGCTGGCCATTACTTTGGCTCAAGATTGTCTGATATATCTCGTTTCGTACTAATCTATTGTTAGATAATACCATGCTTCGCTATCATCTCAGTGTACTCAAACTCTCAGAAGCAATCGAAAGAAACAAGCGAACAGATCTACTTCCAAACCTCAAGGCAGCAAGATCATATTCTGAGCAAGGTGCCATCAACGTCTTGAAATTTGGTCTTCATGCTAAGGCACCAGTCCGGCAAGGTTGCGAAAAGATTGCAAGGACAAAAGCCGGCTCCATATCAATGAATCTTCCAGGGACAGCATCATTTATTGCCATAGACCCCTGGCCTGACAACATTATAGCTACAGTCCAGCTGGTTTCGAGAGCCATAAATGAAAGCCGGAAAAATGGGTTAATAGGTCCCGATGCTTTCAATAACCTCCGAGACACGTTGTTTCAAACAGTAGAGCAACTCCCCAGCAGCTCTAAACACACCTCTACAACTCGAAATAGTCTGTACGGGTCGATGTTTGACGAACCAGACAAATCGATAGATCCTTCTTGCCCTACTCTTAACGTATATTCACAAGCTCCTACCAACACTACTATAAACACGTATGATCATGTTCCGACCCGAGTCCAATACAACCAGGAGCATAATCAAAGAGAGTTATACTGCGATAATCATTTGTCGTCTTTTAACATCACGGACAGAGGGATGTACCATGATCTAGTTGCTGAGGTCAACAACATTGGCTTCAGTCGCCTTAGCTATCTGATCTCAAGTAACGACATTAAGGGATAATTAAACTCTACGGATTGATCTGATAATATTCACTGGTCTGATCTATATATTGACAAATTACGGAAATATAGAGTAGCAAGATACCCCAACACTCCGTCACAACACTTGCTTCTGAGCTCGCCAAACATCAAGTTTTGGAGTAGATAAGCAAGTAAGTTTACATTGTTAATTTACATTGTTACAGCGGAATATGCTGTTCGCCTACATCAAGCGAGAGAGAGAGTTTTTTTCAGTGACTCGACAACATATTCTGTGCCCTCCCCGATTAGATTACATATATACCCTAGGTTCAAGTTGGTACGCGCTTCAGTCCAGCTATATCCTGGTGGATGACGGCAAAGCACCACGTACCAGATATGCACACGATGGAGCTCGAGAAAGAATGCTAATTCTAACAATAGCCCCGAGAAGACAGATCGAACCAACGAACGAGGTTTACCTTTGGATATCAACTTAGAATAACTTGGCTAGTCGACTTGGCTTCATCGGATATTCCTGTCTCTATTACGGCGAGGATTCCATTCTGCATTAAGTCCAGATCGCCAAGTGCAACCCGCTTTGTTATAATTCCCTCGCCTCAAATCGATGCAGGACGTTTCGACAAGGGCCTGGTGGTATTCGTGACACAGCCCTTACTCTCCCCGTTTTCAGAAACCTCAGGCAGAAGAGATATTCTTCTCTGGGCTCTCAAAGGAAGGTTCTATATTCTACAAGATCCGCTCTGGGTTGTTAGCCGACTAGTCATTGTCCCTTAGAGATATAGTCGCATTCAAAATTAGGGATGCCCTAAATTCAAGGAGAGTGAAGCCGTCGACAAGCCCCCTGAGGATGATCTCGAACTTCATGACAAATAAATAAGACACATAAATCAAAACTTCTATAGATATCAGATATTTCTCATCACAAAGTTAAACAGGGGTGCCTTACAGCGGCATAATGCTGATATGTAGAAGAGTGATACTCAGGTCAATATCTAACCTAGTGATTACCATAGAGCTATCATCTAGAACATGGATAAATTCTGCTGTAAGACGATCTTGCAAAGACCAGAAGTTTTCTGGGGGAAATCCTTTTATCGACTGAGTCTATGTTATTAGCCTTGATTTTAATAATCAATCCGCTCCTAAAGGTACTATCTAAGAACCAAACAGTACATCCAATTCAGCAAGGGAAATCCAGGCAGAATATATTTTGGTCTCCTAGGATTGTATTTTCGATTTATCACGATGAATGGAGCTGCCTTGCTGTAGATAAGCCATATGTAAGGGATCGGCCGTTAAATCTATTTCGTAAATACTATTCGTGTCCGGGTTGGATGATATCTGTTGCTGGGCCGTAGGAACTAGTATAGATATGTTAGTAAGAAAGTGGCCATACTTATATGTCAAGGCTCTTACCTAGAACCAACGGCCTGGAATCGTTGCTTTCGTATGTTTCGGGAGATCCTTGAAGAGAATAGTTATTCTCATCTTTGACCTCTGATGGGTTCTGATCATTATGCAAATTATCGTCGTCTAAAAGGCAAGATTCATCATTCACGGGACCAAGCAGTCTTTTGACTTCTGAATGAATAAAATATAAGGGATGCCAGGGAGGCACGTCGTTTTCTATAGTGAATGATGAATTACTATCAGATGAAGCCTTTTTCTGTACTTTTTGAAGAGAAGTCTTGGAGTCAGTCGGATTTTGAAATATGTCATCAAAGCTTCCATACTGAGGACGTCTAAGCACCAAAAAGAAAAAAATACGTTAGATCAGTCGATTTCTCCGAATTGGGCGAGTATCTCACATTGTTTGAATCTCCCTCCATATACACCGCTCGCCTTTATCGCGGCACTTGACACAAGCCTGATAGCCCCAGAGAGTGACACAACGGACCTTACTCGCCCGGCAGGCTTTACAGGCGCCCCAGCGGCTCCCTCTCCTTGTTGTTCCCTGAGCATGCCCTGGCTCTCGATCTGGTCTTGTTGTTTTCTGAGGCGCCATAGTAGCTACAGCTGCCGATGTTTTCGTTGACGAGTTACGGATGATGATTTGAAGTGAAGCAGGCTGGTTTGAAATAAGGGAAAGTAATACGAGGGGCAGTATTTGTAGCTATCTTACTCGGCAGCATCGCGCTTCCGGCGTCGCTGCAAGGGGTCGATCGTCTGGGCATATAGGGAAGATTCTGGTCTAGGCACGGCTAACTGCGGAGGCATGTCTACTATCAAAATGGCAACCAGCGATTTGGTCACGATTAGCATAAAAATGCCAAAGTAAGTCGCTTCCGAAAATACATATCCCCCGTTCATTGGCTTACGGAACCGAGAGCCTGTTCGATCTCGGACCCGAGAGCCAAGACTTCGCTTCCTTGTTCTAAGCGCAACCCATCAAATGCGCCTCTTTACCTTAGTAGAAGTGAATTCAGATGTGAATGTCAACGCAGCCGTCGATTAATTTCAAATGGGACATCTCGCCTCCACCTTCATTCACGGGGTCATATGGGCCGTTCAACCCCATAACATGGAGATCTAATACACCAAATCAGTATCTGCATATTGTACTTCCCCACAAGACCGTTTTATAATGTCTAGTGAAATAGAACGAACCATAACAATCATTTTTGCGGTTCAGTTTAGTAATTACTTTAGCTATACGTTCACCAGAAGGTATTATACGCTGATTGAAGAGCGGCATGTGGGCTAGAAGCTATGTGCGAATTGACTCTTGACTCAGGAAGCCGAGTATTGGGACTCGGTTCCGAGACCAGCCGGAAGCGAGTGCATAAACGAGTCTTTCTATACAGTCTTGGGATGTATATTTCCAGTCTAAGGTTACGGGGCGCGTGTAAGTGGGCCTGAGGGAGTCACCTGCCATCTGAGGGGATGCGATCCCATTCCTACTATAAATATGGTCTCCCATCGCAATAAGTTTTATTGTCATCCCAAAACAGTTCCTTACAACCATTACTTAGCCAAATATCATTCAGAATGTCGACTCAGGTGGTCCAAAGCCGCGGAATCTTTCATGGGCTGCCTGTCTTCCCTGAAAACGTCAAGGGCCTCACAGCCGTCATTACAGGCGCAAACGGCATATCGGGCCAGCATATGCTCCGCGTTTTATTGCAGTCCCCAGAACGATGGATGAAGATAATCTGCATTTCGCGCCGTCTCCCGTTCATGAAGGACGGCGCGGTACCTGGAGTTGTAGAACATATCGCTCTTGATTTCCTCGATACGCCGCAGGCGATTGCCAATGTCTTGCGTGAACGCGGTGTCAAAGCGTAAGTTATATCAGATATTGAAGAGTGAATCTCACTAACGTGGATAGGGACTATGTTTTCTTCTTCTCTTACGTCCAAGTGGACCCAGAGCCTGGAGCTCCAATTTGGTCAAATGCACAAGAACTTTGTCGCGTAAACAGTGAGAGATTTTCAATAGCTATGTGATAGAATCATAACTAAACTGGTGCAGCGTTGCTTCTCTCAAACTTCCTCGAGTCACTCGCTCTTAACTCCATTAAGCCGCGCCGCTTCATGCTTCAAACAGGAGCAAAGCATTACGGGTTAGTTTATGTCTCTATTTTGCTGGAGATATTTATCTAACAGTTTCATAGAGGACAATTTGGTTCGAATCTCGCTCCTCAGGAGGAGTCAGATCCAAGAGTTCTACTGGAACCCAACTTCTACTACGACCAAGAAGACTGTCTATGGGCTTACTGCAAAAAGCATGATATAAAATGGAACGTCATTCGCCCCGCCTTTATTCTAGGGGCTGTTCCTGACGCCGCCATGAATGTCTGCTTTCCTTTGGCGGTATATGCAAGTGTCCGCAGGCATCTCGGTCAGCCGCTTGATTTCCCATATGATCTCACTGCTTGGGACATGAGCGTCACCCAGAGCAGTGCATTACTCAACAGCTATCTTGAAGAATGGGCTGTGCTTACAGACGGCGCTGCTAATGAAGCATTTAATGCTAGTGACGACGGCATTTTTACGTGGAGCAAGTTCTGGCCTTTGCTTGCCAGTTGGTACGGTCTGGACTATATTCGGCCAGATGATGAGGGTAAATATAAAGACCTCATCTTGCCTCATAACCCGCCTCCCCGAGGCTACGGTCCCCCAGGCAAGATACGTTACAGATTCAGTTTGACTGAGTGGGCCAAGCAACCTGAAGTCACCCAGGCTTGGAAGGATATTGCCCAACAGAATGATCTCTCCGTCAAAGAACTTCATGACGTTGATCGTATCTTCGGCTTTACCGATTTTGCTATGAGTGTATCTTGGCCTGGCGCAAGTCTCAGGTAAGCCGTCTACGCAATTGCTACCTATAATACTGCCGCTGATATCTGTCTAGCATGGCCAAAGCACGAAAGCTAGGGTGGCATGGGTATGTCGACTCAAACGAGTCTGTGCGTGAGGTGCTTTTAGACTTCGAGAAGCTAGGTATGATTCCGCACGCACCTGCCCTTGCGCAGAGCGGTGCCCCAGCCAATACAGCAAGTTCATTGACGGAGGGTTATGCACCAGAATGGCTCGAGGTACGAGATTAGATCTACAATAAATTGTTGCACTCAATAACTTTTGCCGATCCATAGCTTGAAAAAACACTAGGGACCCGTCCTCTTCTGACAGGCACTGTGGAAGAGATGCAGGGACAGTTTGCAGCTCTTTCTGCGTTGCTCAGCGCTTCACAAACTCCCCCCGATGACACTATTGAAAGTAAAGATGAAACCGCAGATGGTATACCTGTTCGCATCTACAAGCCCAAAGACGCAGCTAGAACAAAGCTCCCTATCGTGGTTTACTACCACGGGGGGGGGTTTGTGCTCGGAAATCTTGACACCGAGGATGCATGGTGTCGATATCTTGCTAAGACCACCCCATCCATTGTTGTATCTGTTGATTACCGCCTGGGGCCCAAGTTCAAGATGCCAGTAATGCTCGAGGACAGTCTTACTGCATTCAAATGGGTATGTCATCCTCCTTACCTACTTACAAGCTATTATGCTAATACAGGGGCTGTACAGGTATATGCCAATGCTGAGACGCTTGGAGGTACTAAATCCAGGATCTTCACCGCTGGTACATCCGCTGGCGGCGGTCTGGCTCTACTTGTCACAGATGCTCTTATCCAAGAGGGTAAAAACTCTCACGTTAAGGGAGTTATAACCGCTGTCCCTATAACTGCACACCCATTATCTATACCGGAAGAATACAAATCTCAGTATACATCATATGAAAAGAATGGTTCTGGTGTTCCTGTGGCCGACGCCTCAACATTAAATACGTTTTTTGAGGCAGCTGGCTGCAAATATGACGATCCAATGACTTTTGTGACGTTGTCACAAAACTTGTCACAATTTCCTCCAACATACATCAGCACTTGTGGAAAAGATCCGCTGAGAGACGACGGCAGAGTGCTAGAGGCTATGCTGAAAAGAGAAGGTGTCAAGACCAAATCAGACAACTATATTGGCCAACCGCATTGCTTCTGGTTATTCCCAAATGTGAATGGGGAGGAGTTTTTGGCTAATGTAGTAAAGGGAGCTCAATGGGTCGTGTTAAATTCAGAGTAGTTACAAATTCAATTCAATATTTTGCTGCTGCTCTCTTCGATGCCTTTGGTTTACTTTCTATATTACGATTACCATATTCTGTAATATTATGATAAGGGCTTAAGGAATAAATGGGAACATGCATATTTGTAAAAGGTGTATCTGCGCAAGAAGGCAGTCCCGGACGATAGGGTATTGCCTCAACTTGTGTTTGGTCTCAGCCCTTCTCTTTCTAGACTATATAATTTCTATGCTTATTCTAGTTAATTTTCACTAAGAGCTTGTGAAAGAATACTAGGCATAATGCTGCCTACGGCAAAAAAAAAAAGTCACAGAGATCTCTGAAGGAAATTTTATATAATATAAGATGGCGGTACGATATATGCCTTGGCATTGCCAATGATAACTACGATATTAACTAGCCATAATGTGTCTGTAAACCAATTGAACGTATTTCAAGTATACTTTCAAGTTGTTAAGTACAAAAGATAATGGAAAGAATATCAACTTGAGAAAGAACAAGCATTAATACCTAAGAAATGGAATTTCCGTTGATCAGGCTATATTATGTACAAGCTTGGGGAGAAGATATTTATGAGACTGGCGCTATTAACCATCTGGTAAGCGAAAACAAAAGTTCTGACATAAATAGCGGTTATCTTGGCTTGAACCCTGAAGTCAAATATAAAAAAGGAATGAATTAAAAAAGATTGACTAGCGATGTAAACCAAGTCTTTGCCCTTACTGGCAAATATTAGGTACGGACCCGCGTTAGCCCGTCCATGATCTTCGCTTTACTACAATCTTGTAGTCACTATTTTCACGGGTGACCGGCGAATTGTACATGGTTCAACTTTAAAGGGGTTGTGTGTGCCCTTTAGAGTCGAGAAAAATCAAAGCCCAATCGAAGCTAATCCCATTGTTTCACTTTAAGCAGCGAGAGCTCAGGATCACAAAAGATATGGAAATTGCTGAGGACAACTCGTGCATAAAAAATGTGAGTATTATTATACAGCAGAGAGGCCTTTTTGTTCATAGTAAAGCCCACTTCTTGCATCTTTTTTATACAAAGAGGATGCCACATTTGCAGCTGGTATAATGCTCCCGCCTATTATCAAAGGTCACATGACCTTCCATTTTTCTCTTTACATCTTTACTTCCTTTATCCGTTCTGTTCCATATATTGTCATATTATACAATAGGAGAGCGAGTCTAGAATAGGAAAATTCCCAACATCACTTTACTTCCAAGATTAAAGCTGCAAGCATAAAATCTGTATAAGGCTTGGCAATTTATTACTGTTTCAACTATACCCATACAACTCGACCCCTTAAATGACGAAGCGTAGTATCAAGATCTGTCTAGAATACATTGCTAAGCATGGTTTTCCTGCTGCTTACCAACCCTAACAAAGACAGTGGAACTGAAAACATCCTGTGGCAGACAGCCCTGATCCACTGCTATATCCGTAGTATATCGGATATCGGGGACCGAATCTCGATTTAGTGTAGCCTTAAACAAAAAACCAGGTCAAAGAGTCTGGCTTAGAAACCCAACTCACAATCCGGTATCTAATACGTAAACTTGCTCAGCTCGCTGGCTTAGACACTCGGTTGAAAGGCCTTGATGAAACTCCTTAAAGCGCTTAGCACGTCGTTGTGAGTTAAACTTAATTGAATACCGAAAACTTAGCACGTAATCTGCGGAAATTATCTACGCGAGTCTGGCTCCGTTAGCGCTTGCGGCTGTAGTATAAGTCTAGAGAGGGTCCTCCATTGAGGCCGAGTATTCTCTTCTTGTTTCAGAGACTCCCTCCGATTTCACTACATACTTCCCAGCAGACCCGGTACAGAAGTTAGCAAGGCAAGATGACGTTCAGTGAAGCGTTTAATGAGATTGTCCGAGACGCGCCCTTGGGACAGCTCGTGCGCTTTTTCACCAAGAATCGGCTTTTCAAGTACCCAGAAGAACAGCCGAACTTCAAACTGCCCGAGCCATGGATTCGCATCATGAACTATGCAGACCACGACATTACACCTCAAGATAAGACAGCTACATCTTCATCCGCCTCTGTCTCGAACGCCGACCAAGAAGGAGGAGAGGCGTCGGATGTCAACAACGCAACCCAGCCGGCTCTCGAGAGTAATGAATTCGCAGAAGAAAAACCTACCCACCTGACACCGAAAGTTAGCCATGCCGGTACTATCTTAGTCGATTGGTACTCCGAAGACGATCCTGCTAACCCGCACAATTGGTCGGACCTACGCCGTGGGCTCCTCGCCCTGATTATATGCCTCTATACATTTGTGGTGTACCTGAGTTCGGCAATCTACACACCATCGACTGAAGGTGTCATGGAGAAATTTGGCGTTAGCAACCTCAAGGCAACTCTCGGTCTCGCCATGTATGTGCTGGGTTATGGTGTCGGCCCACTGCTCTTTTCACCTCTCAGTGAGATCCCTCACATCGGTCGCAGCCCTGTCTACATCATTACTCTGTTTCTGTTTGTAGTCCTTTCTATTCCAACAGCCCTAGTGAACAACTTTCCAGGCCTTATTATTTTGCGCTTTTTGCAGGGGTTCTTCGGATCACCTTGCCTAGCATCAGGAGGTGCCTCAATGAGCGATATGTACAGCCTGACCGCTTTGCCTTTTGCATTGATTGCCTGGGTTGCTGCGATGTCCTGCGGACGTATGTCTTCCCGCCGGTCATTGAGAATCTGTTAGCTAATTCCAGGACAGCTTCTCTCGGTCCTCTCCTTAGTGGATTCGCTGTACCAGCGGAAAACTGGCGTTGGTCCCTATACGAGTCCATCTGGGCATCGGCACCGATGCTTATCGCTTTTTTCATCTTTATGCCCGAAACAAGTAGTCCTAATATCCTTTTGCGTCGCGCCCAACGCCTGCGCCAGGTTACCGGCAACCAGAAGCTGATGTCCCAGAGTGAAATTGACCAGCGTCACTTGACAGTCTCGGACATTTCAATAGAGGCCTTGATTAAGCCCTTAGAAATCACTTTGAAAGACCCCGCTGTCATGTTTGTGCAAGTCTACTCGGCCATCGTCTATGGCATCTACTATTCCTGTAAGTGTTCCATGACTCGTTATAGCGCTTTAGCTGATCTTGTAGATTTTGAGGTGTTTCCGCTTGTCTATCCCGTATTCTACCATATGAATCTAGGCCAGGTTGGTCTTGTCTTTTTCTGCATCGTTATTGGATGTATAATTGCTATTATCGCTTATGGCTCATGGCTATACTTTGTGGTCACACCAAGGACTAAGAAAGTCGGTATGGGCCCACAGGAGAACATTCTTTTAGCTGGTTTACCAGCATCCTTTGGCCCTCCCATTGGCCTATTCTTGTTCGCCTGGACTGCCCGTGCTTCTATTCACTGGATTGTCCCAACTATCGGCATTACGATCTACGCCGGCTCAGTTTTCACCGTGCTACAGTGTATGTTCCTATATATCCCGTTCAGCTACCCTCAGTATGCTGCCTCTTTATTCGCTGCGAACGACTTCTTCCGCAGCGCCTTGGCCAGCGGCAGCATTCTCTTTGCACATCCTCTGTATCAAAACCTTGGTATTGCTAAAGGGACGACTCTTCTTGGCGGCTTGAGTGCCATCGGTATTGTAGGAATGTGGATCTTGTTCTTCTACGGTGCCAAGCTCCGAGCTCGCAGCACGTTTGCCACATAGGGAGGATTAAGATTAATCTGTGCCAAGAAAGCTTCTTTGCCTCTCTGAGTTCACTCAGGCCTAGTCAATTAAGCAAGATTCACCTCAATTAGCGGACGACTAGTCCGTCATGCATCTCTTCTCAATTATTTTATCTCCTATTATTTCGTCAATTATCGCAAATTGTGCCTATGGACGGGGCTACAAAAAAGGTGCTTAACGCGTGGTTTGAAGCATATAAGAAGGTGGTTGAAGACTGTAAAATTATGCAAGATAATACATATAACATAGACGAATCTGGATTCTCAATTAGAACTAACAGCGAATAAGCTTCTTAGCTAGACAATAATGGTTGTATAGTCCTTGCAACACCTGTCTAGCAACATATCTCAATGTTAGCAACGAGGTCTAAGCAACTTCAAGCATAAAGTATTGTCTACTAATATAATTGTAACAGGGTGGTTGCTGACCGACCATTACAGTATATATAGCGTGTTATGCGTATTCCAGGAGACCTGAAATATTGTCGTCTTTTTGGCTTAGTGGGGTGTAGCGCGAGCGTAGCCGTACATCGTTACAATAATGCAAACAACTTACAACCCATGGAAAAGTAAAGAGGGTTATTTTAAAAGGTCACTTCTATATTTCTACTCAAGAATTGCTTACAAAGTCAGAGAAACTCAAATTTGCTCAGCCAACTATGTTAGAGTCCCGATATACAACCGGTTGTCTTTCGGATATTGAGAGCAGGGTTGTGTTACCTACCATGACCCCGCTTACAAAACCTTCTATAACAGCCCCCAAGGAACCCTTTAATTGTCCAACAAAGATTTTGCGAATGATACGCTGTCTCTATATATAGCCAGCATCCTCTAGTGTCCGTTCCGTATATCAACCACAACTCCTCTCCATCATAGCCCTCATTCTCAACTACTGCACCAAAATGGCCCCTATCCAATTCGGCATCCTCGCCTTCGCCTACCAAGTACTCGACGCCGTCGGCCCAACCGATCTCCTGTTCTCCGCTAACAAGAGCACCATGGAAACGCTCGGGCAATACGGCCCCATCGACGAAGACCTCATCTCCCGAGCACCAGAGTTCGCGTTCCATCATATTGGCGTGACCAGAGACGCCGTTAACCTCGGTACTAGCCAGATGACGATTATCCCTACAACAATTGTGGATGAGTGTCCAGAGCTGGATATCTTGCTTGTCGCAGGGCCGTATCTGGGTAACTTTGAGCTACACCCCAAGCACGCTGATCTGATCCAAAGACACGTCGCTGCCGGAAAGATCCTCTTTACAAACTGCACGGGCGCCAGCCTCGTCGCATCCACCGGTGTGCTAGACGGGAAGAAGGCCACAGTCAATAATGTGGAATACGAGTGGGTGAGGAAGCGCTGGCCAAAAGTCAACTGGACACGAGAGAAGAAGTGGATCATCGACGGCAACATTTGGACAGGCTCCGGAGCGATCGCTGGGACAGACATGGTTGCCCACTGGATTAAGGAGAACTATGGTCTGGATGTTCTCATCCAGGCTGCTGTCACTTTAGACTATGAGCCACGGGATAGTGATGGATTGTTCAATGTGTTTCCGCGGAGGTTTGCTTCAAATGGAGAAAAGGTCTCTACTCATGTGTTTAGGCATCATGCGGAATAATGAATAATTTATAGATAGACCCGGATGATAAAACTCATTAGAAGGGAGCATAGGGATAAACAAATACGAATCTATTTAGCTGCATTTCGTAATCCCCACTGGTCACTTAGATACAAAGCACCTATCTTCATCGCTTCGATAGACTCGGCCATGTGTAAGATATCTCAATCCCCCACCAGCCTTCAATTGTACCCCGTTCACTCGTGAACCCAACGCACGCATTCTCAGGTCATCCACCTCTAATACAGACTGGGGGGGCCTACCTAGGCGGAATACATACCCCAATACATCATGAAAATGAAAAGGAATTGAAAAAGAAAAAGAAAAAACGCCATGGACAGCCCCTCTATTACCACGAAACCGGAGAACATAGAAAACCATGCGTATCGCAAAGTGCGGTGCAATGCAAAAAGCCCTATCTAACAACATAATGAAGCACCATTTTTCAGAGAGCTAAATTAAACAAGTTCTCATTTGGCATAAATCGGACATTGATAATCAATAAAGCTGATCGCCACCTTAGCACAGTAGTCTCCGGCCGGATATAGATGTGGGTCATGAATTAGAAGTCAGCTCATCCGCCTTCCGGCACCGTCCGGATGTCCAAAGAGAACCTTTATGGGGCGCTTGTAGGCAGCAACGTAATGAGTATAACTGTAGTTGCTGCGTTTGATTAGGTTAAATCATCCGGCCATAAACGACAAGAGCTATGCATGTTGTTAATGACATAAGCAAGCTGACGGCATGCAGGTATAAATAACAAAGGGCCATCTTGAAAGCCGAAGCCTACTCTGAGCTGATTTCAAAACTCCAAAATGCTTTTACTACGCTTGTTAACATTTGGCTTTGGCCTTCTCCTCTGCGCTGTTGCGGATAATATTTCTGTGCCAAATGTTGACATCACCTTTCATAAGTCGCCCAAGCCATTTGAAATCCACGTTGATCGGCATTTCATCGAGGACACTCGGCAGCGCGTTGCAAACGCAAGGGCTCCTTTGTTTATAGGCGCAAGAGGTGACGGGCCGAGTACTGAAATTTTCTCTACCGTTCGGGATTTCTGGGTTAATGAGTATAACTGGACCGCAACTGAAGAGTCTATCAACCAGAAGTAAGTGACATATAAACAGGCCTTGTTGTTATAATAACAGTTTTGTAAGGCTAGAACAGTTCACGACCATTGTGGAACCGGTAATTGATAATGCTAGTTATCTAGTGCCGTTACACTTTGTTCATCACCGTTCACACCGGAACGACGCTATCCCTCTGTTATTCATTCATGGCTGGCCCGGCTCGTTTCTAGAAGTCAGCAATATTATCGGCAACTTAACAAACCCTCCTAATGCATCTTTGCCAGCGTTTCACGTTGTTGCTCCATCAATCCCAGGTTTCGGATTCTCTCCCACACCTCAGAAGCCCGGCTTCGGTCCCGTCGAAACATCACACGCTTTCAACGAACTGATGTGCCAGCTCGGTTACTCTAAATATGTTATTCAAGGCGGAGATTTCGGTGGGGTTATCCTTCGTTACCAGGCTCATTTGTTTCCGAAGCACGTCGTCTCGGCGCTCAGCAATTTCTGGATCATTCAGCCCGAAGTAAATGACATCCGCATGCTCGCAGAGGGATTAGCTACACCTGACGAAGTTGCATACATCAATATTTTGGAGACCTATATCAATCAAGCATCTGGATACCGCCTGATACAATCCACAGAACCACTCACGCTGGCATTTAGCATTACAGACTCTCCATTGGGCAATGCGATGTGGATGTATGCTCTAATGTCAAAGGTCATCGACCCGGCAATCATGGTTTGGACTCCCGAGGAGATCATTACTTGGTCAATGATGTATTACATCCAAGGTCCCTATGGCAGCATGCGCTTTTACAAGGAGGTGCTCAGCGAGGGGGGTCTCGCTGCGCTTGACTTTGGCACTCTGCCGCTGGTGGAGGTCCCAGTCGCCATCAGCCAGTTCCCTTACGATATCTCCTTTCGTATGCCGTTGGAATGGGCGAAGCGTGGAGGAAATGTTCTCAGGAGGACTGTAAACACCCATGGTGGTCACTTTGCCGCCTATGAGGTGCCTGGCCTGCTACTCAACGATATCTGGTCATGGTTCGGGGATAGAGAAGTTTCAGGAACAAAAGTGTTTAGACTTTGATTAACGAAGCAGTCTGAGCGAGCACAGTCACAAATTGCTTGTAATTTTAAAGAAGGCTGATTAGAGGCGATGTGGTCTATTTAGTAACCAAACAAAGTAGTTTCTAACCGTTCCGCCGAGTAACATGCCAAGTGGGTTAATCTGGCGTCGACTTCCATGGACAAGTGCTTCTCAGGGCTGATGCGACTTAAAATCACCTGACGATGAGTAGTTCGTATGTATGACCGTGTGTTTGAGCTTGGTCTGCTTAGAGGTGGCTAGAGTCGGAGATGTGGGCATGCGGAGCATCAAGTATAGGCCTGAGGAGCCTCTATACCAGCCGAGACACAGATGTAGCGAGATTCGAAGTAAGTATAGAAAATCCATATGGCATACTAGCGTTATATGATGCTCGTAGATATTAGACCGATTTGAATAGACTAAGGTCAGTACCTCAGAAACAGCTTCTGACCAGAAGTTCTTTTAATTTCCATTATACAGTTGTAGTCAGCTCCGGCGCTCTCACACAACAACGGTAACGTATGGTGCTTCTAGAATAACGATGGACTAATTTTCAGCTAGAACCAACATTGAGATGTTCTGAAGCTAATGATCAGAAACTGTCTTCGAATGTGTCCCAAGACATGTCGCTAGTGTTTCCCCATCCCATAGTCATTGATGCCCATACATCGTTAAAAAGGGGAAGGTTCTTCGCCTCGCTGGCATCGGTGGACGATCCCGATATATTTATAAGCTCGGGATCCCATTGTCCCAGGGATGTTCGAAGGCTTCCGTCCATCATAGGACACCCAAAAATCCTGCTTGCTGGGGCAGTGCACGGTGGTTCGCTAAGTGAGCCCAACCGATGATCGTATTTCGACTTCATAACACTAAGCACGGCGCGCCTAGCTGAGATAATGTCATTTGAAGCTGTAGCAATATCTGCACCATGCGAAACTTTGGATAAGAACTGATCTAGTTGGAGTTCGGAGCGAGCCCATGCCGAATCGAAATCCGGACAAAGCAAAAGCGGGAATGACAAGCGGAACGACAGTGTAAGGACGACAATAAGTCGAGTCCAGTCGTTTATAGTAAATGAGAGGAGTGACGAATCTTCTAGGTCGCTTATGTAGTCCAGAAAAGCTCGTAGCTTTTTTGTAGCAGTGCAGATCTTGGATAATAGGGGAGGAAAGGGAGTTATATTGGCAGACAGGTAGGTCTTCGCTACAGGGAATGCGAGTAAGCTCCCGCAGTCAAGGAAGATTTCGACAAACATCGTTTGCAATCGTATAGGTTCTTTCTACCACGTAAGCATCTCCCCCGCATGTTCACATTCACCCAGCTTGACGTACCGGAACCCAAAACAGTGGGGGTCATGCTGCCCTGCATTTCCTGATATTGTTGCTCAAGACCAATCAAAATCAGTCGACTGTTCTGCACCGTCTGCACGTCTCTCTCATTGATAGCTTCGGATGCATCGGAGAAGAGATTCGATAGGCGGACTAAAGCCACTAGCGTGTTGTCACTTTCAACTTGGGCGTTGTGTTGAAGGGTGTCAATGGCGGAACTTGCCCAAGGGGGGAAATGGGTACGTAGAATTGTCTCTCCTTTCCATACAACGATATACCTAAAGGAGCGTTCAAATGTAAGAATAATTGCATGATCGAATTTGAGGTCATTGTAACATACGTAGAAACAAGATAGACGTAGGCGAGATATGCTCGGATCTTTTCAAGTTCATCGCCTGTCACTTTCGGACTCCACGGATCACGCATTGTAAGAAAATTTTCATCTAAATGGAGGTCCTGAACAAGATCTGCCGCCATTCGCAAGCAGTGAACAAGCTGTCCGTTTTTGGGCCACAAGTGAAAAGGATACCTTGTGACGTTAGCAGGAAATGCATAGAACTAATTTAACACCCAGACATACCATGCGCAGTATATTAATAAGCCCTGGAGCATCTCAAGACTTCTTTCCCCGCCAGAGACATACTTGAGACCTAGGGCTTTCCGAAACTCATCATCATACAGCGCGTGTTTCTGCACCATCTTCGACCCCGAAGCTACAGTTAAGATAGACAGCAGAGTGAAAGGTTTTGTGGCAGCGAGATGTAGGACGGAAGAATCATCAGGTAGGATTACAAATGGTAGGTAGTTGACCATGGACTTAAAGGAATTTAGGAGAGATTCGGCGGAAGCTATATTGAATAAGGGCTGACGCCAGATGTCGGAGATTAAATGAGGTTGATTCGACAAACTCGAGGGGCTTGGAAGGCTGACGGATTGGCTTGCCGTTTGCGAGTTGTCGATGGGATTCTCTTCAATAAGTGCAGCATTAAGAGCCCGGTCATGAATTTCCCGCAAGGTTTCGAAGTTGTCATCAAGACCGGCCTTGACTGGCACAGAGTAATCAATGCTAAAGGTGCTGAGCTGGCCCAGTGGGTGCAGCGACGGATCGATCTCTCCCATTCTAGAGGTGTTAGAGAGGATCTAGGGGTCGGCAAAACATTGTTCTTACCCCCAAGTGTGTTCCCATCTGCGAGGCCGTGCTCTAGTGCGGGAGATGCACTCTCTCTTCAAGGCGAGACATCTGATAAGAAACTATAAGCATGAACGGGAAAACTAAGATTGTTTGACGCATTACTTTTCACACACCCCTGGCTGGTCACTGGGTTGGCACCTGATTCTAGCTGCCCGACAATGCTCACACGCTGTTGAGTTTCGTTTCGAATTGCGGCCTCGTCTCTCTAGATTCATATTAATGGAGTCAGGCGGAGCCAATCGAATTGCTAGATGGTGTAACGTCCTAAATCTAAACTTGAACTCTATGCGATTTTAACGTCTATAGAGTGTAAAGGTAAGGCATAGGCAATTAAAACAAATGGATGCAGATAGGATGAGGGTCGGAATCTTTGGCAAGGCAGTCAAATTCTTTCAAAATGAACCAATTAAGTCCTCTACTAACATATTACTTTACAAGCGTTGATTGGTCATTTTTTTTAGTCATGGATTACTCGAGCAGTGTAATTGAGTTTGCCTCGCGCTACTAGTGGGGCTACATCCGAAACGCACCCGGGTATAGCCTGTGCCTTAATTGGACTATGCCTAGGATTAGGGAGCATAGACCTAGTAGTGTACTATAATTGTGGTCGGAAGCAATATGGGTTCGCGAGCTATTATAGAAGTAATATGCGTTTGAAACTAAAAACCATAAGTACCTTTATATAACGTATTTCACAGGCGAAGCGATCACATGGGCATCAAAAACTTGAGGGCCCTCACCCGCCAGTCCAAATGCCACGCCATCGTATCACCACCCATGCCGGAGCGATGACAACGACAGCGCGCCAACAACGCTCTCTCAAGTCTGACTCGATTCAGCTCTAGGTGGTCTTCATCGAAGAGACTTAGGTTCCCAGCCCACGGGGAGGTACGAGTCGTCGCAGGCCCTACAACGATTAGGCTGTACACCGCAGACATGTGCAATGGATCTAATGACACACGTGACATGCATTCGAAGGCGGTTGTTGTAATAGTCACATGACTTCACGTGATCTCTGTACGGAATATCAGTAAAGCCTAGAAGTAGATTAAGTAATAGAGTTTTCTTAAGCACCTGCTTTTATAGGTACTAGAGAATTCCTAGGCATCTAAGAATTGCTTAGTACTAGATAGAGTAGGCACCTAACTCTTTCTAAGTACCTAACTATTATAGGGTACTAGATAGAATAGGTACTAGACTATTTATAAGCACCTCCTTATAAGAACCCTATATAATAGAATAGTAGGAATAGTGAGAATAGTAAAGGAGTTTGCTATTCTAACTATTCCCTTTAGTATAACACTACTATATAAGTAGATAGTTAGTTCTTAGATAGGAGCTTTGTGCTTAACTTAATATAGTATTTGTTATATACTAGTAACATGTTTTATAAAAGCCTTTTATATCTAATCCCCTATCTCCTCTAATAAGTAACCTAATGTAATAAAACCTCTATAAGTCTTATAGTTTAAGACCTAGCATTATACTACTATAGTAATTAAGTAAGCTATAAGAGGACCTATCTACTAGAGTATAAAGGTAGGTTATAAGAGTACTTACTACTAGGGTATAGAGGCCCCTAACTATTACTATAGTAAGGGGGGGCATTACTAGACTACTACTAATGCTATTCTAGTGCCCTAAGAAGTTAGGTAGTAGGTGTCTACTACTAATCTACCCTACTTATAGAGGGAGGGGGTGCTAACTTGTAACGCTAGGTCTTAAACTATAAGACTCACAGAGGTTTTGTTGCGTTAGTTTACTTAACAGAGGAGGCAGGGGATCAGACACAAAGGCTTTCGTAAAACACATTACAGTATATAACAAATACTATATTGAGTTGAGCACGAAGCTCCTATCTAAGAACTAACTATCCGCTTATATAGTAGCGTCGTGCTAAAGGATATCGAAGATATCATAGATAACAAATATCTAACATATCGTTGTTATCCATTACGTAGGTCTTGCGATATGATTAGGTCTGAGGACTAGAGGTCTCTAGATCCAACCAATCCTGCGACGTCCCCTGCTCTCAAGACCACAGGGCGTAGGAGCCACTTAGTTCCTACGCTCCTAGGTCGTGCGCCTAGCTCAGTCCCTAGGCCCGATTGGGTCTAGCGCCACTAATGTTCTGGCGCTTAGCTTAGTCGTTCGACCCAACAAGGTCATACGCTGTCTGGTTTCCAACAGCAGATACTCTGTTCTAATATTGGAAACCTACACGGTCCATAGTTTCCCCGAGGGCTGTAACATAACTAACTAGGACCTCTATGCTATCTAAAGGAACCTAGACTCTAAAAAGGGGGGTATTATTATAGGTATAGTAGGAGGCCCTACCTTAGGGGAAATATAGGCTAGGGAACTAGTGCCTTAGGCATCCCTTACTAGCTAACACCTATATACCTATATACCCTATGCCTTATAGCTAGTAGGAGGTTAGTATATAGCCCTAACTTACTACTAAGTTAGTAGGGGCCTAACTTTAAAGTAGTAGATAAGAGTAGCTAAGCCCCCTATAGGTAGGGCTTAGAGATTAGTCTATTAAATGCTGTTTTAGTTACCTAGGCCTATAGCTATAGTACACTTCTACTAAACCCCTATACTATAATTATAACTAGAGGTTTAATTTACACTACTACTTTAATAGATAATTATTAACCTTATTTTTAGGTAGTAATTACCTTAGTGTAGTATATATAAAAGCCTATGTTAAGGCTAGGTGAGTTAATAATATTATAGCTATTATTCTCTTCTAAAAATTAATTTAATTTTTAATAATACAGCTTTTGTTATAAATGCTAATATAAAGCTAGGCTCTAACTAATCTATTTCCATAAAGTGTATATTTAGCTCTCCTCCCTCTTAAATAAAACATTTTAACTATTTGTTTTCTAGATCTTAATTTATAAAATGTAACGTAACATTATAGGAAGACTAGGTATCTGTTTTTAAAGCTACTATTATGAAATCCCTAACTAAAGGTCTTAATATTATAGTTGTAAACACTAGCATTAGTAAAAAAAATGTATAAAAAAAATAGGGTAAAAAAAACATATAATAGTAGGTATTTACTAGTAGTTACCTACCTAATGGTAATAATGTTAACATATATAAAGTAGGTCTTATATTAAGATGTAATAAATGCTAATAAACGTAATACACTATAACTTTAGATAGCTATAGATAATTGTTACAGCCCTCGGGGAAACTATGGACCGTGTAGGTTTCCGATATTAGAACAGAGTATCTGCTGTCGGAAACCAGACAGCGTACGACCTTGTTAGGTCGAACGACTAAGCCAAGCGCTAGAACATCAGTGGCGCCAGACCTAATCAGGCCTAGGGACTGAGCTAGGCGCACGACCTAGGAGCGTAGGAACTAAGTGGCTCCTACGCCCTACGGTCTTGAGAGCAGGGGACGTTGCGGGATTAGTTGGATCTAGAGACCTCCAGTCCTTAGACCCAATCATATCGCAAGACCCACGTGATGGATAACAACAATATGTTAGATATTTGTTATTTATGATATCTTTGATATCCTTTAGCACGACGCTACTATATAAGCAGATAGTTAGTTCTTAGATAGGAGCTTCGTGCTCAACTCAATATAGTATTTGTTATATACTGTAACGTGTTTTACAAAAGCCTTTGTGTCTAATCCCCTGCCTCCTCTGTTAAGTAAACCAACGCAACGAAACCTCTATAAGTCTTATAGTTTAAGACCTAGCGTTACACTTTAAGCACCACTTCTACGAGGTACCGGCTCATACACAAAGCAACATGGCTAGAAACGATTCCACCTCCAACGTAGGGACGAAAGGGAAGGCGGCTACAGAGCCTATCCCTTCGCCTACTACCACGCCCGCGCCTAGAGGGCCTTACCCCTCAGACAAACTCAAGATTGCATTCCTGGACACCTTCAACGGGGACTGCAAGAAGCTTAAGAGCTTCCTTATCTAGACAGAGTTGTAGATGGCCTTTAACGCCAAACACTTCGCCTTTGAAGTGCAACAGGTCTTGTGGGCCGTAGCCCTCTTAAGAGGTGCTGCCTTAGACTAGATTGCTAACTACCTAACCGACTACATAAGCCACCGTGCAGCTAACGGAAGGGTCACTACAACGGCCAACTAGGGAACTAAGGATATCTTCATCACTTAGGCAGGTTTCGTTAAACAGCTCAAGGCGAACTTTAGAGATGTCGATGAGAGAAGGAATGCAGTGCAAGCCATTCAGGCCCTTAGACAGAAAGGGTCTGCGGTTACGTATACTGCTAAGTTTCAGCAGCATGCCCCTCTCACCCATTAGGGAGACGAGGCTATATGCGACTAATATTACAAGGGGTTAAAGGATTATGTAAAGGATGAGATTTCTCAATCCGACAAACCAGATGACCTTAAGGAACTCATCAAGATGGCATAGAAAATTAACAATCGTTGCTACGAACGCCAACTCGAAAGACGAGGAGGAACATCTAGCTACTAATGGACTTAGAAAAGAAAGACACTAAAGAGCTATTGGCCCTAACCTATAGAGCTTAACGCTACGTTCAAGCCTAGCAGAAGACACCGCAACCCTAACAAGGAGCAACAGCTTAAGGAACGGCTCTGTTTTAATTGCAACAAACCCGGCCATATAGCCTAAGATTGCAAGCAACCTAAGAAGGGGAACAGTGGACGCAAGTTCAGCAGACAACTTAATGCCACTTAGAAGGGACAACTAAACGCCACGTTCGTAGACAAACCTAATTAGGGGATTAACGGTGTCAGCACCCTAGAAGGGCAGAGCTCTAACGACGAGGATCTCGATGAGTTCGATGCATCGCTTGAAGTTGAGAACGAACGCCTAAACAAGGGATTAACGGAATCCTAGAAACTCCAGCTAAAGGAGTTTGAAGAAGACGCGAAGGAGATCGCATTTAAGGAAAATCTACTAGGAGTGGTCGACATCTACAGACAGGCCATGCTCCGAAAGGGAACTCTACGAGCGATTCCTGTACCACTGCCCCCAACAGGATGGATGGGTACTCGATAGGACTAGGAAGTTGCAGTTCGCGCCATAAGGTGTCACCCTAGGTACCTGCAAGGGAGGGAGCCCTGAGGAGCGAACCACACCTCCGAAGAAGCCACTATGTAGTTGAAATACAAGCTTGCGGAATATAACGCGCAAGACAAACAGCAGGAAGACACTCAGGGCCCTAAACCCTAGGAACTACAAGCAGACTAAGCTGCTATAGACTACGAACCCACCGATGGAGACGTAGAAAGGTTACGTGAAACCATAGAGAAATCTGAGCTCACAGGCAAGATAAGGGAGGAACAGGAATTGACAAAGTTAGATGCATTAAGGATTGATCACCCCTAGCACCTATATAT